ACATGAATTAATTAGAAAGAGGATACAGGGAGATTTTTCAGCAGATCTAAGGAACATAAATGATCCTGAGGATTTTATTAAAATAATACCCCCAATGCATACATCCGTACATACTTTTATTATTATTTCTTTGTGCCAGTCTTGGAGCTTGGACTCAGAGCCTGGGCACTTGTCCCTGAGCTTTTGTGCTCAAGGCTGGTGCTTGACCACTTGAGCCACGCCTCCACTTCTGGCTTTTCTGGTGGTTCATTGGAGGTAAGAGTCTCAGGGATTTTCCTGCCCAGGCTGGCTTCTAACCATGATCCTCAAATCTCAGACTCCTGAGTAGCCAGGCCATCACCTGACTCTCTACCTCGGATGCCCCTGAGAACATGTCGATGTCGGAGGCTCCCTGGCACAGATCTAGGCTCGCTTTGTCTTGAGCATTTACACAGCAAGGCAAAGGTTGAGACCCTTGACCTCTGGAAAGGTGCTTTCCCTGAGAGGAAGCAGCCGGGTAGATTTGCTCTTTGTGTTTTCTGATTACCAATGATGCTGAACTTCTTTTCACGGGCTTTATCTGCTAAGGGTTTATCTCTTTTGGAGACATGTCCGTTCAAATCCCTTGCTCGACTTTAAATTCATGCTGTTTTTTGGTGTTCACTGGGTTTTTGTTTTGCTTTGCAATGCTGTGTGTGCCAGTCCCAGGATTTGAACTCAAGACCTGGGCATTATCCCTAAGCTTTTGTGCTCAAGGCTGGTGCTCTACCACTTGAGCCATAGCTCTATTTCTGGCTTTTTTTTTTTTTGGTGGTTCATTGGATATGAGTCTTATGGACTTTCCTGCCCAATTGCTCTTGGAACTCTAGTGTTCAGATCTCAGCCTCCTGAGTAGCTTGGATTACAGGCATGAGCCACCAGTGCTAAGCTTTAATTTTTTGTTGTCAGTTGTGGGGCTTGAACTCTGGGCCTGGGCGCTGTCCCTCAGCTCTTCTGCTCAAGGCTAGTGCTCTACCACTTGAGCCACAGCACCACTTCCAGTTTTCTGGTGGTTTATTGGAGATCAGAGTCTCACGGACTTTCTTGCCCGAGCTGGCTTTGAACCGCGATCCTCAGATCTCAGCCTCCTGAGTAGCTGGGATGACAGGCGGGAGCCACCGGCACCCTGCATAATTATTTTTTTTTTTAGAGAAGCTAAAGGGCTGGATGTAGGGAAGTGGGGAGGAGAGGGGAATGGGCAAGAAGGAAAGGGAGAAAGGGAAGGAGAGAGAAGAAAGAGGGAGAAGGGAATGGGAGAGAGGGATGGAGGGAGGGAGGGGGATGTGGGGGAGGAAGGAGAGAGGAAGGGGAGGAGGGAAAGAAGTAGGGAGGGAGGAAAAGAGGAAGGAAATGGAGGGAGGAAGGAAGAAATGAAGGGAGGAGAGGAAGGTGGGAAAGAGAGGGAGAGATGGAGAAAGGGAGGGAAGGGAGGGAGGACAGAAAGGGAAGGAGGAGAGGAGGAAGGAGGGAGAAAAGGAGGGGAAACAGGGAGGGGGGAGGAAAGGGGCAGAAGGAAAGAGGGAGTGGAGGGAGGGAGGGAGGGAGGAGGGAGGAGTGAGGAGGGAGGAGGGAGGAGGGAGGAGGGAGGAGGGAAGAGGAAGACCTCTTGGGATGTCAGAGGCAGGAGGCCTGACTTCCTGTCTCTCTCAGGTAAACCTTCCCATTTGCTGCCCCTCCCTCGGTCCCTGGCCTGTTCCCGCCTCCTCTGTCCCCTGGGGTGGCTCTAGCCTTTTGATGGGGGTCCTGAGGGGTGCTTTAGGGGCCCAGGGGCTCAGATGAGCTGGGCTGGGCAGAGGAACACCCAGCCAGAGCCGGGGCTCAGCCCCCGAACCCCACAGCTCAGAGGGCAGAGCCCCCAGCTACCAAAGTCGGAGAGGGGACTGAGGCCCTGGAGAGGGGAGAAGACTCCAGACGCCCCATCCTGGGACGGGCCCTGAGGTCAAGTCCCAGGGACAAAACACGGGAGTGTCATGGTCATCAAGAACACACAAGCGTGTACACACAGGTGCATGCACACACACACACACACACTAACATCTCCTGCCCTGTGCCAGCCTACCTGGGGTCACATCCACTCACAGAGAATCCGGGACTACAGCAGAACCCTACCCTCCAGTCCCGTTGGCTTGGCATTCATACACACTAGGTGGGCATCTCCGTCCTTGGAGATGTGCTGTAAGCAAACCCAGCTGCATCCCGACTCTGCCCAGCCCACCCTGCCCAGCCCCACCCTGCCCAGCCCCACCCAGCCCCCCCCTGCCCCGCCCAGCTCCCCCCTGCCCAGCCCCCACCCCGCCCGGCCCCGCCCCACCCCGCCCCGCCCCACCCCACCCCACCCAGCCCCCCCCTGCCCACTCACACTCAGCCCCTCCCCCAACATCCTTCATCCCCCACTGGCTTTTCTCTGAAGAAGCCCGCCCTGAAGGGGGAGACGGGGAAGACTGGAAGGGATGGCTCCAGATGTGGGCGCCTGATGTGGGCTACCGAGTTCAACCTGGCTACTTGTAAGGGTGTCCTATTACCCTAAGCCACATCCCAGGGGCAAATAACCAAAGTAGGAGCATCTCACACACACACACAGAGTCTTCAAACCTCTACCAGCGTCTTCTCCTTGATTAATTTATAGATACATATATACACACATGAGTGTGTACGTGTGTAAAACATCAGCAGGGCGCCGGTGGCTCCCGCCTGTCACCCCAGCTACTCAGGAGGCTGAGATCTGAGGCTCACCCTTCAGAAAGTCCGTGAGCCTCTTATGAACTACCAAAAACGAAAAACAAGTTGGGAGGGGAGCTGTGATTCAAGCAGTAGAGCGCCAGCATTGAGCCCAAAAAAGAAAAACTTGGGGACAGCCACCTCGGCCCCCTGAGTTCCAGCTTCCAGGACTGGTTACCCCCCCCCCGAAAAAAAAACCCCAACTTTATAAAAGGGACCGTGTCCCGCAGCTTCCCCGTGGGGGAAGGCCTCTGCTTCTAGCTCAGCCGGCCATGCCTCCCTGGGGCACCACACATCTGGAAAGGCAGCATTCGAACCCTGTGCCCGAGATCCCTACCACTTGCTCAGGACTGAGATCCCCCGGATTGGAGAAACTCACCACAGGGTGCAGGGCCAGCCATGGTGTAGCTTCAGCCCAGACAGGGCCCCCCGAGGTCCCGGAGCCTAGCCGGCTCGGGGATGGGCTTATGCCGTCCTCGGGGCTAATTCCATCACGGCTCAGCGGAGGGTAGATGTGCCCGCCCCTGGCCCGCTGCCACTTCCTCCTCCTTCCCCGCCATCAGCGCGGCCTCGGCCCAGTCCCGGCTCGGGTGTGGAGGTCCCCTCCCCGCCCCACCCCGCCCCGCAGTGATCGGGCTGGGGCCTGGCCCACCGGGGTTTGCAGTGTTTACCCCAGCAGCAGCTCTTAACCTGGTTCAGGCGTGAGAACTCAGCCGGATTATCTCATGAACCGTCTGTCTGATTCGTTTCCAATCCTGCCCGCAAAGCCACCTTCCTGTGGGCCTATGAATGGGATCGTGGGGGGTGGGGGGCGACACCCCTGAAAAGGACAGAAAGTGGGAGGTATTTTGTTTTTTTTTGGGGGGGGTGTCGGTCGTGGGGCTTGAACTCAGGGCCTGGGCGCTGTCCCTCAGCTCTTCAGCTCAAGGCTGGCGCTCTACCACCTGAGCCACAGCGCCACTTCTGGTTTTCTGGTGGTTCATGGGAGATCAATGTCTCAAGGGCTTTTCCTGCCCGGGCTGGCCTTGAACCACAATCCTCAGATCTCAGCCTCCGAGTAGCTGGGATGACGGGCGGGAGCCACCGGCTCCCAGGTAAGTGGGAGGTGTTTTAAGACTCCCCGCCCCCCCCAAAAAAAAGACACGCTAGGACCAGAGATGCTATTTGCAGCCCCCCCCACACCTTCTAGTGTATGCTTTCTCTCTCCTAGTGATAAATTGGGGGGTCAGGATTGCCCCCAACATCTCCCCAGATGCCCAAGGCGTGGGGATAAGTATACAACACAGAAGCGGCCAAAGGGAAGCTGCGGGTGAGATTCTGCCCCAACCCTGGGCTTTAATCCTCTTATTCTTTATCCAGCACCTTGAGGGGTCCCCCAAAGGCGCTGTTTGAACCCCAACAACGATTCTATAAAGTGAGGCGTAGCCTTGCACCTGTTTTATACGTGAAGATCTTATGACATAAAAAGTCAATGCCAGACGCCAGTGGCGCACGCCTGTCATCCCAGCTACTCAGGAGGCTGAGAGCTGAGGATCTCGGTTCAAAGCCAGCCTGGGCAGGAAAGTCCACGAGCCTCTTATCTCCAATGAACCACCAGAAAACCAGCAGGGGTGCTGTGGCTCAAGTGGTAGAGCGCCAGCCTTGAGCTGAAGAGCTGAGGGACAGCGCCCAGGCCCTGAGTTCAAGCCCCACGACTGACACCAAGTCAAGCAACTAAGACATGTCTCTAAGAGATGTCCTGGGCCCCTGTGCTTAGTGTCCCTCTCCCCTGCAGAGCCTTCTCCTTGTTTGCATCCTATGAAGTCTCTCCACGTCTCTTCCATCCCATCCGCACAGGAAACAATCCCGCCATGGCTCCGCGAGTGCTTTCCTTTTGGCTCTCTCCCTGGGTCTCGTGGCCTCTTTCCTCCAGAGGCACTGCGTTTGGGGGCCTCTTTGAAACGTAGTTTCCAACCAGGCCCTGGTGGCTCCCGCCTGTAATCCCAGCTACTCGGGAGGCTGAGGGCTGAAGATCACGGTTCAAAGCCAGCCCCGGGCAGGAAGAGTCTGTGAGACTCTGATCTCCCAGGAACCACCAAAAAGCCAGAAGTGGAGGCATAGTTCAAGAGGCAAAGCACCAGCCTAAGGGGCAGTGTCCAGGTCCTGGGTTCAAGCCTCAGGACCAGCCCACGCGCACGCACGCACGCACACACACACACACACACAGAGTGGTTTCCCAGTCTGGCTTTTTCTTGACCATCATGAACATGTCTGCAGCCACACACGCGGCCCCGGCACAGGCCATGGATGGCTGACGGCTCTCCGTCTAGTTTCTCTGTGGCCAGGGACACCCGGGCCCCGGACAGTGTTAGGCCACCAGTCAGAAGAGTGACAACCAGCTCCGCACCTATGGATCTGGTTTCCCCCGGAGACAGACTTTAGAGGCTCCTCGGAGATGGGGAAAGAGGCGTGAGCCGAGAGATGACAGCCCTGAATTATTAAGCAGTTACATAAAACGTCCATCTATCCGGCCTTCCCTCTACCCAGCTAAACGCTCCCACTGCGCCTGCTCCTCACAACCGCCGCCATTTTCCTCTCTTGTGGCTTCTCTTTGCAGTAACTGAAACCTGGCCAAAATCTAAGAATGGAGCAATCCCTCGTTCCTACGAGAATAAGGCGGGGGAGCTAAGCCATGGGCTTGGTGTGGAGCACCTGAGTTCTGAAACTGGCCCTGCCTGTGGCAGCTGTGCAACGCTCAGCTAGTGTCCTGACTTCTCTGGGCTAATTCCATGTCCAGGAATGGGACAGAGTCTAATTCCACTCCAACTCCATCATGCCCAGAGTTGAGTCTCCCTGTCTAATTTCTCCAGACGTCTAAGATCTGTTTCCTTGTGGGTCCATCTTCTCCCCCCCCCCCCCCGGGGAAGCCCTCCCCACACGTCTGTGGGTGCGCATGGCGGTGCTCAGGAGCGACCCGGGGCTGGGTGTGAGTGGGTGCTGCCCACGTCCCTCCCCGCCGGGGACCTGCAGTGGGCAGAGCCCGAGGGAGACGGCGGTGCCCCATGCACTGCTGCTGACATCCTCTGTGACTCAGTTTCCCCATCCTGATCCCCGCGGCCGGAGATCGCCCATTTTTCACAGCTCCCGGCTTCCAGATGAGGAAACTGGGCCTGAGCACCAGGAAGGAGCCTGGTGGAAGCTCTGCAGCCTCGCTGGACGCTGCACCCCGGCGAGTATGCACCCCGGCCCACGGCTGCTGAGCAAGGTGAGCGCTTGGTTGGCCTTTATTGTGGGGGGGGGACAGGGGGACAGGCCCGGGGGGCCGGGGGGCTACCGCGCACCCGGCCTGCTGCAGGCCCAGGGGGCCAGGGGGCTACCCCGTGCCCGGCCTGCTGCAGGCCCGGGGCGCGCAGCCGCACTGCAAGGCGTGGAGGACCTCGTGGAACACCACCGAGCCGTTGGTGCAGTGCAGGGCCACCCGCATGGGCTCGGTGCGCGCCGGCGAGCAGCAGGAGCACTGGTCCTGCACGTCCTCCGTGTCGATGGAGTACACGGCCTTGCTGGAGCAGCGGCCCTGCAAGGCACGGAGCGTGGGCGAGGCCGTCAGCCGCTGCGGGGAGGCCGCGTCCCCAGGCCTCCCGCGCTGGGCCTCCCGCGCCAGGCCTCCCCGCGCCGGGCCTCCCACACCGTGCCTCCCGCGCCGGGCCTCCCCGCGCCGCGCCTCCCGCGCCGGGCCTCCCGTGCCGGGCCTCCCGCGCCAGGCCTCCCTGCGCCGGGCCTCCCACGCTGGGCCTCCCGCGCCAGGCCTCCCCGCGCCCCACGGACACGCAGGCCCGTGTGTGTGCAGGCCCACGTTGCTACATCTGTCCACTCGGGGACACAGGCACCCTCTCCTGTAACTCACTTCCCCTGCTCTCTAAAGGGTCTGGCTGGTCTCTCTTCTGGGGTGGAAAGTTTCATGCATTTAAAAACATTCACTCTAGGGCTGGGAAGATGGCTCAGTGGTACAGTGCTCGCCTCACATGCATGAGGCACCCAGAAGCAGAAAAAGCCAGAAGTGGCGCTGTGGCTCAGGTGGTAGAGCGCCAGCCTGGAGCTGAAGAGCTGAGGGGCAGCGCCCAGGCCCAGAGTTCAAGCCCCACAACCGACAAAAAAATAAAAAATAAAAACATTTACTCGAAAAAAAATACACATGACCTTTATAAAAACAATTAAAGACCCATGAAATGAAAAAAAATAATAATCCAGAAGAGTCGCACTGAGTTGAAGACATTTTGGAAACATCTTAGTGAACTGCACTTTACGTCCGTTTTCCTTTTACGTGAATATATATGAGAATGCAGGGTGACTAAAACATGTATAACTGAATATGTCTAAAAGTGTTGTCAACAAGTCTAAAATAAAAAGTTCTTAGGTAATGAGCATCATAAGTAAATAAGTAAGTACAACCTAAAAAGTGTTTCCAGTACCAGGCACCAGTGGCTCACGCCTGTCCATCCTAGCTACTCAGGAGGCTGAGATCTGAGGATCGTGGTTCAGGCAGGAAAATGCAGGAGACTCTCATCTCCAATTAAGCACCAAAAAAGCAGGAGGTGGAGCTGTGCATCAGCCTTCAGTTGTAGAGCTCAAGGACAGCGCCCAGGCCCTGAGTTCAAGCCCCCAGGACCAGCACAACAGCAACGAAATGCTTCCAGACTGGCGGGTGTGTTGGCTCCCACCTGTAATCCCAGCCACCAAAAAAGTTGGGAGTCTGGGAAGCCATCCTAGCTTAGACAGGAGGTTTAGACAGGAGGATCACTGTCTGAGGCTGGCGCCTGGAGGACCCTATCTGAAAACCAACTAAAGCAAAGACAGGCTGGAGCAGAGTGCAAGTGGCAGGTCACAAGGTCCAGAGTTTAAACCCCAGTATCACAAAACCTAAAAAAGCAGAGGGTAGATAGACAGACAGACAGATAGCTATGGATGGATGGATGGATGGATGGATGGATGGATGGATGGATGGATGGATGGGGTAGATGTATGGATAGCTATTTCCAGTTCCTCTCCTCCTTGTGAACTTTCTAGATCCTTCTAGACTATAACTAGAGTCATGTCCAAATAAAAGCTCAGCCCTCCCTCCCTCCCCGCCCCCGTCCCAGGCCTCCTGGAGCCTCGGAGCCCTACCTGGCAGTAATGGATGTCCACTTCATCCTGAGACTTGCAGTCTCCCACTTTGATGTACTTCACGCTGGCCGTGACGTCCCGACAGTCCACCTCCTCGCCTAGGGGGCAAGCGAGAGACGGGGCGTGGGGGAAACTGAGGCTCTGAGCGCAGAAGCATCTGAAGAGAAGCCTGCTTCACGTCTGGCAAGCCGCCACCGCCAGCTCCGTCGCTTCTGGCCCCTCGGACTCCCAGGTCGCCATTAGTGCAGGACCGTTTTAGTTGCAGACGGAGCCTGGCGGCACCGTGCACCCGCCGTGGCATGTGGAGGAGCCTTGCATTCATCTAATTGTTAATTATTCCCGGAAGCGAATGGACACAAACAACCTGCCAAGAACTGGGGATGATAGCTAGCGGACAGGCCCATGCCAGGACCAGCTCTGCGAGGCCGGGAGCCCTGGACGCGATTCTGGGGTCCTCTTTCAGGGTGGTTTGGTTACAGCACCTGCAGGGGTAGCCAGCTCCAGTGGCTCACACCTGTAATCCCAGCTTCTCAGGAGGATGAGGTGGGAGGATCCTGGGCAAGGAAGCCCATGAGACTCTGATCGCCCGTGAACTACGTGGCGCCGGGGCTCAAGTAGTGAAGCGCTAACCTGAAGCACAAAAGCTCAGGGGCAGTGCCCAGGCCCTGAGTTCAAGCCCCAGGACTGGGAGTATGTGAAGTAATCCCTGTTTTCCCTCTGCTTTCCTAGACTAGAAAAACAATCACGAACAAAATCATATTAAGTGAAGAAAAACAATCGTGAGCCCATGAATGCAAAACACAGTAAGAGCCAAACAAGTAAGTCAAATAGAAATGAAAAGGGAAAAAAAGAGAGAGAAAGAAACAAAAAAAAAATTTAGCCTGGGCAGGTAATTCTACATTCTTGTGCTCATGAACAGGAGAAGGTGCTAGAACACTGCCTGGCTCTGTGGGGAGTGTTAGAGATGGTCAGTACCGCCCCACCACTAGGTCAACCACAAGGTCAAGAGCAACCAAGAGTCAGAAAGAGAACCGAGACTTCCCGGCCTGTGGGTCTTTCAGAAGACGCCTTCTGCTCTCTGCAACGCAGGGCACACAGTAGGTAGGCAGGGCACACAGTAGGTAGACAGGGGACACAGTATGTAGAAAGGAAACACAGTAGGTAGGCAGGGCACACAGTAGGTAGACAGGGGACACAGTAGGTAGAAAGGAAACACGGTAGGTAAGCAGGGCACACAGTAGGGAGGTAGGGCACATAGTAGGTAGACAGGGCACATGATAGGTAAGCGGGGCACATGGTAGGCAGGCAGGACGCACAGTAGGTAGGCAGGGTACACAGTAGGTAGACAGGGCACACAGTATGTAGGCAGGGTATGCAGTAGGTAGACAGACAGGGCACACAGTAGGTAGGCAGCGCACACAGTAGGTAGACGGGGCATACAGTAGGTACGCAGGATACACGGTAGGTAGACAGACAGGGCACACAGTAGGTACGCAGGGCACACAGTGGTAGACAGACAGGGCACACAGTGGTAGACAGACAGGGCACACAGTAGACAGACAGGGCACACAGTAGGTAGGCAGGGCACACAGTAGGCAGAAAGGGAACAAGGTAGGTAAGCAGGGCACATGGTAGGGAGGCAGGGCACACACACAGTAGGTAGACAGGGCACACAGTAGGTAGACAGGGCACACAGTAGGCCTCTGCTAGCCAGCGGGGGGGGGGGGGGGGCCTCCCTCTCTCCTCTCCAACTCAGTGTCTCCTGCAATGAATCCCCGCGTGCGGGCTGGCAGTCTGCGCAGACCATCGCTGGAGAGCGCGCGCGCTGGGGGTGCTGGCTGGGCAGGGCAGGGCCTCTCTCCTGTCAGATCCGCCAACAACGGAGACCCCAGGAGGGGAGGGGCTCCAGAGGCGGGAGGACAGAGGAGGGGAGGGGCTCCAGAGGCGGGAGGACAGAGGAGGGGAGGGGCTCCAGAGGCAGGAGGACAGAGGAGGGGAGGGGCTCCAGAGGCAGGAGGACAGAGGGGAGGGGCTCCAGAGGCGGGAGGACAGAGGAGGGGAGGGGCTCCAGAGGCGGGAGGACAGAGGAGGGGAGGGGCTCCAGAGGCGGGAGGAGGGGGGGGGGAGGGGGAGGGGCTCCAGAGGCGGGAGGACGGGGGGGGGGGGGGGGGGAGGGGCTCCAGAGGCGGGAGGACAGAGGAGGGGAGGGGCTCCAGAGGCGGGAGGACAGAGGAGGGGAGGGGCTCCAGAGGCGGGAGGACGGGGGGGGGGGGGGGGGGGGGGGGGGGAGGCGCTGCCTGGGGGCCTTGCGGGGACTGACTAGCAAGGGGAAGCCAACTGCTCAGCGCAGGCCCCGGCATAACGGCCGGCCGGGGATACTTACGTGGTATTTAATATGTATTGAACAGATTTTTATTAACTATTTAATAAATTGTACATTTTTATTAAATGCCTTATTTCTAAACTACCTCTTACATATGCTAAATATTATATATTAATGTAGTCCTTATATTACCTCTACTTAGAGTATCTATATTATATTTTATATATTTACATACTACATAATATACAATGTATGACATCTTACATATATTATGTATATTAAATATTGTTATTTACTGTTGATTAATGGTTAGTTACATAGTATCTAATCATTAGTTGATTATTCATGTCGGTCGTGGGGCTTGAACTCTGGGCCCGGGCGCTGTCCCTCAGCTCTTCAGCTCAAGGCAGGCGCTCTACCACTTGAGCCACAGCGCCACTTCTGGTTTTCTGGTGGTTTACTGAGTTAGAATTTCACAGCCTTTCCTGCCTGGGCTGGCTCTGAACCACGATCCTCAGATCTCAGCCTCCTGAGTAGCTGGGATGACAGGTGTGCGCTACGGGCACCAGCTGAATTGATTTTTCCTTTTTCTGGAATAGGACCCAAGCCCAGGCCGGGCTTAGCACCTGAGGACATACTTACAAGTGTCACAGCAGGTCCCTGGGATTTTCATGATCTTCCCCTGGGAAAACAGAGAAATAGGAAAGGTCACGTGGGCTCTGGGCACCTCCCAGGTGAGCCTGCCGCCCACCACACCTGGCCACGCTCAGGCAATTCTGATTGGCTGCTGCTCTTCTTGTTGTGTGGGGAGGATTTTGTTGTTGTTGTTGTTGTTTATTGTGTTCCTAGGCTTGAACTCAAAACTGGGCCGACTGACTTAAGACAGGCGCTCTACCACGTGAGCCACACCTCCACTCCCAGCTTTTTGCTGGTTGGAGATTAAGAGTCTCACGGACTTTCCTGCTGGCTTTGAACCTGGATTCTCAGGCCTCAGCCTCCTGAGTGGCCAGGACTGCAGGCACCGCCCTGGTGGGTTTGAATTCTCTCCCAACAAGTCACCAGGCTCATTATCCCCAGGGACCCTGCAGCCAGCTCCGCCTCTCAGCTCCTACCCCAGGTGACCGAGCCTGCCTGCCACAAGTGAAAGATTCTTTATCTATTTGGCAACACCTGTGGGGGGCTTAAACCCAGGCGTCCCCACTTGCTAACCAGGAGCTCTACCCATTGAGCCATGGCTCCAGCCCCTTTACGTTATTTCTTGCCCAGTAGGGCCTGGACCATGATGCTCCTATTTATATTTCCCACCATGGCTGGGATGACAGGCGTGCACCAACAGATCCAGCTTTTCTGTTGAGATGGGGCCTTGTGAACTCCTCTGACTGAGAGAATTAGAACCCCAGGCTCCCACTTCCTTAGCAGCTGGTGCCGGGGAAAGATGCTTTCTTGAACATTCAAGAGATCGGGGAACCTCTCTCTAACCAACTCTAACCTCTCTCTAACCAACTCTAACCTCTCCCTAGCCAACTCAATTTGGTCAGTCCATCTTCTATTTTCTTTTTGTCAGTCATGGGGCCTGAACTCTGGGCCTGGGCGCTGTCCCTCAGCTCTTCAGCTCAAGGCTAGTGCTCTACCACTTGAGCCACAGCGCCACTTCTGGTTTTCTGGTGGTTTATTGGAGATCAGAGTCTCATGAACTTTCCTGCCTGGGCTGGCTTTGAACTGTGATCCTCAGCTCTCAGCCTCCTGAGCAGCTGGATGACAGGCGTGAGCCACCAGTGCCTGGCTTCATCTGATCTCACACCAAATAAGAGGTCTGGCCTTGTGCACAGTAAGAATTCTGTCCCAGGTGTCAAGGACAGACAGGTGGAGGCGGAGGCGGGGGTGAGCTGGGACTACTTACGCCCTCTGCCAGGCATCGGTGCTCGTCGAAGGGCGGGCAGCTGGTGACCCTCTTCTCCCAGATGAACTCCCCCCGCTCGCTGACTCTGCACAAGTGGCTCTCGCAGCCGTCCTGGACCGTCTCGTCCCGCTGAAAGGCCGTGCGGGAGAGGGCGGGGCAAACACAGAGGCTGCGTCACAACGCTACGGCAAGCCCGGCTCTCCAGGCATTAAAGAAAAAAACCATGGCACAGGCCCATCCAGGGTGGCCATGCCGTCATCCCAGCTACTCAGGAGGCTGAGCTCGGAGGATCGTGATTCAAAGCCAGCCCAGACAGGAGAGCTGATGAGATCCTTCTCTCCAATGAACCACCAGAAAACCGGAAGTGGCGCCGTGGCTCAAATGGTAGAGAGCTAGCCTTGAGCAGAAGAGCTCAGGGACAGTGGCTAGGCCCCGAGTTCAAGCCCCACGCCCAGAACACAGCAGAGCGGACTCTGTGTTTACCAATGCAGTCACTACGAACAGAGACCCCTCCGTCTACTGCGGCCACACAGCCAGTGACTAGTGACTGACGGAAGGAGACGAGCCAGCACCCCCCAACCCCGCACCCAGCCCCAGCACCCCTCTGTGTCCACCCTGATCGCCTGTCCAGGTCCCACAGATTCTCAAGACTAGAAAAATGATTATCAAAGATCATCCAACATGAGGTCCTACAGCCACTGCACCCTGAGCAGCCAACAAAATAACCCAATCAGGGGCGGGCCCGGGGATTCCGGAAGCCACTCATCTGCTCTGTGACAGGAGGAAGAAGTAGAAAGAGAAGGCATCACACACACACGCTCACACACACATGCACACACATGCACACACACGCACACACACGCGCGCACACACATGCACACACACGCACACACACGCGCACACACATGCACTCACACACGCACACACACGCATGCGCACACACTCACATACACGCACACTCACAAGCGCGCGCACACACGCATGCACACGCACACACGCGCGCGCACACGCACACGCACGCACACGCACGCACGCGCACGCACACACACACATGCACACACATGCACGCACACACGCACGCACACGCGCACACGCGCACATGCACACACACGCACGCGCACACACACATGCACACGCACACACGCGCACGCGCACACGCACACATGCACGCACACGCACGCACTCACACGCACACACGCGCGCACGCACACACACATGCGCGCACACACACACATGCACATGCACACACGCACACACGCCCCCGCACACACACACACGCATGCGCACGCACACACACGCACGCACACACATGTACGCGCACGCACACGCGCACACACATGCACACACGCACACACGCGCGCGCACGCGCGCACACGCGCACACACGCACGCACGCACACGCACGCACGCACACAAACGCGCACGCACACACACATGCACGCACACACGCACACGCGCACGCGCACGCGCACACGCACACACGCACACGCCCCGGGAGCAGAGCAGGTCGGTGTGATCCAGGCTGGGCCTCACCTTCAGCGCCAGGACCTGTCCTCCTCGCAGCCGGATGGTGCAGGCCGAGGGCCGACACCGTCCACAGCACTCCCCCTGGCCCTTCTCCTCCAGGTAACCCTGCATCCGGGGCAGGCAGGGATCACAGTCAGCCTTCCAGAACATTCCAATCACAGAGGGACTGCCACTGCTGGCTTCCCATCTCTCCTTCCCCAGGGTCTGAGAGAGCCAACCCGCCCTAGCCAACTTCCATCCACTCCAGCGCACCCCACGGCACCCCTCCCTCCCTCCTCCTATGCACGCCCCACACTGTCGCGGTCCCATCTATTAACCTCAACCCCACGCTGACAACTGCAGGTCAAAAGCTGAACGCTTTATGAAACCATAACCCTTCATACATCACCTTAGACTAGGGCCCTTTAAAGCCCAGCTACTCAGGAGGCTGCGATCTGAGGATCACAGTTCAAAGCCAGCCCAGGCAGGAAAGTCCCTGAGACTCTGATCTCCAAAGAGCCACCAGAAAACTAGAAGTGGCGCTGTGGCTCAAAGTGGCAGAGTGCTCGCCTTGAGCAAAAGAGCTCAGGGACCGTGCCTAGGCCCCAAGTTCAAGACCCACAACTGACAAAGAAGAAAAAAAAAGAGTCTCAGACTTTCCTGCCCGGGCAGGTTCAGACTTCAAACCCCAGGACTGGCACAAAAATAACTAAATAAATCTAAAATACATTTTCTTTTAAATGATAAAACTAGTTTTTAGCCTACCAAACTAGATCCTGGTCAGACCTACATTATGGAAGTAATTCAGCATTTGAACCGCCATCAGCAAAAAAAAAAAAAGCCAGATCAACTATTGTAAGCCACTTAAATGTCCAATACTGAAAATCTGGTTGTATATCATAAGGCAATTAATTAGTCAAGAGAATGCTATGTTGATGAGCACCCAAAGCAGAGCCTGAAAGGCAGCTGTTGACTAATTCTTTGTGTGTGTGTGTGTATGGTCATGGATCTTGAACTCAGGGCCTGGGCGCTGTCCCTGAGCTCTTCAGCTCAAGGCTAGTACTCTACGACTTGAGCCAAAGTGTCACTTCCGGTTTCCTGATGGTTCATAAGAGATAAGAATCTCACAGACTTTCCTGCCTGGGCTGGCTTTGAACCTTGATCCTCAGATCTCAGCCTCCCGAGTAGGTAGGATGACAGGCGGGAGCCACCAGCGAGTGTCCAGTGAGCTGTTTCTTAAAAGACACTAAGCTGCAACTGTAACATCACCTATCTCTGCCAACAGAAGGTTGGTTTGGAAGACACTGCGGGAGAATGTTGAAAAGGAGCAGGACTAGATTGTAACTATTCCTCAGGGACGCCATGGGGGAGGGGGACTGTTCATCGCTTCCTGGTTCTTGGCAAGGCTCTTCTGTAATTACCGGGGGGCAGGCCTCACAGGTGGTCTTCCTGCACTCCAGCTTGAAGCCCCGGACAGCCCCCAGCTGCGTGGAGCAATGGCAGGTGGTGCACACGTCCACCATTACGCTCTTCCCCGGCTGGAAGCAGAGGACCCCGGATCAGGCAACTCACACCTGCCAGTCCCCACCTACCACATCCCCTGCAGCCAACCCCGTGCTGGTTCTTGGCAGCCTCCCCTTCTGCTCAAGGAGGAAAGATGGTCACCCCAGGAGGCAGCCAGGGCAGGGGGATGAGGGTCAGTTAAGAGCATGTGGTCAGCCAGCACGGGTGGCTCACGCCTGGAGTCCCGGCTACTCAGGAGACTGAGATCTGAGGATCCTCTGTTTGAAGCCAGCCATGAACCAGCATCAAGGCCAGCAGTGGAGCTTGTGGCTCAAAGTGGTAGAGCACCAGCCTGGAGCAAAACAGCTCAGGGACAGCGCCCAGGCCCTGAGTTCAAGCCCCAGGACCGGCACAGTGACTCCTGTGTGTGCAGAGCACGCTCCACATGCCTGAGGCTGAGGCCAGGGGTGAGGGCAAGGCGGAGGGGCCAGGCCCCAGAAGGTCCTACCTGGTGGGAAGAGCCCCCAAGTGCCCTTCTACTTGACCCTGTGTCCCCCTCATCCCTACACCCGCCGCCGCTGGCTCCAGGTCAAAGGTCAGCCACTCACCCCGATGATGGTGCCGTTGAGCACGCAGGCCTCCATGGGCTCTGGGGGAGGGGGGGGCACAGGGAAAGCAGCAGTGAGTGCGTGCAGGCCCTCCCCGGCCAGCCTGTGAGCCCTCCGGCCTTGCCCCCGTCCTAGCCTCCCGACACTGTCTGCTGGCCCTTCCCACCCACCCCTGGGTGCGGCGGTCCTTCTGGAGAGGCCCAGGGCCCGGGTGGAGGTGGGGCTCCGACCCCACCCCAGCCCAGGAGGGCCAAGGGCGGCACTTGCTTGAGTTTGCACGTGGGGGGAGAGGTGGATGAGGCCTGGGTTTGTGACAGACGGCAGTTCTACCCTGGGAACTTTTAGTCCCTGGGGAAATGAGCGGGAGGAAGAAGCAGAGGGTGGCGCGAGCTGCGCGCGCTGGCGGTCATTTGTTCTTCTATTTATCAGGCCGTAGCAAGTGGGAATCCCTCCCCCCAGGAGAGAAGAAGGCTGTGATTGGACAGGTGGCCTCCAGGTGAGAGGGCAGCTGTGATTGGACAGGTGGCCTCCAGGTGAGAGGGCAGCTGTGATTGGACAGGTGGTCTCCAGGTGAGAGGGTGAGAGGGCAGCTGTGATTGGACAGGTGGTCTCCAGGTGAGAGGGCAGCTGTGATTGGACAGGTGGTCTCCAGGTGAGAGGGCAGCTGTGATTGGACGGATGGCCTCCAGAATGAGAAGCCAGGGACGGAACCCCAGTCTTCCCACTCAATAGGAACATGGGGGTCACAGGGAGAAGGGCAGGAAGCCATCTTCACCCCCAGAGCTGGGCAGGTGGTAGCCTCCCTCGGGAAAGGGTCCTTTTTTTTTTCTGTTTGCTCTCACACAAACGCACCAGGATCCGCTGAGAAGCTGGGGGATGGCTGGAGCTGGAGCTCATCCTCAGTGCGGTTCCTGAGCTTTCTCACTCAGGGCTTGGCCTTCTACCACTTGAGCCATACCTCTACGTCTGGCTTTTTGCTAGCTCACTGGAGATAAGAACCTCCCACCGTTTTCTACCCAGGCTGGCTTTGAACCGTGAGCCTCGGATCTCAGCCTCCTAAGTAGTTAGGATCACAGGGGTGAGCGACTGGTAGCTGGCTTGGATGGGAACATTTCGACCCTGCCCACCCCATTTCCCTAAAGCATTCAGGAGCCAGAAGAGGAGAGGGGCCTGATGGCAGACGCAGGCCTGGCTCCGGGGAGGCCCTGTGGGCGCATCTTACCACAGTGGCAGCTGGGGCAGCAGGCTGAGGTCTCACAGCTCAGCTGGAAGCCCGTGGGGCAGGTGGGGACGTCCAGCGGGGGACAGGACACGTTGCTCTGCTGCACGAAGACCTCCTCGTTCACGCGGACACACTGGTTGATGAGGCACGGGTTCTCCTGGGCGGCCCAGCGAGTACCGACCTGCAGAGCACCGGGGGCCGGCAACCGTGACGCACGGGCTGGGCCTGCCCTCCCGTGCCCGGGTGCTGTTCTCACCCGCTTCTTGTGCCCTGGTGGTCGACCGCCCATCCAGGAGCTGAGCCTCACCCCCGGGGAGATAAACAGAGCTCTTCCCACAAGGGCCGCCCAGGGAGCCTGGGTCAGCCTTAAAGAGTCCTCACTCGGAGGCCGCAGCCTCTGATTGGTTCTGACTCCGGGGCTCTGGGGCAGAGGAATGAGCCTGCTTCTGGATGAGAGGCAGGAAAACTGACAGAGCAGGGCGGAGGATTACACATGACAAGAAAGATCCACCAATGGATCCGAAGGGGAAATGGAACGTCATCTAGAAAACTCAAGGCGTCATTCACTGGCTAACACTGAGGAAGAAACCCCTGGGTCTGTGAGGGTCAGGAGAGGTAACTCGGCCTCCTCCTGTTGGACACAGGAAGGCCCACAAGGGCACCTCACATTCACCCAGCGCCTGTGCCTGGAGGTGTTTCCCACACCCCCCTCCCCAGGATGGGACAGGAGGCAAAGCAATAGCCTCATCCTGGCATCCCCTACACGGAATCCTTGAGTTTAGGAAAGTGGCAGACAAGCAAGCAAGTGAGCGCCGGCAGGCAGGTCGCAGAGGAAGGAATTGGAAGGGTGGACGGAGCCAGGCACTGGTGGCTCATGCCTGCCATCCCAGCTACTCGGGAGGCTGAGATCTGAGGATTGTGGTTCAAAGCCAGCCCGGGCAGGAAAGCCCATGAGATTCTGATTTCCAGTAACCCACCAGGAAACCAGAAGTGGCGCTGTGGCTCAAGTGGTAGAGCGCCAGCCTGGAGCTGAAGAGCTGAGGGACAGCGCCCAGGCCCTGAGTTCAAGCCCCACAACTGACACCGCCCCCCCCCACCAACAAAAAAGGGGGTAGAAGGAGAGGGCAAGAGTGAAATGACGGAAGAGTCCAGAAACAAGACAAGTCGCACCGGCCGGACCCACAGAGTCAGGTGCAGGACTCCCAGGAGAGTGGCGCTGTTCGCCGCTCTGCGTGACACCTCTCCAGGCCTCTAAAGCCACCAGGGAGGCTTCAGTGGCAATCCCCGTGAAGCCTGGGGCCTGGGCCATGAGGCTCATGGAGCTTCAGAGGGCAGCAGGGTGGTGGAGACACCCCACAGCCAGCCAGGCAGAGCAGAGCAGAGCAGAAAACCCCAGGGAGGGGGCGGGCCCCTCCAGGTGGGGGGCTGTGAGGGCCATAGCCAGTCCCAGGGGTGGGGGGTGTAAGGTAATCACAGCTGGCATCCAGCCAACACCATCAGCTTCGCTAACCTCCCCAGGGGGGAAGCAGAAGGCAGGGAGGAGAAGCCAAGGGCCACATCTGACCACAGCCCGCACCCCCAGGCTTGGCGCCACTGTCCCCGCCCCCAGGGGCCCCACATACGCTCTTCCAGGAAGACTGCGCGTCGCCCCGCAGGGAGCCGTCCATCACCTCGCAGGCGGACGGCAGGCAGCGCCCACAGCACTCGCCTTCATGGAGGACGTAGGAGAGGCCCTGGAAGGCAGGAGGAGCACAGGTAGCAGCCAGGACACGGGGGTCCCCGCCCGAGCTCCGAGCCCGGGATTGGTGGGCAGTGCGCATAGACGCTTTCATCTCCGCTGTCGCCCAGTCTCAGACTGTGCCGACAGTCAGAAAACACCAGCCACGGTCCCTGGCCCAGGCCCACGTCTGCTGCAGAGGCTTACTAGGCCTCTGGAACATTCCACGTTGAAACCAACACAGTGTACAGGAGCTCTAAAAAGAGCCCAGAGTGCTGGGTGCCAGTGGCTCCCGCCTGTCATCCCAGCTACTCAGGAGGCTGAGATCTGAGGATCACGGTTCAAAGCCAGCTCAGGCAGGAAAGTCCGTGAGAATCTGATCTCCAGTAAACCACCAGAAAACCAGAAGTGGAGCTGTGTAGAATGCCAGCCTTGAGCTGAAGCACTCAGAGACAGCGCCCAGGCCCAGAGTTCAAGCCCTATGACCGACAAAAAAAAGAGAGCAAGCCCAGAGTTCACAGAGCATGGCCAACCAACTCAACCTTGGCCACGGTCAGATCTAGGCCACCACGCTGACCGAGAGTGTGCAGGATGCCCAGGTCTGGTCTCTGCTCTGATAGGGCTTCTGCCTGCACAGGTGAACAGCTTGACCCCAGCACCTCTCACCATGTGTGAACTATAAGCAAGGCCCATTGGCCCCTACAGTGAAAGCCCAGTCACCAGCCTGAGGCGCTGTGGAAGTGATAGAACCGTTAGGAGGTGGGGTCCAGCAGAAGGAAGTTGGTCATTGGGGTGGGGCCTAGCAGGAGGTGGGGCCTAGCGGTAGGCAGTTAGGTCATTGGGGTGGGGCCTAGCAGGAGGTGGGGCCTAGCGGTAGGCAGTTAGGTCATTGGGGGCAGGGCCTAGCAGGAGGTGGGGCCTAGTGGTAAGCAGTTAGGTCACTGGGCAGGGCCTAGCTGGAGGTAGGGCCTAATAGGAGGAAGTTATGTCACTGGGAGTGGGGCCTAGCAGGAGGAGGTAGGGCTTAGTGGGAAGAAGTTAGGTCACTGGGGAGGAGCCTAGGGGGAGGATGTTAGATCTTTGGGGGTGGGGCCTAACAGGAAAAGCGAGAGGAAGTTAGGTCATGGTGAGAGCTTAAAGGAGATTTGGAAACCTTAGCCTTATCCCCTCCCTGGCTCCCCCTGCCCCTCTGCTTTCTGCTCTACCACACACTGCCCACCACAGGCCCACAAGCAAAGGCGTAGCCAGCCACGGACTGAATCCTTTGAAGCCAGGAGTCAACATCAACGTTTCCTCCTGAGCTGATTTCCCCCTGGCTACTTTGTCATGGCCATGAACAATAAACCTGCAGCACACCGCACTGTAGAGACAGGCCCCTCCTGAGATCTCTCGCTTGAGATCTGGCCATGGTTTAAAGACCATGGCATTCCTCACAAAGTAAAAGTGATACGTGGAAGCGGAGCTGTGGCTTGAAGTGGAAGAGCACTCACCTTGAACAAAACAGCCCAAGGAGGGCAGCCAGGCTCTGAGTTCAAGCCCCACCACCAGCAAAAATAAAATAAAATAAAAGCAAAAATGGTGTGTAATGTGAGGGTAAGTAGGGATGGGAGAGGAAATAATGGGGGACAACAATGGAAGAGGTAACACTGACCAATTGTAGTCATAACCTAATAATATTAATATTACTATTAATAATAATCTTTGTTCAACTGCTTGATAACAAAATAAAAGATAATAAAAAGGATGCGTCATATTCATAACCTGACTTGTGAAATTGTAACCTCTTTGTACAACTACTTAATTTTTTCTTTAAAGCAACATGGGTGAGGAGGTCTTAGGGCCTAGCAGGAGGTGGGGCCTAATGAGAGGAAGTTAGGTGATTGGAGACAGTAGGTCTGTCCCCAGGAAGTCTGACAGGAAGGCCGCATCCTGGGAGTCTCTCTGCCTAACTCGCCACCTCTTGGAGGTCCCCGCATCTGCCCACTGCATTAGGATCATGCAATTGTCTCAGGAGCCAGGGGAAGACTCGAGCTTGCAGCTGAGTCCTTAGGAGAAAAGGCTTAGCTGGCCGCCCCACACCATCCCCCAGGCACAGGCAGGAGCAGAACCAAAGCCGAAGAGACACCAGAGGCGCACAGCACCGCCCCCCCCCGAGGGAGCCCCACTGCCTTCCCCCAGAGACTCAGCGGGAGTTCACGCCCTCTCTCCGGGACTCGCTCACATCCCTACCCGCGTCACCGGAGCCCTCCTGCAGCCCAAGCTCCGGGCGTGTACTGCGCATGCATGAGCTGCGAGGGACTGCAGAGTTGTGGATACGTCCAGACAACAAGATCCCCATCCCTCCACGGCCGGCCAGACACCCGAGACGCTCGTGAATGAGAGGAGGGCGCAGAGCACCCTGGAGAGAGTAAGGAACGCTTTCGGAGCCCCAAGAGCCTCCCCTGAGGCCTCTATGCGCGTTGAGCAGCCCGGGGAGGGGGGGGTGCTTCTCCATGGATGCACGCGATGATGCACCTCATCAGTTCCTGATCAGCGCCCCCCACATCCCATCCTGCACGCCTAAGTCCACGTCCCCCTCCCAGGACGCCCGCCCACTCCCTCCCCCAGCCAGCGTGATCCCCTTTATTTCCATTTTTTTTCTTTCGACTCCCCCCGCAAATCCCCGCAGCATGGATGAGTAACACTTGGTATGTCGTGTCCAGTGGGCCTCCTGGACCACCCACTGGACCACCATCTGTGATGAAGCTGGCACCCTTGTTTGCCTAGGCTGGACCTGGGCAGAGCTCTCCCCACCCCCACCTCCCAAGAAGCTAGAATTACAGGAGTGTGCCGCCATGCCCGGACTGGATGAATAGCTTCATGAGCTATGGGAGGTGGCAGAAGTGTTAGGAGGTGGGGATTATGAGTTAGTGCAAGCTCTCCCTCCCTCCCCCTTTCTCTCCCTCCCCCTTTCTTTCCCTCCCTCTCTCCCTCCCCTTCACTCTCTGCCCCTCACACCCCACTCACGGGCCGGCAGCCATCCTCGTCCTCGCAGGGCTTCGGGGAGCACTGGGCCGCGCGCAGGCCTGTCACCGCGTCCTCTGCATCCGTGCAGGTGCACAGCGTGCAGCCCTCCTCCCAGACCTGGCCCACGGGGTACGTGGTGCCTCGGTGAACACAGACCTGGAGACACAGAGGCTCCGTGAGTGAACGTGCCGCTTCACAGGTCTCCTCCGTGGGAGACGCTGCAGCTGCTGAGCACAGGTGGCGCGGCCATGCGCCCTCGTCTTCATCCTCCTCCCTTCGTGCCCCCAGCCCTGCAGACCCCTCGCTCGTCCACGCAGCCAGTCCCTCGTGGTTTGAACAGGACACGCCTGCTGCCTCCGTCCCCTGGACTCGCTGCCTCCCATGAGTGTATTTCTGTGTTCCACAAGAGAAGCTGGGACAAACTCACGCCCCAGCCTCAGACCTGACACAGGAAGGCCATGGGCCGTGGGGTGGCCGTCCAGAGGCTCCCACATGCTCTCATTATTCATGCCCTCAGTCTCTAGCCTCTGTGTCATAAAGTTACTGGAAGAGACACATGTTGCTTCTCTTTGGAAAGGCATTGAGCTGAGCACTGTGGCTCACGCCTCTAATCCCACCTTCTCAGGAGGCTGAGATCTGAGAATCACGGTTCAAAGGAAGCCTGGGCTGGAAAATTCCTCAGATTCTTATCTCTGATGAACCAGGAAAAAAACCAGAAGTGGGGCTGTGGCTCAAGAGGTAAAGCACCATTCTTGAATGAAAACTCAAGGACAGCACCCAGGTCCTGAGTTCAAGCTCCAGGACCAGCAGCCAAAAAAAAGTCTTTTGAAAAAACTGTTTCCCAGTCTACAGAAAAAAAGCTTTTCTCTGTAGGTTTTCAGCAGCCTGGCTCCTCACATGGGGAGCCTTCTAGTTAGACTAACTCGTGGCCTTAGGAGCTCTGCCCTGCGCACAGAACTGAGCTCTATGAAGGTACCAGCCCTAGCTGGGCGCTGTGGAGCAAGCCTGTAATCCAAGCCCCTTGGGAGGTGGAGATGGGGTGGGGAGTGGGAGGGTCATCATGTGAGGGCAGCCTGGTCAGAAATATGTTTGTGAGACTTCATCTCAACCGATGGCTGAGCACTGTACAGCACGTCTGCTCTCCCTGCTTTCGGGGGGGGGGGGGGGGTGGCTGGGTGCGATGGCCTGCACCTGTCACCCTCACCCCCTCACCATGTCCAGTCCCACATGGAGGAGGCCGGCACCCCAGGGGGCCCGACAACAGAGAGACCCTGCATGTGGACGGAGAGAGGCGGGAGAGCCAGGACAGACATCCTAGGGATGTGTCCAAGGGTAAAAGTAGAGCTTGAAGGATTGAAGAGAGGGGTGGGATGGGGAGAGAGGGGGGAGGAGGAGGGAAGGGGTGGTGGGGATCATGCACTGTACCCACAACCTGACATGTGGAATTGAGACTCCAAGATAGTAAAACAAATAAATAAGGAAAAGGGGAGGGGGAGGGAGGAGAGGGGAGAGGAGGAGGGAAAAGAGGGAGGGGAGGAGAAAGGAGAGGGGAGGGGAGGAGGGAGAAGAGGGAGGAGAGGGGAGGAGAGGAGATGGGAAGGGTGGAGGGGAGAGGATGAGGGAGGGGTGGAAGGGGAGAAGGGAGGGGAGGAGGGAGAGGAAGGAGAGAAGGGGGAGGTGGGAAGGAGGGAGAGGGAGGGGAAAAAGGAGGTGGAGAGAGAGAAGGAGAAGGGAGGGGAAGAGGAAAATGAGGGGAAGGAAGGGGAGGGAAGGAGGGAGGAGAGGGAGTGGAGGGAAGGGGGCGTGGCCGACGCAGGATCTCTATGGGGCGGCGGTGGCAGGCCCGTGGGTGGAGCCCGGGCCTGTGGGTGGAGCCCGGGCCCGCGGGTGGAGCTCAGGCCCGTGGGTGGGGCCCGTGGGTGGAGCCCAGGCCCGTGGGTGGAGCCCGGGCCCGTGGGTGGAGCCCGGGCCCGTGGGTGGAGCCCGGGCCCGCGGGTGGAGCCCAGGCCCGTGGGTGGGGCCCGTGGGTGGAGCCCGGGCCCGTGGGTGGAGCCCGGGCCCGTGGGTGGAGCCCGGGCCCGTGGGTGGAGCCCGTGGGTGGAGCCCGGGCCCGTGGGTGGAGCCCAGGCCCGTGGGTGGAGCCCGGGCCCGTGGGTGGAGCCTGGGCCCGTGGGTGGGGCCCGTGGGTGGAGCCTGGGCCCGTGGGTGGAGCCCGGGCCTGTGGGTGGAGCTCAGGCCCGTGGGTGGGGCCCGTGGGTGGAGCCTGGGCCCGTGGGTGGAGCCCGGGCCTGTGGGTGGAGCTCAGGCCCGTGGGTGGGGCCCGTGGGTGGAGCCTGGGCCCGTGGGTGGAGCCCGGGCCCGTGGGTGGGGCCCGTGGGTGGAGCCTGGGCCCGTGGGTGGAGCCCGGGCCTGTGGGTGGAGCTCAGGCCCGTGGGTGGGGCCCGTGGGTGGAGCCTGGGCCCGTGGGTGGAGCCCGGGCCCGTGGGTGGAGCCCGGGCCTGTGGGTGGAGCCCGGGCCCGTGGGTGGAGCCCGGGCCCGTGGGTGGAGCTCAGGCCCGTGGGTGGAGCCCGGGCCTGTGGGTGGGGCCTGTGGGTGGAGCCTGGGCCCGTGGGTGGAGCCCGGGCCCGTGGGTGGAGCCCGGGCCCGTGGGTGGAGCCTGGGCCCGTGGGTGGAGCCCGGGCCTGTGGGTGGAGCCCGGGCCCGTGGGTGGAGCCCGGGCCCGTGGGTGGAGCCCGGGCCCGTGGGTGGAGCTCAGGCCCGTGGGTGGAGCTCAGGCCCGTGGGTGGAGCCCGGGCCCGTGGGTGGAGCCCAGGCCCGTGGGTGGAGCTCAGGCCCGTGGGTGGAGCTCAGGCCCGTGGGTGGAGCCCGGGCCCGTGGGTGGCGCTCGGGCCCGTGGGTGGAGCCCAGGCCCGTGGGTGGAGCTCAGGCCCGTGGGTGGAGCCCAGGCCCGTGGGTGGAGCTCAGGCCCGTGGGTGGAGCTCAGGCCCGTGGGTGGAGCCCAGGCCCGTGGGTGGAGCTCAGGCCCGTGGGTGGAGCTCAGGCCCGTGGGTGGAGCCCGGGCCCGTGGGTGGAGCCCGGGCCTGTGGGTGGAGCCCGGGCCCGTGGGTGGAGCCCGGGCCCGTGGGTGGAGCCCGGGCCCGTGGGTGGAGCTCAGGCCCGTGGGTGGAGCTCAGGCCCGTGGGTGGAGCCCGGGCCCGTGGGTGGAGCCCAGGCCCGTGGGTGGAGCTCAGGCCCGTGGGTGGAGCTCAGGCCCGTGGGTGGAGCCCGGGCCCGTGGGTGGAGCCTGGGCCTGTGGGTGGCGCTCGGGCCCGTGGGTGGAGCCCAGGCCCGTGGGTGGAGCTCAGGCCCGTGGGTGGAGCCCAGGCCCGTGGGTGGAGCTCAGGCCCGTGGGTGGAGCTCAGGCCCGTGGGTGGAGCCCAGGCCTGTGGGTGGAGCTCAGGCCCGTGGGTGGAGCCCAGGCCCGTGGGTGGAGCTCAGGCCCGTGGGTGGAGCTCAGGCCCGTGGGTGGAGCCCGGGCCCGTGGGTGGAGCCTGGGCCTGTGGGTGGCGCTCGGGCCCGTGGGTGGAGCTCGGGCCCGTGGGTGGAGCTCAGGCCCGTGGGTGGAGCCCAGGCCCGTGGGTGGAGCTCAGGCCCGTGGGTGGAGCTCAGGCCCGTGGGTGGAGCCCAGGCCTGTGGGTGGAGCTCAGGCCCGTGGGTGGAGCCCAGGCCCGTGGGTGGAGCTCAGGCCCGTGGGTGGAGCCCAGGCCCGTGGGTGGAGCTCAGGCCCGTGGGTGGAGCCCAGGCCCGTGGGTGGAGCTCAGGCCCGTGGGTGGAGCTCAGGCCCGTGGGTGGAGCCCGGGCCCGTGGGTGGAGCCTGGGCCTGTGGGTGGAGCCCGGGCCCGTGGGTGGAGCCTGGGCCTGTGGGTGGAGCCCGGGCCTGTGGGTGGCGCTCGGGCCCGTGGGTGGAGCCCGGGCCTGTGGGTGGAGCCCGGGCCTGTGGGTGGAGCCCGGGCCTGTGGGTGGAGCCCGGGCCTGTGGGTGGAGCCCGGGCCTGTGGGTGGAGCCCGGGCCCGTGGGTGGAGCCCGGGCCTGTGGGTGGAGCCCGGGCCTGTGGGTGGGGCCTGTGGGTGGAGCCTGTGGGTGGAGCTCAGGCCTGTGGGTGGAGCTCAGGCCTGTGGGTGGAGCCCGGGCCTGTGGGTGGAGCCCGGGCCCGTGGGTGGAGCCCGGGCCCGTGGGTGGAGCCCGGGCCTGTGGGTGGAGCCCGGGCACGTGGGTGGAGCTCGGGCCTGTGGGTGGAGCCCGGGCCCGTGGGTGGAGCTCGGGCCTGTGGGTGGAGCCCGGGCCCGTGGGTGGAGCCCGGGCCCGTGGGCGGAGCCCGGGCCTGTGGGCGGAGCCTGGGCCCTGGGCGGGGCGAGGCGCACCTTGGCGGGGAGGCAGCTGGTGCTGGCGCAGCCGCAGTCGTCGGTGGCGGTGGAGGCGCGGTAGCCGGGCGGGCAGCTGGCCGTGGCGTTGGCGCAGCTGCAGGCGCACTCGTACTGGTCGCAGCACCGCGTGCTCCGCAGCACGGGGGTGCGGTGGGGCGGGCAGGCGGGGGGTGTGGGGCTCCGGCAGGCCTCCTTCTTGCAGGCTGCGGGGAGAGGGGTCGGGATGCAGGGCGGCGGCTCAGCCAGGGCCTCCGTGAGGCCAGCTGCCACCCCAGGGACTCGCGCGACCCCCGCGGTACGCGGCCCGGCAGGCGGCAGGCGGCCTGCGGCGACGTGCAGAGCCCCGGGGCCCCTCAGCCACACCAGCCTCAACCGACACAACCCACGCCCCTCGGGGCCTCGCACAGTACCCCAGAGCTAAGTCCTCCCGCCAGGAGGAAAAGGAAGGCAGTCCAGTCCACAGTGGCACTGAGCACGCGCCCGAGCCCGGCCATGCTCCCGGGGCCTGGACCCCCCTCCCCTCCCGCCAAGGCTCGCGAAAGATCTCCAACCCCAGACCTCACAGTGCACCACCTGCCCACGCGCCGAGCAAGCTCAAGGACCCGAGTTCAAATCCCAAGATCACCAAAAGATTCAACGACGAAGATAAGCGCGGGGGGGGGGGGGGGGTGTTCTCTGTCCTCAGTGACACGGGAAAGGGCAGTGTGAGTAGATTCATCTGGAATCTTCCCACCGGCAGCCCACCCCCCCCCACACACACACACACAGAGACGCGAGGCCTTACCACAGGCGAAGCGGGGCCTGCACTCCCCAGGGTTGGTCAGGACCGGCTGGAGCCCCCCCTCACAGGCAGGCATGGGGGGCACGTCGCAGGTCACCAGGTCACACACTGAGGAAAGAGGGGTCACGGAGGGCTCAGGGGGGGTCTCCTCACCTGCGAGCGAGACCCCGCATACCCATGCCCCCAGAGCTCTGCTGTCCCGGGTAGAGAGAGAGAGCCAACAGAGACAGAGATGGAGACAAAGGTGACAGGCTACGGAACACGTACGCATGCGTGGGGACATGCGTGATGGAGATAAATATATAGCTGTGCGCACGCATGTATGATAGGTACATACACACATGCCTACAGGTGCGTACCCGTGCACAGTGTGCACATGTGTGCAAACGTACATGCACACATGCAGGAGTGTGTGCACGATAGATTAATGCATACATGCAAGCACGTGTGTGCATGTACACAACATGTACATGTGCATGGAAGGCTTGCGCGTGCATGTGTGCATATATCAGCATGTGCATGGTGTGGTGTGGATACATATATACATGCAAGCCTGAGCACATGGAGGAATTGGAGATAATAAGATAGAAACATAGATGCATACTCGCGTGCATGCATGCACACATGTACATAGAGGGTTGGATGGTAAGAGAGGTGGGAAATACATATATATGCACATGGATGGGAGATAGATGCATGCATGCAGACTCATGCAGGAGAGGAAGTAGTCAGTCCATAGATAGTGGATAGATACATAGAGAAACATAGATGCATAAGTAGATACATACATACATTCACAAATGCATAGATGGATGGATGGACGGATGGATGGACAAATGGACAGACAAATAGATACATATAGGCAGACAGACAGATTCATAATAGACAGACAGATGGATAGAAACACAGACAAGACAGATTCATAGGTAGACAGACAGACAGATACACAGATGCATAAATAGATACATAGATACACAGACATATGGATGCATAAATAGATACAGAGATGCACAGATAGACAGATAAGAGTCATGGATAGATGGATAGACAGACAAACAGATAGATTCATGGATAGATATTCATAGATACATAGATACGTAAATACATAGATACATAGTTACATACATACATAGATGGACTAGAAGGTAAATCAATGATCCAAGTCACACCAATTACTCTCATCACCTGCTAGGATTTCCTGATCTCAGCTACATGGGACTACTCTGGGCCTCAGTTTCCCCTTCTGTAAGGGTGGGAACCCTGCCCTGTAGGGTCAGTTCAGGGGTGCAGGAAACAAGGTAAGGAAAGCACCTGGCAGACAGTCGTTTCCATGGGTCTATAAAAGGAGGGCGGGAGCTAAAGCCCCCACCTACCACCCCAGCCCCCTCTCCTGCTCGTGTCTGAAGGCCTAGCGGGCAAACCTCTTCTCAACTCGGACCTCCCTGCCTCTCCCAGAAGACTGTGCTGATTTCTATCAACTTCCATCAGCATCAACTTCCCAGGTGAGTGGATCCTTCCAGATCCCCGGACCTGGCCCAGATCTACTTGAACAGCTGTGCCACAGCCAGACTTCTGACGTGGCACTGTCTGGTGGGCCACTGCCATTCATCCCACCATGAGTTCCACCCCTAGCTCCCTAGCAACGTGTCCTGGGCGGGGCTTTCTCACGCCCCGCCCCCCAGGTCTTATAGCCAGAGAAAAAGCGAACACATCTTAAGAGTTATTCTTCAGGGAACCTCAGGAGCTCAAGTAATCCTTCCATGAATGCTTGTGAGCCCTGCGTCTCATACTCTACCATACAATGTTTCTAGGAAGAAAAGCCTATTTTCTTTTTTTGGGGGGGGGTCAGTCGGGTTGGGTTGGGTTAGGTTTGGTTGTTTGATTTGGTTGTTCAGTTTGATCTGATTGGCTTCGGTGGTTTGATTTGGTTGAGTGGTTTGATTCAGTTGGTTTGGTTTGGTCTGTTTTATTTTGGTCATTTGATTTTTACGTCAATCTATTTGGTTTGGTTGTTCTATTGGGGCTTAGGCGTTTGGTTGGGTTGTTTGATTTCATTCCATCTATTTGGGTTTGGTTGTTTGGTTTGGTTGTTCAGTTTCATCTGTTTGGGTTCAGTGGTTTCATTTGGTTGGTTGGTTTGATTCAGTTGATTTGGTTTGGGCTGTTTTGTGTTGGTTGGTTGATTTAGTTCAATCTGTTTGGTTTGCCAGTTCTCTTGGGGTTTGGGGTTTTGATCTGGTTGGTTGGTTGGATTCGGTTGATTGGTTTGACACAGTTAATTGGTTTGACTCGGTTAGTTTGGTTTGGTCTGTTTCGTTTTGGTTGTTTTGATTTAGTTCGATCTGTTTGGTTGGCTGTTCTAATTGGGGTTTGGGGATTTGGTTTGTTTGTCTGGTTTGATTCGGTTGGTTGGTCTGATTCGGTTAGTTTGGTTTGGTCTATTTTGTTTTGGTTGTTTGATCTGGTTCCATCTGTTTGGTTTGGCTGTTCTGTTGAAGTTTGGGGTTTTGATTTGTTTGGTTGGTTTGATTCGATTGGTTGGTTTGACTCGGTTAGTTTGGTCTGGTCTGTTTCGTTTTGGTTGTTTGATTTCATTCGATCTGTTTGGTTGGCTGTTCTGTTGGGGTTTGGGGATTTGGTTTGGTTGTTTGATTTCATTCGATCTACTTTGGTTTGGTTGATTGATCTGGTTTGGGTATGTGCTCTGTGTTGGTTTGGTTTGGTCTGAATTCAGTCACCCCTAACCCAGCCCCTCTTCCATGTCCAGTGCCTGAGAACGTATCCATCCTTCAGCACCCGGGGCCAGGACACGAGCAGACCCCGGGGAGGCGCGCGAGCTGGACACGTACCACACTCATACTCCGGGCAGCACTGGCTGGGGTGGTGGCGCAGGCGGGCCACTTCGCAGGCACCACACGTGGGAGCTGGGGGGGAAGGACACAGCATTAAGAGACATAAAGGACGTCAGCCCGCAGAGTCCTCCATCGCTGCAAAGCCGCACACGGCCTACCTGGGAACCCCACGAGGATCTAGACCAGGAAATGGGAAGGGAAGTTAGAATCGAGGCACAGAATTCAGCAAGGGGAAGAATCACTTCTGGGCCGGGTGTTGTGGCTCAAGCCTGTCATCCAAGCAACATTCCAGGGAAATGTGGCTCGGGACCAGGCTTGGCATAAAGAAGTTTGAGAGACCCCATCTCAACCAATAAACAAAAACAAAACCAGCTCCAACCTAGGTGCAGCGGTCAGGCCTGTGATCCCAGCTACTCAATACCAGCCCAAAAGTTAGTGTGACCTCATCTCCACCAATCAAAATCTGGACACCACAGCGCACACCTGTCATCCCAGCTACACAGGAAGACAGCCCAGGCAGACTTTGGCACAAAGCAAGATCCTATTCAAACCTGACACAAGCAATAAGGGGCCAGGCGCTGGTGGCCTGTCAGCTACTCAGGAGGCTGAGATCTGGGGATCATGGTTCAAAGCCAGCCTGAGCAGGAAAGTCCGTGAGACTCTTATCTCCAAGGAGCTCTCAGAAAACCCGAAGTGGATGCTGTGGCTCAAAGTGGTAGAGCGCCAGCCTAGTGCGGAAAAAGCTCAGGGACAGTGCCCAGGCCACAAGTTCAAGCCGGCAAAAAAGACAGTAAGGGCTGGAGGCCTGGCTCAGGTGGTAAAGTAGCTGCCTAGCACGCACAAGGCCCTGAGTTCAACCCAGGAAGACCCCGAGTCGCGTGAAAGCTCTTCTTCTCCCGGGCCCCAGGCTGGGGGAACTCACCTCTAGCCGTGGGACAAGGCCGGGATGTGCAGTTGATTTCCCGGCCACTGAGACACATGCAGATCTGACAGGGCTGATGGTCTGGGACCCAGGTCTCCAGGAACTGAGGGGTAAAAAGAGGTGCAGTGAGGGCTTGGGATGCTCTAGGAACGGAGCCTTGGGGAAACTGAGGCACCAAGCAGTTAATTAATTTGACCTAGTGGCAGATCCGTGATTTCAACCCAGAATTCTGGCCCCATGGACCACAACATAGCTGTGCTTCATCCACAGATATAACAAACCACAGAGCTGAAAATGCGGTCTATCAGCACAGTGGAGTATTACTCAGCCATGAAGAAGCATGAACCTGAGCCATTTACAGAAAAAAAAAAAATGAATGGGAACTGGAGATCACCATGCTGAGTGAAGTAAGCCAGTTTGGGAAAGGCAAATATGCCGTGTTCTCTCTTGTATTCGGAATCTAGACCTAAAAAATAATGACAAGAAGGTAAAATGGAGCTGGACCCCAGTGGCCTTTAATCCTATCTACTCAGGAGGCTGAGCTCCTAGGATCGTGGTTCAAAGCCAGCCCAAACAGGAAAGTCCATGCAGCTCTTATCTCCAATGAACCACCAGAAAACCGGAAGTGGAGCTGTGGCTCAAAGTGGTAGAGTGCTAGCTTTGAGTGAAAAAGCTCAGGGACGGCGCCCAGGCTCTGAGTTCAAATCCCATAACCCCCACAAAAAAAAAGAATGTAAAATAGTGTGGGGTTGGAGGTCAACAGGAGAGAGGAGGGTGAATAGGACCAAAGTATATTATATGCGTGCATGGAAATTGTATAATAATTTTAAAGGTAAATAAGTCAATGCCATCTGTTATATGTACATTACATAGCAATTATATATATATGTATATATATATATATATATACATATATATATATATTTGCAGTATGTACCAGAATTTGAACTCAAGAGCCTCCTACTGTCTAGGCTGGCATTTCACTGCTGGGCCATGCCTCCAAGCCTGCTTTGCACTGTCTGTTTTCAGGACAGGGTCTCGATTCCCACCCGACACACGTCTGAGCTGCCACCTGCCTACTTCGAGGCTTTCCTGTCCTGGCTGAGATCACAGGCATGCACCACTGCACCCAGCCTCTTTTTGAAATGTGGTTTTCTCCGGTATCGAAAGAATCAGTAGTTCAAAGTCCTCCGTCGGACATTTCCATCATTCCGGGGAGCTGCGGCAAAGCCTGCCCAAGGCGGGGGTACAGAACCAGCACCCTCAAAAAAGCCTGAATGACAAGGCTTCTAAGAGCACCACACACACACACACACACACACACACACACACACACACACACACACACACACGGGCAGCTAGCTTCCCAAGCCCCAACAGGCTATGCAGTGAACGGGCAGCAGAGGGCGCTCCCACACAGGACTTGCAGGCCATGTTTTCTGTCCAGGTTGCAGGTGTTAAACAGGTACAAGAACTAGCTGGAGTACCAGATTCAGTGAAGGGGGGGGGGGGGATAACACCAGCCAGGGGGATCCCATAGAAGATGTCTGCCTGGGGGAGAGGGAAGGAGGGTCGGGCCCGCGATCCGCTCCCCCAGAGAGACAGACACCCCGCAAACGACTCCAGATCCAGCACCGCCACCCCCCAAGGCTGCGGGCAGAGGCCACATCTCCGGCACACATTTGGTCAAATGAAATGCATTTCCAGAGCTATGGAAACGGGTAAATATTTTCTCCTTTCCCAGGGTACAATAGATTTATACTCTGGTTTATTTCCCTGAAGGAAGATTTGCTGGGCCTTGCTCTTTTTTTCTTTTTCTTTTTTTCAGTTTTAAGAACTCCTTGAGTAGAAATGTCCTTCCTAGTGGATTTTTGCATTCTTTCTCAGCTCTGAAAGAAAAAGCAGAAAATGCAGGTGGCTGCAAAAAACACTTGTGTTCACTCAATTTAAGCTGTTGTTTTCTGAATAGCTAAAGCAGGCTGTGTTCTCTCTCTCTCTCTCTCTCTCTCTCGTGTGTGTGTGTGTGTGTGTGTGTGTGTGTGTGTGTAAGAGAGAGGGGGGGAATATGAGAATGTGCTGGGCCTGGGCCTTGAACTCAGGGCATGGACATGACCCTTAACTTTCTCTGGTGGTCTACTACTTGAGCCACACCTCCACTTCCAGGTGTTTTTTGTTTCTGCTGGTCATGGGGCTTGAACTCTGGGCCTGAGCACTGTTCCTGATCTCCTTTGCTCCAGGCTAGCACCCTAGCACTTGAGCCACAGCTCCACTTCCAGCTTTTCACTGGGTCCTTGGAGATCAGAGTCTCGTGGACTTGTCTGCGCGGGCTGGCACGAATGCCCAGCTCTCAGCCCCCTGGGTGCCCGGGATTACAGGCGTGGGCCACCAGCCCAAGCAGAGGCTGTCCTGTCTTTAAAGGTCTGGCTGCACCATCATGGTCCTTCATCATTTTGTTTAATATGAAATGCCCTCGTACGATCAAACGTGTATTGTCTAGGTGGTGAGGAGGCCTGGGGAAAAGGAGGCCAGAGGAAAGGAGGCCTGGGGAAAGGAGGCCAGGGGAAAGGAGGCCTGGGGAAAAGGAGGCCAGAGGAAAGGAGGCCTGGGGAAAGGAGGCCAGGGGAAAGGAGGCCGGGGGAAAGGAGGCCTCAAGAAGCAGAGGCTGGGGGAAGGAGGCCGGGGGAAAGGAGGCCTCGAGAAGCAGAGGCCAGGGGAGAAGGAGGCCGGGGGAAAGGAGGCCCGGGGAAAGGAGGCCGGGGGAAAGGAGGCCGGGGGAAAGGAGGCCTCGAGAAGCAGAGGCTGGAGGAAGGAGGCCGGGGGAAAGGAGGCCTCGAAAAGCAGAGGCTGGGGGAAGGAGGCCGGGGGAAAGGAGGCCTCGAGAAGCAGAGGCTGGGGGAAGGAGGCCCGGGGAAAGGAGGCCGGGGGAAAGGAGGCCGGGGGAAAGGAGGCCCGGGGAAAGGAGGCCTGCGGGCGGTGCGGCCGCCTGTCACTCACCCAGCCGGAAACGCCACCAAAGGCAAGGCAGACCAAGCACCTGGCCGCCACGGGGTCCACCAGTAACGCTCTCGGCCGTGGGGGACATGGGGAGCGCACACCCCGGCCACAGAGCCCAGCCTCCTTCCCTCCAAGCCCAGCGCGCGCCCGCTCCGCTCGGCCGAGCTCCGTGTGGTACCACAGCACCCGCGTGCGCATGCGCGGACACAGCTGGCCCACACGCCCGCGCATGCGCAGACAAGCCGCGCCGCACGGGGCTGCTGCGCCCACGCATGCGCAGACGCGTGCCCCCCCCCCCCCCCCCCACACACACACACACACACACACACCCTCCCGCGCATGCGTAGAGGCGCACAGTGGACCTTCGTGCATTAAAAGCACTGCAGGGTCCTCCGACAAAGCGGCTGTTGAAAGCCTGGGCACTGGTGGCTCACACCTGCAACCCTAGCTGCCCGGCAGGCTGAGATCCGGGGCTCAGAGACTCAGTATTAACTCCAGTGAACCCCGCAGAAGGCCAGGTGGGGGCCGAGAGATGCAGCCTGGAGAGAGAAGCCGACAGGCCAGCGCGCGGGCCCCGAGTTCGAGCCCCGGGGCCGGCACTGGGGAATTGCTTGGCTGGTCTCGCCAGGGAGAGCCCGGTGGGACAGCACCCCAGGGGAGGTAGGAGGCCAGGCGCCTACCTGGTGGCGGGCTCCGTCCTGCCCCACACACTGCGTGCAGGCCTCCTCGGGGACGCAGCTGCCACCCAGCAAGGCCTGGTTCGGGGGACAGAAGCAGCCTTCTGCAGGATGGTCGCCACAGGAGGAGGAGGAGTGACCGTCACAGCGCCGGGGACAGCTGTGTTCGCAGTGCTTGTACACCTTCGATGGCGGACAGGACATAGCTGTGGACAGAGAATGCGTTCATCCTCATTAGGCCACCGTCAGCTCATCTGAGGCGGCTGATCACCCGACAGAGTTGCTAGGGTGGAGATGAGATGACTAGTTTTCCAGCAGTGTTCAACCTCGACTTCTTTCATAGAAAACAGAATGCTTCGCTGGGCACACCAACTATCTGAAGTTAAGACTACATTTCCCAATGGCCTTTGCAACTAAGTGTGGTCACGTGACTTGTTCTGACCAATGGGCTGTGAGGGGAAGGCAGTATCTAGCTGGCAGACCAATCTGTTATTGGTACTTGTCCCTTTTCCCCCCTACCCCATCCTGCCGGCTGAAGCATGTGTCTGAGGGTTAGATCTCCATCATAAGCTATGAGGGGGAAACACCGCACTCTGCATCAGTGGGTGCGCATTTTACTTCTCTGCTACCTGGCAGCCAGATACCACTGCCCTGACATACTACGTATCAACCATGTGGTGTTTTGTTTGAAGTAAAAATGCATCGGACGCTTTAAGAACCTCTTAAAGTTAAATAAGGAGCCAGGTACCAGTGGCTCACACCTGTCATCCCAGCTATTCGGGAGGCTGCGATCTGAGGATCGTGATTCGAAGTCTATGAAACTCTCACCTCCAGTGAACCAGCCAAAAGCTGGAATTAGAGCGCTAGTCTTGAGCAGAGAAACTCAAGGTAGGCACCCAGGCCCTGAGTTCAAGCCCAGGTCTGTTATGAAAAAAAAAAGGTAAGAAATCCACAGTGGCCTAAGGAGAGGAGCTACAAGGCCACTCCTTTCTTCCATGACGCCCACAAATCATGCAAATGTGAGATGTTGTGAAGCAGGTAATAGATTGAATTCACCAGCACCAGTGGCTCACGCCTGTCCTCCTACCTACTCAAGAGGCTGAGACCTGAGGACTGGGGTTGGAAGCCCCCCCAGAAATCTATGAGACTCTCATCTCCAAGGAATCACCAAAGAATAAAAAGCCAGAAGTGGAGCTGTGGCTTAAGTAGTAGAGCACCGGCCTGGAGCCAAACAAGCTAAGCAAGTGTTCAGGGCCTTGACTTCAAGCCCCAGAAAGAAATAAGTAAATAAATGTTAGTAGAAAGGATTGTGCTGGGATTTACATTGACACTGTACATCCAAGTGCTTCCATAGCTACCATTTATGTGATCTTGACTAGAACCTAGGGGAACAGGAAATACCAGGAGGGGGAAGGGGGTAATTGATCTCCATTTGGAGATAAAGGATCTGCAGCCCAGGTGGACACCGGTGGCTCACGCCTGTCATCCCAGCTACCCAGGAAGCTGAAATCTGAGAATCACAGTTCAAAGCCTGCCCTGGACAGGAAAGTCCATGAGACTCCGATCTCCAAGGAACCATCAGAAAACCAGAAGTGGCGCTGTGACTCTAGTGGTAGAGCGCCAGCCTTGAGCTGAAGAGCTGAGGGACAGCGCCCAGGCCCTGAGTTCAAACCCCACGACTGACAAAATACAAAAAGGATCTGCAGCCCAGACAGGACAAAACAGGGTCCAGGATGTTGTTGTTTTTTTTTTGGGGGGGTGCATGTGGGGACTCACCACAGAAGTCGGCTGCCCTCCAGTCGACACAGACGCCATGGCTGCGACAGAGGTGGGCGTAGGAGGCGATCACCTCGCACACCCGCTCCTGGTGGCAACTGTCCTGCTGGCAGATGGCGTGGAACGTGGCGGGGGCGAGGACCTGGTGGCACTCGGCGAACAGCGGCGAGAGAAGGCGCTGGCAGCGGGAGTCGTCCGAGACGGGACACGCGTCCTCGGGGACGGGGTGGCAGGTGTACCCCGGCTGCTGCACGGCCCACTCCTCCACCAGCCCCTTCCAGTCTGTGGTGACCGTGCCATCTTTCAGCACGAAGTCATTGGCCGCGTTCCCATCACAGATCCCTAGAGATGCCAAGGGAGACAGAGATGGCGGGCAGCGCCACAGGCCGGCCTGGAGCTGCCCAGGGACAGAGCCGGCCTCCACCAGGATCTGAACCCTGCTGGCCAGGCACGTGTGACTCCAACAAGACACGCAAGCATCTGGCATCGCTGGGAGCCCACTGAGGAAGACCGACCATGAGGGAAAGGTTTCCTACCACAGAGACCGTACGTCTTCGAAGCAAAGGTCTTAGGGCTGAGCTGCAGCTGGAACTCGTTATTCTGAGGGGTGAATGTGAGGATGTGGCCCAGCTGGTTGAATCTGACCTCGTACATAATGGCACCGTAGATGCTGACCTCCACGTGGTCACCCACGTACGGGGCTGGAACCAGTCTCCCATCCACCGACACCTGCCCAAAGATGACGAGAGATCTGGCTCAGCCAGCTGCAGGCTCCGCCCCAAACCTTGTAAAGCCAAGGGGGAAGCATGGAGCTGGACATTTGATGGCTATGAGCGTCCAGTAGACAGTCATTCATCAGGAGCCTGACAGCCCAGGGCTCAAAGGGAATCTGGACACTGTGTGACTCCCTGAGTAGAAGCAACCCCAAAAAAGGCCAGGCCCCAAGTGGCTCATGCCTGACATCCCAGCTATGCAAGAGGCTGAGATCTGAGGATCAAGATTCAAAGACAGCCTGGGCAGGAAAATCTGTGAGACTCTGATCTCCAATGAACCACCAAAAATCTGGCAGTGGAGCTGTGGCTCAAATGGTGGAGTGCTAGTCTTGAGCAGAAAAAAAAAAAAAACACTTAGGGACAGTGCTCAGGCCTTGAATTCAAACCCCAGGACCAGCACCCAAAAATAAAATAAAATCCTTGCTAGCCACTCTTTGGGATTCCTACCATACATCATATCAAGTACATTGAGATGCACTTACATCCGCAGTGAATTTTTGCTGTAGAACAAAATTTCTGGAAGGGTTTTTTTTTAATTTTTTTTAATCACTTTGATATTTTTTTAAGCTCTTTTTGGCTATGAGCTATTCGGTTGATATATGGCTCACTACGGTTTGTCAGCCATTTATTGTTCAGATTCAGGAATTCTTACGAAGTGAGAAAAAAGCGCGCTAGCTTAGGAGTTGTTTTCACGCGATGAAACATTTATGATTGCGAGATGAACGAGGAGCAATGTTGGCATCACGCGTAACCTTTTTTTTTCTGCAAACATTTAATCCACCACTTATTTATAGCGCTCCGCCAGTTCCCTGTTTGAATGTTAAGAGTCATACATTTTTGTTTGAGACCCAAAATATTTTCCCAAGGCCCTGATTCAAGCCACATCTATTTCCCTTCGGAAAAATGTATCATCTTGATGCCAACCTAGCTCTCTACCAGAGCCACAAACTGGCACAGAATCCCTAAACTTGAGTCACTCACCCAAATGTAGACCCAAAATGACAAGACATCATGCCAAGACCATAGAGAGAAGACAATGAGATGCTGTGAGCTACTCCTTTGGAAGGCCATCGGCTGCTCATGGTAGAACGTCCAGCCCCTAACTGCCTCATACGTGACAAAAACAGCGGTGCCAGCCAGGTACTGGTGGCTCCCGCCTGTCATCCCAGCTACTCAGGAGGCTGAGATCTGAGGATCACGGTTCAAAGGCAGTCCAGGCAAACAAATCTGTGAGACTCTGATCTCCAGTTATCCAGCAAAAATATATCCATAACTGGAGGTATGGCTCAAGCTGTAGAATGCCAGAAGAGAAGAAAGGAAGGAAGGAAGGAAGGAAGGAAGGAAGGGAAGAAAGGAAGAAAGAAAGCCAAGTGAGCCAGGCACCAGTGGTTCACACCTGTCATCCTAGCTACTCAGGAGGCTGAGATCTGAGGATCCAGGTTCAAAGGCTGAGAAAGTCTGTGAGAGTCTTATCTCCAGTGAACCATCAGAAAACCAGAAGTGGCGCTGTAGCCCAAGTATTAAGCAAAAGAGCTCAGGGACAGTGCCCAGGCCCTGAGTTCAAACCCTAGGATCAGCCATACACACACACACACACACACACACACACACACACACAGCCGAACAAGAGCACAAAGCGCTGAGTTCAAGTCCCAGGATAGGAACAAAGGGGAGGAAAAAGCAGCTTCACCCCAGCACCTGTGTCCAGCCTTGCCCGGGACCCCCCGAGCTCCCCACCTCACCTCCATGTCGTCGTGGAGCTCAAGCGAGATGCCACCATGTTTCACCTCAATGGATTTCACACACATCTGCCTGGGCGCCGAGCCGCAGGCCCCGTTGCGGGCGATCACCTCCAGGCCCTGCTCCTTGCTTTGGAAGAGCACGTAGGCGCAGCTGCCGGTCAGCTGGAAGTTCTGCCCGTCGAAGGTCACGAGGTGGCGGGTGGCGCTGCCCGTGCACACACCTGACGGGAGCGGGGCGGGGATGGGGGGCTTGCACCCGAGCCCGCGCCCACCACCGCGTGGACCAGCTAGACACTGCCTCACCTCCCCCCGACACCCACACTGGCTGCCACTCGGAGGCCCCTAGCGCCTGGGACCTGCCTTTCCCTAGACCAGGGAGCAGAGACCGAGGGATACAGGTTTAGGTAGATTCGGTTTGGACAGTATCTTCCCAGAAAAGGTTTAGATATACATTACAAGAAAATGTAGCACACCCTGGAACTACACTTCCACAGAATGTGTTATTTATGTATTTATTTATGGGCGCTGGTCCTGGGGCTTGAACTCAGGGCCTGGGCGCTGTCTCTGAGCTGTTTTTGCTCAAAGCTGGTGCTGTAGCTCATGAGCCACAGCCCCACTTCTGCTTTGCGGGTGGGTAATTGGGGGTAAGAGCCTCAGAGGAAAGTCTCATAGACTTTTCTGCCTGGGCTGGCCTCCCACTGCGATCCTCAGATCCCAGCCTCCTGAGCAGCTGGGATGACAGGCGTGAGCACAGGCAACCAGCCTGAGCGTTCTCTTATGACAGCTGATCTCGGCAGAGCAGCTTTCCATTGGGAAAGGCACCTGGCGTCTGCTCTAGCTTCCTGCGTCGCCAGGTCCCCAGCCCAGCGGAGAGGTGAAGAAAGAACTCACAGGGGCAGGTCCAGCGACACCCACAGGTCTCCTCCACCCGCACCGGGGACTGGCTGTTGGGACACGAAGGCCGGGGGCCCCGGTCACAGTTGACCCGGTGACTAGTCAGCAAGGTCTGGCCGTCGGGCTGGCAGGTCACCGTGTGGCACCGATCCGGGAGAGTCCACACGTCCCCAGGCTGCGGGAGAAAATGCAGATCGGGCCGGCACCGAGCCAGCCTTCCAGCTCTGAGCCCCGCTGGAGGCCACAGACACGGGGGCTAAAGGAGGTGGTACAGGAGACCGGACCCGGCATGGCAGATTCTCGGGCGGGCCCCCAGAATGGGATAGGAGCAAGCAGGAGAGCGCGGGGCGCGGGGAGCCCACCCCAGAGAGCAGGAGGCCCCAGCGGGCGTGCCCGCCTCCCCCTGGGAGCCCCCAGAGAACACTCACCCCCCTCTCGTTGCCGTCCTCATCCACGCAGATTCCAACCGACCCTGAAACCAGCACCAACAAGCCCTGGGTTCCTCCCTGAGCGCTCTGCCTGCCGCCCGGAAGTTCTCCATCCGCCATACAGAAGCTCTCCACCCATCACCCAGAAGTTCTCCACCTGTCACCCGGAAGTTCTTCACCTATGACCTGGGAAGTCCTCCACCCGTCTTCTAGAAGTTCTCCACCATGGATCAGGCACCTAATCTTGTCCTCAGTCAGCATGATATTAAAAAAAGCCTACGAGATGTTCACAGTGGAGACAGGGGCCACCAGGCTAGGAGGGGACCATCCTGTTCCTTCAGACACGCCCCATGAAGGTGGACAATTCTGGCGACAGCAGTGGTTACACGCAGAGTGTGTGTCACACGCAGAGTGTGTCAGGGAGAAGGAGAGTGAGAAGCAAGACCTGGAAGGCCGACATTGCAGAGCTCCGCTTTGGAGACAGCTGCTGGGCCTGGTCCCCCTCCACTCCAGCCAGAAGCTAACGACACAAACACCCAGCCGTGCGGGCACAGCGAGCCGCACCTGTGGCCCTGGGTATCAGATGGGCGGCTGCTACATTTCTAAAACTCTCCGTGTGTAACCTGGGTTAAGAGTGAGTGTGGGCTGGGAAGGTGGCTCAGTGGTAGAGCGCTTGCCTCGCATGCGTGAGGCCCTGGTTCGATTCCTCAGCACCACATAAGCAGAAAAAGCCAGAAGTGGCGCTGTGGCTCAGGTGGTAGAGTGCCAGCCTTGAGCCAAAGAGCTGAGGGACAGCGCCCAGGCCCTGAGTTCAGGCCCCACAACAGACCAAAAATAAATAAATAAAAGAGTGAGTGTAGCCAGGTAAGAAGGTGTAATCACAGTACTGGGAGGTAGAGACCAGAGGGTTCTGAGTTCAAGGTCAACTCAAGAGCAACCTAGGCTACATAATGAGATTGCCAGAGGAAGCAACAGAGAAAGGGGGAAGGAGGGAGGGGGGAAAGGGAGAGAAGGGGAGATGGGAGGGAAAAGGGGAGAAAGAGAGAGGAAGAAGAGGAGGAGGAGGAAGGGAAGAGGAGGGAAGAGGAGGAGCGAGCCGAAGAGGAGAAGGGGAGAGAGGGAAGGGGTGGGGAGTGGCCATACACAGAGCTATGATCTTCAGGATGTTAGGGTTCCATGTTTTGGGGGGTTTTGTCCATTTTTTCCACCCAAGATCCCTCTACACAAACCAGCATGCATCTTCTCCTTCCTGTTTACAGTATGGAGGAGGACACAGCAACCACTTCCCTGTGACCGCTGGCGGCCAGCTGCATGCACCCACGTGTGCGGGCGTGCACATGCATGTTGCCCAGGGGTGTGCGCCTGCGTGTAGGGGCCGAGAATGCTCAATGCTCACCCACGCAGAGTCGGCGGAGGAAGGAGCTGCCCAGGGTGACAAGGTCCCGCAGGTCTTCCACTCGCCGGAGCCTCAGGACGTTGGCACTGGCCGCGGGGCCTGCCAGACTCCCCAGCTGGGCCGCATCGTAGTGATCCCCGATTCCAATGGGGAACACGGCCACTCCTGGGTTGGTGAGGGAACGGGGGGGCAGGGCTGTGGCTCTGGGGGGTGCTGTGTCCAGCACCTGCATAGAGCGCCATCTTTCCTGCCCTGTTCACACGTGATAGGAACACTGACCGAGCCAACAAATGCTAGTGAGCTCTCACCCCGGGCCGGGTGATCTCAACGATGAGACGGAGCGGTGAACCAAGCAGACAGTGCCCAGCTCCATTCCCACCCCCAGCCTCGGGGCGCTTGTGACAGGAACAACTCCAACCACGTGAACAAAAGCTAAGCTTGCTGAGCAGCGCATGCCTGTCATCCCAGCGACTCAGGAGGCTGAGATCTGAGGATCGAGACTCAAGGCCAGCCCGGGCAGACAAATCCATAAACAAAACTCCTATCTCCAGTGAGCCAGCGTAAAGGCGGATGTGGAGCTGTGGCTCAAGTGGTCGAGCACCACCCCTGAATGAACAGGCTAAAGGAAAGCGTAAGGCCCTGAGTGCAAGCCCCAGTACTGGCACAAAACTAAAATAAAAAAGGAAGGAAGGGAATGCCCATGGGTAGGATGGGAGGTTGGGGCTGCTGAAGCCAACCTGGGCAGAAAAATTAATTGGCGACTCCATCCCCAATTGGTAAAAGCTAGACTGAGAGTGTGGCTTAAGTGGTAGAGCACCAGACTTGAGCAAGAAAACCAAGCTTAAGCTGGTACAAAATTAATAATAATAATAATGCAATCTGTTTGCACTCTTTGAGTAGTATAGATGAAATACAGGGGGAAGGCCTCCACCTTGGAGCCTCCATCCTCAGATCTCAGCCTCCTGAATAGCCGGGATTACAGGCATGAGCCACTAGCTCAGTCAGTCGATCTAAAACCAGGGAGAGGGGGGGAATGGAGCCGATTTCCCATCGGTCAGGGCTTGGGGAAGGAAGCCCCTCCATCCGGGTTAGAAGAGTCTCGACGGCCGCCCCGAACACTTACGGCTGGCACGGGCAGCACTGGCCGCAGCCTCCACGGAATCCACGGACACGTCTGTGGCCAAGATCACCACCACCTTCAAGGCCTCAGGCCTGGCACCGTGGACTTGAGAAGTGACGTACCGCACTGCGAAGGCCAGTGCTTCCCCTAAGCAAAGAGGATGGGGCGGGGGGGGGGGGGGTCAGTGCTGGCCACAGGAACCGGGCCAGGGGCTGAAGGGGGCGTGGCTCAAGCAGTAGAGCACCTGCCTAGCAAGTGTGAGTAAGGTCTAAGCTCAATTCCCAGGAACACTTCAAAATAAAAAAATCTAAGCACTGGTGCTCACACCTGTCATCCTAGCTACTGAAGAGGCTAAGATCTGAGGATCACGGTTCGAAGCCAGCCTGAGAAGGAGACTCTTTTTTTATTTCATTTTTTATTTTGCCAGTCCTGGGAACTCAAGGCCCAGGCGCTGAAGGTCACTGACATTCTTCTGCTCAAGGCTGGCGCTCTGCCACTTGAGCCACGGCGCCACCTCCAGTTTTCTGGTGGTTCACTGGAAATCAGAGTCTCACAGACTTTCCTGCCCCAGGCTGGCTTCCAACTGTGATCCTCAGATCTCAGCCTCCTGAGTAGCTGGGATGACAGATGTGAACAACCAGCACCTGGCTAGAGGACCCTTATCTCCAGTTAACTACCAAAAAGTCAGAAGTAGAGCTGTGGCTCAAGTGGTAAGGCGCACACGCACACACACACACACACACACACACACACAACTATACAACTTGAAGTTAAGGGGAAAGAATGATGGAAAGAAAACCTTGACCAACAAGCATTGTACTCATAACTGGGCTTATAGAATTGTAACTCCTTTGTACAACTACAGGAGAAAGAGGAAGAAGGGAAGAAAGGGAGAAGGAGGAGGAGGAAAAAGAGGAAGAGGAGGAGGAGGAAGAGGAGGAGGAACAGGAGGAGCAGGAGGAGGGGGAGGAATGGGGGAGGAGGAGGAGGGAGGAGGGGGAGCAGAAGGAGGGAGGAGGGCAAGAGGAGGAAGAACAGGAGGAGCAGGAGGAAGAGCAGGAGGAGGCGGAGCCTCTGAAGCCTCGTGGACAGCCAGCTCATGCACAAGGTGGACACCACGGAGCGCGGGCGTCCAGACCACCAGGCCCCGCCCTCCTCAGGCCGCGGGGCGGGGCACTGGAGGAAGTCACCGAGTAGTGGGCGGGGCCGGGGCGGGACGTACCATGTGGGCGGGGCGAGGCTAGGTTACCCATGTGGGCGGGGTTAGCCTTTTGTGGGCGGGGCCGGGGCAGGGCTTACCATGTGGGCTGGTCTGTGTTAATGTACGGGCGTGGCCGGCGTTAGCGGGCGGGCGGGGCCGGGGCGGGCTTACCCATGTGGGCGGGGTTAGCCTTTATGAGCGGGGCGGGGCTGGGGTTACCCATGTGGGTGGGTGGGGCGGGGCTGGGGTTACCGTGGGGGCGTGGCCGGCGTTAGCGTGCGGGCGGGGCCGGGGCGGGCTTACCCATGTGGGCGGGGTCAGCCTTTGTGGGCGGGGCGGGGCTGGGGTTACCCATGTGGGTGGGCGGGGCGGGGCTGGGGTTACCCATGTGGGTGGGTGGGGCGAGGCTGGGGTCACCGTGGGGCGTGGCCGGCGTTAGCGTGTGGGCGGGGCGGGGCTGGGGTTACCCATGTGGGCGGGCGGGGCGGGGCTGGGGTTACCCATGTGGGCGGGGCGGGGCTGGGGTTACCCATGTGAGTGGGCGGGGCGGGGCTGGGGTTACCCATGTGGGTGGGCGGGGCGGGGCTGGGGTTACCGTGGGGCGTGGCCGGCGTTAGCGTGCGGGCGGGGCGGGGCTGGGGTTACCCATGTGGGCGGGGCGGGGCTGGGGTTACCCATGTGAGTGGGCGGGGCGGGGCTGGGGTTACCCATGTGGGTGGGCGGGGCGGGGCTGGGGTTACCGTGGGGCGTGGCCGGCGTTAGCGTGCGGGCGGGGCGGGGCTGGGGTTACCCATGTGGGCGGGGCGGGGCTGGTGGGCGGGGCGGGGCTGGGGTTACCCATGTGGGTGGGCGGGGCGGGGCTGGGGTTACCCATGTGGGTGGGCAGGGCGGGGCTGGGGTTACCGTGGGGCGTGGCCGGCGTGAGCGTGCGGGTGGGCGGGGCGGGCTTACCCATGTGGGCGGGGCCTCCCTCGCGCTGCATGAGGTCCACCAGGCCGAGCAGGTGCGCGCTCTGCTGGGCCGCGTCCCAAGGAAGGTCGATGGTGGGGGCGGCTCCGTACTGCAGCACGGCCACGTGCGTGCGCTGGGGCCCTGGCCGGGGAGGGGAAGCCGGAGGGGGGCGCTGAGCACCCGGGAGCCTCCCCGCCCGGCCCGGCCCGGGCTCCGCGCCCCGCCCCGCGCACGCGCGCGCGCGCGGCTCACCGAGGTCGGCCCTGGAAATGAAGGCCTTGGCGAAGGTCTTCATCGCCTCGAAGGCCGCGGCCGGGACGCGGGAGGAGGCGTCCAGGAGCAGGACCACGTCGCGAGGCCGGCTGCAGTCTGCAGGGAGAGCACGCGTCACGGCACCGGGAGGGGGGACGGGGGCCGCCAGCCCGGACACCCCACCTCCGCCCCCCATCCACCCCCCACCGGAAGCTGCCCCCTCTTCTCCCGGAAGACAGGCCACGGGGGGCGGTTCTGGTCGCAAACCAGGCGCAGGTGGCTCACACCTGTCATCCCAGCGGCTCGGGAGGCTGAGATCGACGATCGCGGTTCGAGGCCAGCCCGGGCAGGAAAGTCCCTGAGACTCTGATCTCCCAGGAACCACCAGAAAACCGGACGTGGCGCTGTGGCTCAAGGGGTAGAGCGCCAGCCTGAGCTGAAGAGCTGAGGGGCAGCGCCCGGGCCCCGAGTTCAAGACCCACGACCGACCACACAAAATAGGAAGGACTCTAGACTCTTAGGAGCACACAGGGACCAACGTCTGGTGCCTCCGATCCTATAAAACAAGACTTACCAAAAACCCCAGGAGACGAAGACAAGAAAGAAAAAGAGCGGGAGAGAGAGTGGAAATGCACAGCCGTGTCCACTGCAGCATTGTTAGCCACAGCCAAGATACGGAATCACCCCGAGACCCCTCCGGGGACGGCTGGATCAAGAAAGCCTGGCATCGATGCCCAGCGAACCAATGATGCTGTGACATGTCAGGAAATGGAAAGACTGGGAAAGTTATACTAAGCGAAGACCTAAAGAAACATAGGTGGCACGTTCCCCTCATTTGTGGTAGCTAGAATGTACTTGTAAATCTACACGTAAGCAGGCTGGATGGTTAAAAACTAGTACACTGGACAGGATACATGCTGCAGGACTCTGAGCATTCATGTACAGTGAGACCAAAGGAGGAGATTGTTAGGACAGGAGCACAAGGTCGTATGAAAGCGTAGTTATCCAAATGAGCGCCAGGAAATAGAAACAAGAGGCTTTTCTTTGTTGTTTGTTGTTGTTTTCTTTCCTTTTTGTCTCGTGCGTGGGTCTCTCTGTCTCTGGGAGGGGGGGGGCACAGAAATGGAGGGATGAGGGTGGACAAAGGCAGCCGTGGCCCTCACTGGACACGAGGTCGAGAATGAGCTCTGCCACTCATGAGTGGGGATGGGAGAGAGGACAGAAGGGGGAACAGGATCCAAAAAGAAATGTGCTCATGCACTGGCTTCTGTGACTGTTACCCCTCTGTCCATCATCTGTAGCCTAAGTCTTTTAAATGCATTTTTTTGCCAGTCCTGGGACTTGAACTCAGAGCCTGGGTGCTGTCCCTGAGCTTCTTTTGCTCAAGACTAGCACTCTACCACTTGAGCCACAGCACCACTTCCAGCCTTTTCTGCTTATGTGGTACTGAGGAATCGAACCCAGGGCTTCATGCATGCTAGGCAAGCACTCTACCACTAAGCCATTTTTCCAGCCCTAAATGCATTTTCTTTTGCCAGGCAGGGGGCTTGAACTCTGGGCCTGGACACTGTCCCTGAGCTCTTCAGCTCAAGAATGATGCTCTACCACTTGAGCCACAGCGCCACTTCTGACTTTTTGGTGCTTCACTGGAGATAAGAGTCTCACAGACTTTCTTGGCCTGGGGCTGGCTTCGAACCACGATCCTCAGATCTCAGCTTCCTGAGTCGCTGGGATGACAGGCGGGAGCCACCGGCACAGGGCTGCATTTAACTTGTTAAATGGAATTTCATTTAAATCGGAAGATGCAGCAGGCCCAACTGAGGCCAGAGTTTTGTGCAGAGGGTGGAAAGCTGCGATGAGAAGTCCAGCTGTGGCCAGCTGTGCTGAGGACGCTGGGCTCCCACCCCCACCCCTCCGCATACACAGCTTACCCAGGGGAGGGGGCAGCGTGGGGAGCTGCAGCCTCTGGAGCACCAGGTCAGGAGCTTCCCGTGGAAGTTTCTGGAAGTCCTGGATGAGGATGGGGGCGTTGGGGTAGCCCATCCTCTCCAGCTCGTGCACGTCGGCATGGGGGCCCACGCCGATGGGGATCACCTGGATGTCTCCAGGGAGCCGCCGGATCTCGTCGGACGCAGGGTTCCCCGTGACCATGTAGACCAGGTTCGGGGCCTGCTCGCGGTCCCCGTGGCCGGGGGAGAAGCTGCGGTTGGCCAGATACTCGAGGGCCAGGCCGGTGTTGGTGCGGTTGCCGCCCCGGTACGGGATCTCCCGCAGCCTGTGCAGGACCTCGTCCGCGGTCTGGGTGTGGTTGAAGGAGTACTCAGCCATCACCGAGTTCGAATACTGCAGCACTGACACGTGCACGCCGTCGGGGCCCACGGCCAGGCTGCCCACCACCTCCTGCACGAACTCCTTGCTCTTCTGGAAGTTCTCCTCGCCGACTTTGTCCGAGCCCTCCAAGACAAACACCACGTCGAGGACCAGAGGCTTCCTGTGGGATCCTGGGGAGGGGCTCCCCGAGATCTCCGGGCTCGCCGTGGTGATCTGGGCCTGGGGCGGAGGCTGGGCGGGGGGCAGGGGCTCAGGGGCCAAGTCGCAGATGTAACTGATGATGTCGTCTCTCCTCTGCGCCAGCTCGCCCACCCCACTGAGCACAAACGCCTTGTTCTCGGGGGCCTGCTTCTCGATGAGGCGGATCTGGCGCAGGTTGGCATGGGGCCCGATGCCCACGGGGATCACCACCACCTTCTTCTTCTTCAGGCCCTGGACGTAGCGGACCAGGTTGCGGGCCAGGCGGGGCGGCTCCTGGCTGGCGGTCAGGAGCAGCGTGACGCGCAAGGCCTCGGGCCGATCGATTTGCCCGAAGATCTGGAAGAGCGTGTACTTCATCACCTCGCTGGTGGACGCCACCTGGCTGCCCACGTACTTCACGTGGCTGGCCACGCGCCGCAGCTCCGACGGCCGCCGGCGGGCCCTAAGCTCAAGGTAGGCGTGCGAGCCGTCGTGGAACTCCACCAGGGCCACGCGGATCCGCTTCTGCGAGATGTGCAGCCGCTCCATCACGCTCACCACGAAGCCCTTGAGCTCCTCGAACTCGGCCTCCGACAGCTTGGACGAGCCGTCCAGCAGGAACACCAGGTCCAGGAGCTTGCTGCAGTAGAAGTCGTGCAGCGGGGGCTCTGGCGTGTCCTCCACGTCCGGGGTCGGGGGTGACGGCTGAGGCCTCCGTGGGGGATCCCGCCAGGCCTCTGGGGTGTGGACAGGCCTCACAAGTGAGGTTGGCACCATCACAGTGACTGTGGCAGAATACAGAGAGACAGGCATGATGGGGAAGGAGCTGCGGGCACACCCCAGCAAAACCCAGGGGGGGACCAGCACCCGGCGCGCTCGGGACAGCCTCCTGCTCCCCAGAACACTCCCAGCCCGAGTGACGTGCCACTTACGCATGCATGCACACGTGTGCACACACATGTGCACTCACCCATGTGGGCACACCTATGCACACCCAGACGCATGCACCAAATCCACGCATCCATGTGTGCACACCTATGTGTAAATGTGTGCAAGGCACGCAGGTACTCACCACATATATACACTGCCCGCCTTTGCACACACATGCACCAAATGCATGTCTGCACCTGTGTGGATGCACTGTGTGCATGTTCACATGTGTGGACACACTTTTGAACGCATGTGTGCCCATGTGTGCATGGTGCATTCGTGTAAACGTGTGCGTGTACATACCTACATGGATGTAGATGGGTGTGCACTCACAGGTGTGCATATCCTGTGAACCTGTATGCATGTCTGCATGTGTAAATATGTGTGAATGAATGCACATGCACATGCAACGTGCTCACCATCGCATGCACTCACGTGTGCATGTCTGCACGCTCAGGTGCACGTGCGCACTGCATGGACATGCTCACACGTGTGCATACAGAGGGGTTCTTCTGAAGAGGAATGGCTTAACACTGCAAACGGAGGAGGGGGAGGAGGGGGAGGAGGGGGGAGGAGGAGGGAGGAGGGGGGGGGGGAGGGAGGGGGAGGAGGAAGGGGGAGGGAGGGGGAGGAGGAGGAGGGGGACGGAAGAGGAGGAGGGAGAGGAGGAGGAGGGGGAGGAGGAGGAGGACGAGGAGGAGGGGGAGGGAGGGGAGAGGGAGGAGGAGGGGGACGGAAGAGGAGGAGGGAGAGGAGGAGAAGGGGGAGGAGAATGAGGAGAGGGAGGAGGAGGAGGAGGGGGAGGGAGGGGAGAGGGAGGAGGGGGGAGGGAGGGGAGAGGGAGGAGGAGGGGGAGGAGGGGGGAGGAGGAGGAGGAGGAGGAGGGCGGCCGGTTTGGGAAAGATGGCTATGAATTCCCAGCTCTGTGTAGCAGGACAAAGGATGCAGGCATGCGCAGGATTAGCTCTAGGAACAGCAGCAGCTCCGCCATTTGCCCTGCGCAGGCCCGTACGGTGGGCATCTGTGATCTGCCAGGCACTGGCTGGGCCCTGAGCTCCCCCCCCCCCCAAGACACCCCACAAATCTTCATCAAAGCCACTGCCTTGCTGGGTACCAGCGACTCCTGCCTATCATCCCAGAGACTCCAGAGACTGAGATCTGAGGATGGAGATTCAAAGCCAGCTGGGGGAAGGGAAGTCTGTGAGATTGTTATCTCCAATGAAATACTACCAAAAAATTAGAAGTGGAGCTCTGGCTCAAGTGGTCGAGCTGGGCTCTGAATTCAACTGCCAGTACTGGTGCAAGCAAGGGATGGAAGAAAGGAGGGAAGGAAAGAGGGAAGGAGGGAGGGAGGGAGGAATGGAAGGAGGGAGGGAAGGGAAGGCAGGCAGGCAAGCCACTGCCTCGGCCACAAATTCCTAATACCAAATGCCTAACTTTTCTGGCCACTTTGCCTTTTGGCACACATCTTGGAAAGTTCCAGTGTACGCGGATCACAGAAGAAAGCAAGGGACCCTGAGGCGGAGAGCTGAACACACTGGACCTTCTCTTTTTCCACAGCCTGAGCCTCCGGTCCACTCAGGAAGTAAAGCCAAGACAGCCCTGTCCCGCCTCCCACCCCAGCCTCGCTCCCTCGCTGCCCTAGACTGTCTTGGCTCAGGCTGGCTTTGAACCACAATCCTCAGCTCTCAGCCTCCTGAGCAGCTGGGATGGCAGGCGGGAGCCATGGGACAACCTTGCTTGCCAAAGCCCTGTTGTCTGAGGACTCTGAGCCACACAGAGGATGCACACACTCGGCCATCCTTTATTCCTGTCTGCCCTGGCACAGCATGGGAGAGCAGGAAACTAATTCCTATTTCCTCATCATTTGTGGGATTTATCGCTCCAGTCCTTGGTGCAGAGCGGTCCTGAGTGACATACTCTCTGGTTTCCTGTGTTTTTCTAGAAAGCTCTCCCTGGGCCATGCTTGGGTCTTGTTTATACAGATGGCGGCGGCAGGATCTGGCTCTAGAAGCAGCAGCCGCAGCCCCCGGCCCCAGCCGGCTGCACTTGTCAAGATGAAGTTCCTGCCAGCCTGGGGGGGGGGGGGGGGCTGTGGTAATGAATGAGGTCCAGCTTCAGAAAGCTCGGAAAGCTCCCCGGCCGCCCCTCAGACCCTTCCCGCCTCTCCCAAAGCCAGCAACTGCAGGTAGAGCTCAGGGTGAGCCGGTGCCCCAACACGGCCAGGTCACACCCAAGGTCAGGGTTACTTCATCTGCACCCCACCTCGGAGACGGGGAGGGGGGGGAGAGAGAGAGAGAGAGACAGACAGACAGACAGACAGACAGAGACAGACAGAGACAGAGAGACAGAGAGAGCTGGGTGCCATTAGCTCCCGCCTGTCATCCCAGCTACTGAGGAGGCTGAGATCTGAGGATCGAGGTTCAAAGCCAGCCCGGGCAGGAAAGTCCGTGAGACTCTGATCTCCTTAAATTACTCAGAAAAAGTACTGGTATAAAAAAGAAGGAAGAAAGGAAGAGAGGGAAGGAAGGACGGAGGAAGAGAGAGATGGAGGGAGGAAGGGAGGGAGAGAGGATGGGAGGAAAGGAGGGAGGGGAAGAAAGGAGGAAAGGAAAGGAGGAAGGGGAGGAAGGAAGGGAAGGAAGGAAGAGAGGGAGGGAGGATGGGAGGAAGGGAGGGAAGGAGGAAGAGAGGAAGGAAGGAGGGAAGGAAAGGAGGAAGGGGAGGAAGTGAAGGGAGGAAGGGAGGGAGGGAGGGAGGATGGGAGGAAACGAGGGAAAGGAGGGAAAGGAAGGAAGGAGGAAAGGAGAGAGGAAGGGAAGGAAGGAAGGAGGGAGGGAGGGAGGAAGGGAGGGAGGGAGGGAGGGAGGGGGGGAGGGAGGGAGGGGGGGGAGGGAGGGGGGAGGAGTAGCAGTAGCTGGGGAAGAAGCAGTCTAGTCTTCTTCTCTTTTGTTTTTAGGTCCAAGAGTGGGATTGGAACTGGGCACCTGACGCTTTCACTCTTTGGGCCTCTTCCCTTAAAAGAAGAAACATCTGGAAAGTTCTGAAGGGACTGGCTGAGGAGGAGCACCCCAGGGCCCGGGCCGCGGTGCTGTGGGGAGCCAGGCGCCCGGGCGCAGAGCGGTGGCTGGCGCAGCCGGGGACCGGGACCGGGGTGGGTACCAGGTCTGGCAGCGTGCAGGGTCCTCGGGGTTCAAGGTGACCTTCCTCCCGGGCGCCAGACGCCGGCCCGACACCTCGCACACCGGGCAGTCGCGGGGCTCCACGCAGGTCTGCAGGAGCTCATCCAGGACCTTCCCTGTGAAACGCGGCTCTCCTTAGCACCTGACCCAAGCCTCCGCACAAAGAAGGCCCGGCATGTCCCGGCCCGGCCTCCACCCCCCCCCACAGCCTCCTTCCCCCGCCTCCTTCTCCCTGGCCTCTTTCCTCCTGGCCTCCCTCCATAGCCCTCTCCCCCCAGCCTCCTTCTCCCAGGCTCCTCCCCCCAGCCTCCTTCTCCTTGGCCTCCTCCCCCCAGCCTCCTTCCTCCAGCCTCCTTCCCCCGGTCTCCTCCCCCAGGCCTCTTTTCTCCCAACCTCCTGCCCCCAGCCCTTTCCTCCTGGCCTCCTCCCCCCAGCCTCTTTTCTCCCAGCCTCCTGCCCCAGCCTCCTTCCCCCGGCCTCCTCCCCCCAGCCTCCTTCCTTCAGCCTCTTTCCCCCGGCCTCCTCCCCCCAGCCTCTTTTCTCCCAGCTTCCTGCCCCAGCCTCCTCCCCCCAGCCTCCTTCCTGTCCTGTGCCTCCACTAGTGTTTCCTGCAAAGCTGGGAGGGAGCGGGAGGCAGTTCCTTCTGCTGCCATCTCCCCCAGCTCTAGGACTCACTAAATCTCATCTCCAAGGGCCACGTGTGGCTATTTAAATCTCAGTGAACCAGCGCGGTGGCTCCCGCCTGTCATCCCAGCCACTCAGGAGGCTGAGATGTGAGGATCGGGCTTCAAAGCCAGCCCAGGCAAGAAAGTCCGTGAGACTCTGATCTCCAATGAACCACCAGAGAACCAGAAGTGGCACTGTGGCTCAAGCGGTAGAGCACCAGCCTTGAGTGAAAAAGCATAAGGAAAGCACCCAGGCCCTGAGTTCAACGAAAAATAATTTTTTTCCAATGAAACAAACTTCAGACTCTGATTGTTTCAATCCCAGATGCCTTAGGTCCCACTGCGTGCACAGAACACCTCGTCGATGGCAGGCAGAGAGGTCAATTAGAAAGAGGCCCCGACCCCAACTGGGGAGACTGAGGCAGGAGGAGCTCAGGGCCAGCCTGGGCCACAGAACAAGACCTTGTGCAAGAGTCAGGAACAGGGAAGGGAGGGAAAGAGGAAGAGAAGGAAGAAGGGAAGAAGGGAGGAAAGGAAGGAGGGAGGGAAGGGGGAGAGAGAGAGGGAAAGAGGAAGGGTAGAAAAAAGAGGGAGGAAAGGAAGGAGGGGAAGGAGAGAGAGGAGAAAGGGAAGGGAGTGATGGGAGAGGGAGGGAAGAAGGAAGGAAAGGGGGGAAGGAGGGAGGGAGGGAGGGAGGGAGGACCATAAATAAACTTACAATAGACTTGAGACGCAGGGCTTGGACCTAACTTGGTGCTAAGGCCATGTGCAGCGCACAGGTGGGGACCTAGGCTCCATTTGGCCCCAGAACTTTTATCTTTGTTTTTTTTTTCAATTTTGCCAGTCCTAGGGCTTGAACTCAGAACCTGGGTGCTGTCCCTGAGCTTTTGTGCTCAAGGCTGGCGCTCTACCACTTGAGCCACAGCGCCACTTCTGGCTTTTTTTTTTGCTGGCTCACGGACTTTCCTGCCCGGGGCTGGCTTTGAACCACGATCCTCACATCTCAGCCTCCCGATCCTCACATCTCAGCCTCCCGAGTAGCTGGGATGAGAGGCGGGAGCCAGCAGTGCCCGGCCGGCTCGGGAATAAAACCTTTTTATTTCGCGCAAGCATTCGGCAGGAGCTGAAGTTGGCGATGTGGGAGCTGGCCTGGCTTGGATGAGGGGAAGGGTAGGGTGGGGAGGGAATGGCTGCGTGGACGGCAGGGGTGAGGAGAGGGGGGGCTCAGGCTGAGGAAGCAGGGGAGGGAAGGGGAGATGTCAACCCTGAGAAGCCAGCCCAGCCCCCGGCCTGTCCCGCCCACTGCCTGGCTCCTGGCCCCGCCCCTCGCCCTCCTCCCTCTCCCGGCCCCAGCCAGGCCTTACCTGGAGGGCAGTGTGCATGGCAGCCCTCCACACACTGCACAGGGCAGGCCAGGGGCTCGGGGTGCTGGCAGGTGACGGGGCAGGCGGGGCGCGCAGCTGTTGTACCGCCACTCACACTCGTAGCCGGTCTCGCGAACGTTCCTGTCTTCGCAGCTCTGAGCTGGGGAGGGGCAGGCAGAGGAAGAGTGGGGACCATGAGGTTATCATGGAGGCCCTGGAGGGGGCGGGCAGGGGCCAGAGGCAAAGGTCGGAGGAGGAGGCAGCAGTGGAGACCTAAAACGAAACCAAGAACCTAGGGGCCCAAATTGCTGCATCAAAACATTTTGTCTTGGGCACCGGCGGCTCCCGCCTGTCATCCCAGCTACTTGGAGGCTGAGATCTAAGGATCACGGTTCAAAGCCAGCCCGGGCAGCAAAGTCCATGAGACTCTGATCTCCCATGAACCACCAGAAAACCAGAAGTGGCGCTGTGGCTCAAGTGGTAGAGCGCCAGCCTTGAGCTGAATTGCTGAGGGACAGCGCCCAGGCAGGCCCTGAGTTCAAGCCCCACAACCGACAAAAAAAAAAAAAAAGCATTGAGTCTCAGATACCAGTGCTCACACCCGTCATCCCAGCTACTCAGGAGGCTGAGATCTGAGGATCATGGTTCAAAGCCAGCCCAGGCAAGAAAATCCTTGAGACTCTTATCTCCAATGAACAAGCAAAAGGCCAGAGGTGGAGCTGTGGCTTAAGTGGTAGAGTGCCAGCTTTCAGAGGAAAAGCTCAGGGACAGCATCCAGACCTGTGTGCAAGCCCCAAGACCAGCACACACACACACTGCCAAGGAAAGCAGATTCTAAACGCATGAGCTAGCCACACTGTGGCAAACAGAACTAGGTCCAAGTAAACATATATACTAAGCCAGGCACAGGCTCACGCCGTCATCCCAGAGACTCAGGAGGCTGAGACCTGAGGACCCCAGTTTCAAACCAGCCTGAGCAGCAAAGTCCATGAGACTCTGACCTCCAATCCACTACCCAAAGCAAAGCCAGAAATGGAGCTGTGGCTCAAGTGGTACAGCACCAGCCTTAAGCAAAAGAAGTTTAAGGACGGCACCGGGGCCCTGAGTTCAAGGCCTAGGAACTGCACCGATATAAAACATTCGGAAACACACACATACTGACTGCTCACCCCCCCTCGAGAACACCTTACCCACGTGGCCTCCTCTCTCTCCTCGGCCCGTGGCCAGTCATCTAGCTGCCCGCTGGGGTTGTCCCTGTCTCCCGTGGGGGTGTCCTCCATCCACCTGTCCCCCACGGACTGTGGTGTCTAGATGCTGGTGGAGGGTGGGGGAGGGGAGGTATGTGGGACCCCCCCCCCTCCCCCCGGGCAGGGGGAGGCGCTGGGACTCACAGCACAGTGTGGGCGTCCTCCAGGCCACCACCTGGCCCCGCTGGGCACAGGCGTGGGCGTAGGCAGCGATGGTGTCGCAGAAGCAGGCGCAGTCCCCCACCGACTCGCAGGAGCACGTGTCGTAAACGCAGACGTCCAGGTACGGCTCGGGGTCCACCTGAGAAAGGAGTCCCCCCACCCCGGGGGTTGATGACCTCGGCCCTAGACACTGGAGGCCCGTGGCTCTTGGCCGGGTCAAGAAGGTTCTGGTGGTCCATAGGAGAAAAACGACCTTCATGTCCCTGAGAACGCACCAGGGGCGCATGCCTGTAATCCCGGCTACTCGGGAGGCTGAGATCTGAAGATTGTGGTGCGAAATCAGCCTGGGCAAGCAACTTCCAGAGGCTCTTATTTCTCCTTAACCAATGGACAAGCCAAAAGTGGAGGTGTGGCTCAAATGGTAGAGCACTCAGACATGAACAGAAAAGGCCAAACTAGAGTGTTGAGACCCATGGGCTGGGCAGGTGGCTCCGTGGTAGAGTGCTTGCCTAGCATGCATGAAGCCCGGGGTTCGATTCCTCAGTGCCACATACACAGAAAAAGCCGGAAGTGGAGCTGTGACTCAAGCGGTAGAGCACCAACCTTGAGCAAAAGAAGCTCAGGGACAGCGCCCAGGCCCTGAGTTCAAGCCCCAGAACCGACAAAAAAAAAACTAAACTAATTTTTTTTCTTCTCTTCCTCAGTGACTCATCACAACCTTCTCCGCTGTGGGAGGAAAGCTTCCACGTTACCGGGTAATAAGAAGGTGACAGGCACCAGAGAAGACTCAGGACCCCAATACCCAGCTAACAGAGAGACGAGAATGGCTTCCTGCTTTCCATTTCCATCGGAATCCACAGTCATACTTAAAAATATCAGCAGGAGGGCGGGGCAGGTGGCTCAGTGGTAGAGCGCTCGCCTAGCATGCATGAGGCCCTGGGTTCGATTCCTCAGTGCCACAGACACAGAAAAAGCCGGAAGTGGCGCTGTGGCTTGCTTGGTAGAGCGCCAGCCTTGAGTAAAAGCAGCTCAGGGACAGCGCCCAGGCCGCAAGTTCAAGTCCCAGGACTGGCCATAAAACAAAAAGCAAAAACTGGGATAAAGGACGGGTCGCTGAGGGGTTGTTTAGGTGGGGATTGGGGCAGGGGTAACTGTCAGGGCTCAGGTATGGAGACACAGATCGGGGACGGGCGCTTGGCTTTGGAGCTGGGGGTGAGGTGACCCCAAGTTAGCACCACCGGGGACTGAGGCAGCCGGGCAGGGGAGCGGGTGTGTCTCAAGTTCAAGACCAACGCGTGGCCGGGCCTGGCTTGTCCAGGAGCCCGGGCTGGACGGGTGTCTCCCCCCCACCTCCCTCCCCACACCCGACCCCTGCCACACCCGAGTCCCTCACCAGCTGGTTGCAGGCGTGGAAGAGGTCACTGGTGAGAATCCTGCAGGAGGAATCGGCCACCGACTGCCTGCCCAGGTCACCGCCGCACAGCGCCGGGGCCATGCCCAGGGGGGCCTGTGAACCCCGGGGACAATGCAGTGGGCACATGGGGGGCCCAGGCCTCCCCCGCCTTCCTGCCCTCCCCCGGGAGACGGGGCTGGGTCCCGGCACACACAGGCACATGCACACCCACCTTGCGTGCGTCGGCGCACTGCGCGCTCACTTTCCAGGAGTTGCCGAAGTCCACGGGGTCCTCCTCCACCCGGAGGCTGCTGCTGGTGAGGTCGTTGTTCTGAACCCCGTCGAAATTCCCGCACAGACCACACACGCGCCCCTGCCACAGACCGGACGGACGCGTGAGCCCCGGACCCACGCCGCGCAGGGAGCAGGCAGAGAAGACGGAGGAGGAAGGGGAGGAGGGGGGAGGGGGGAGGGGGAAAGGGGAGGAGGGGGAGGAAGAGGAAGGGGTGGAGAGGGAGGAGGAAGGGTGGAGGGGAAGGAAGAGGAGGAGGGTGAAGAGGAAAGGGAAGATGAGGGAGGAGGAGGGGGAGCGGGAGGAAGGGGTGGAGGAAATGGAGGAGGAGGAGGAGGAGGGGAAAGGGGGAGGAAGAGGAAGGGGTGGAGGAGAGGGAAGGGGAGGAGAAGGAGGGGGAGGGGGAAGAGGGAGGAGGGGGAGGGGAAGGAGGGGGGAGGAGGAGAGGAGAAGGAGGAGAGGAGGAGGAGGAGGAAGAGGAGGAGGAGGGGGAGGTTCTCGCCTGTGAAGATGGCTACTCAGGAGGCTGCGATCTGAGGATCACAGTTGAAAGCCAGCCTAGACATCAAAGTCCATGAGACTCTGATCTCCAATGACCCACCAAAAGGCAGAAGTGGCGCTGTAGCTCAAGTGGTAGAGCGCCAGCCTTGAGTGACAAAGCTCAGGGACAGCGGCCAGGCCCTGAGTTCAAAGCCCAGCACAGACACAAAAATCAACCAATCAATCAATCTACAGCCGTCTCAGCGGTGGCATGGAGACCCTGCTTGCTGAGACTCAGTCAGCCGCTCGGCCAGCAGAGCCTGCCCCGTCCACGCGGGACATCACCAGACGCTGAAATCACCAGGGCCTGAGCCAATGCCATCACCTTTTCCAAAACCACCTCCACCAGTGGGTTCACAAACAGCTCCCCCCACGCCCCAGAAAAGACAGGGCGGGGTGAGCCGGATAAAGCATGCTGTCTGCGTGAAACCCTTTTGCACAATTAACAGACATTGATGGACAGATATAGATATAATTTTTTTATCCGTGGTGGGGCTTGAACTCAGGGCCTGGGCGCTGTCCCTCAGCTCTTCAGCTCAAAGCGGGTGCTCTACCACTTGAGCCACAGCGCCTTCCGGTTTTCTGGTGGTTCTTTGGAGATCAGAGTCTCACAGACTTTCCTGGCTTTGAACCACGATCCTCAGATCTCAGCCTCCTGAGTAGCCGGGATGACAGGCGGGAGCCACTGGCGCCTGGCAAATAAATTTTTTTTTAAGGACCCCATAGTAAGAGAGTAGCCAAGAATACCAGGCTGTGTTATAGTGCCGGGCAGGTCCGATTCACCTCTCCCGGTTATATCGCTCACATCGCCCCGTCCTCCTCTTCTTTTGTGTAAGAACGGAAGTTGCGGTGGCTTGGGTCACCTCCACCTGGCCCTGCACACCTGGCACCAGGACCTGGTGGCTCACACCTGTAATCGCAGCCACTCGAGAGGCTGCGATCTGAGGATTGTAGTTCCAGGCCAAAAAAAAAAAAAAAAGGCTCACCTTTTTAAGTCCCCAGCCGCAAAACTGGGCTGGAGGCGTGAATCGGGTGGTAAAGCACCACCAGCCAAGCAAGCGGGGTGCTGATGGTGCTGGTGGTGATTGGCAGGCCGCTCGGAGTCCTGATCCAGGCCCCGAAGCACCGGTCAGGGAAGAAGGCAGAAGGCTGGGAACTGACCTGGAAGGTCTGTTTGAGCACCACGGAGAGACTCCGGTGCCGGTCCCACACCACAGACAGGGTGCGGCCCAGGAGCACAATGAGGTAGCGACCGGACTCCACCACCTCCAAGAGCGACTCATCCTCCAGGGGCCTCTTCACGCTCACCTGCCAGAGCGGGGCCAAATCTAGCACGCCGGCCGGGCAGCGCGGCGCACGCCTGGAATCCCCACCACTGAGGAAGATCGCGGTGTGAGGCCGGGCGTGGATGGGAAAGAAATCCATACACAATGTGGGCGAGACCTCATCTCAACCAACAGGCCGAGGGAGGAAGATCCACAAGGCTTTACCAGAAAAAAAACCAATGATCTGAGGTGCAGCAAGCGGGAGGGGGAGGCGCAGCCCATGGCCCCCCAGCATGCATCTCGATGTCACCCCAAACAGGGTCCCCAAGGGCCAGGGCCGCAGAGCCCCCAGATAGACAGAGGGCTAGGAGGACGCGGGGGTGGACGGCCTGGCCACGGTGGCACCTCACCTCCCCGCCGAACAGCTCCACCTCGCCTCCTTCCGCCAGGATGGTCACCCGCTTCTGGCAGGCCACTGCGGGGGGACCGCACCCCTCATTCCCCACCAGCACCGCGGAAGGTGCCTGGGCTCCCATCGCAATGGTCCTGGGAAGAGAGGGGAGGGAGGGAATGACTACCCCACCATCCCTCCCTGGCCATGACCACAGGGCATTTGCATGTCCCGATGCACATGGGGGCGGGGCTAGGAACGAATGTTTCATTCGGGGGCAGCGGGGGAGCGTGAAGTGGAGAAATGGCCAAGCCGATCAAGCCACATGCCAGCCCGTCTCAGTCCCACCCTGGGTCCCCCCACAAACAAATCTCACCCCATTCTCGTGGCTCATTCAACCCCTCCCTCCGGCTACCAGGCCCAGAATGGAACCAAAATGGCTCAGCCCAGCCCTGTGGGCTCCTAACAGCACCCCCATCCTTTGTGTGTGTTTTTGGTTTGCGGGTGTGTGTGTGTGCGTGTGCGTGCGTGTGTGTGCGCTTGCGCGCGCATGGGTCCTGGGACTGGAACTCAGGGCCTGGGCACTGTCCCTGAATTTTATGTTATCTCTTATTGTACTGTGCTCAAGGCTGGCACTCTACCACTTGAACCACAGCTCCACTTCTGGCTTTTTTTTGCTCACTGGTTCACTGGAAAGTCTCACAGACAGATTTTCCTGCCCTGGGCCGGCTTTGAACTACGATCCTCCAGATCTCAGCCTCCTCCTGAGGAGTTAGGATGACTGGCGTGAGAGCCGCCAGCACCCGGCCTTCGTGTGTGTGTGTGTGTGTGTGTGTGTGTGTGTCTGTGTGTGTGTCTGTGTGTGTGTGTCTGTGTGTGTGTGTGTCTGTGTGTGTGTCTGTGTGTGTGTGTGTCTGTGTGTGTGTGTCTGTGTGTGTCTGTGTGTGTCTGTGTGTGTGTGTCTGTGTGTGTCTGTGTGTGTCTGTGTGTGTGTCTGTGTGTGTGTGTCTGTGTGTGTGTCTGTGTGTGTGTGTCTGTGTGTGTGTGTCTGTGTGTGTGTGTGTGTGTGTCTCTGTGTGTGTGTGTCTGTGTGTGTGTCTGTGTGTGTCTGTGTGTGTGTCTGTGTGTGTGTGTGTCTGTGTGTGTGTGTGTGTGTGTATGTGTGTGTGTGTTTCTTGGCTCCACGTAGTTCTTTCCTGTCTATGCTGGACAACTGGGAGTTCTGTGAGGCCACACCCACCCAGGACTGGGACATCACCCCAGTGCAACCAGAGTCTCACACACACACACACACATGCACGCACACACATGCACGCACACACTCATTCTCTTCTAGACTTATTTCTACAAATACAATGGCAGAATCCAATGTGGGAGCTCCCAAAATGACCAACAGCACCCCCTCCCCTCCCCTCCCCTCCCTCCTCCCTTCTCCTCCCCCCCTCCTCTCTTTCCCCCCCTCCTCTCTTTACCCCCCTTCCTCCCTTCCCCTCCCCTCCCCTCCCCCCTCCCCCTCACCTGCACCAGGACGTACTGGCACTCCCCAGGGAACAGATACTTGAGCCCGTCGAAGGTGATGTAGTGGGCCATGCCCAGCACGGAACACGTGGCGTCACACACGTGGTCTGTGCAGTTCCACTTCCGGTCCCGACAAACGCTGGGGACAGTGACACCAAAGATGGAAGAAGGGCAGGGGCTGTTCCTGGGGTTGGGAGGGCAGGGGAGGGTCCCACGGAGTCTTAGGAGTGACAGAAGAGAGACGACGGAATGGAATGGAAGGTTCTGGAAAGTTCTAGAAAGGTGACAGACACTGAAGGCTTGCCACCCAAAGAGCATGAACTCCCACAGGCCCAGCGGGTGGGAAAGGAAAGCGAAGCTGCTCTCTGGTTCCAAAGGGGAAACTGAGGCACAGGAGGATTTGTCTGAGGTGATCCAGGCAGCTGGAAAAGGAGGGAGGAAGCCAGGGTCCTGTCTGGGCTGCCTGCCGTGGCCTCATTCTGGAAGCTACCGCTGTGTGCAACTGTAGCTGTGTGTTTTTAAAAAACATATAGACACTGGGTGCCGTGACTCACACCTGTCATCCCAGCTACTCAGGAGGCTGAGATCTGAGGATCACGGTTCAAAGCCAGCCTGAGCAGGGAAGGCCGGGAGACTGTGATCTCCAATAAGCCACCAGAAAACTGGAAGTGGTGCTGTGGCGCAAGTGGTAGAGCACCAGCCTTGAACTGAGGAGCTGAGGGACAGCGCCCAGGCCCTGAGTTCAAGCCCCAGTATCAGCAAACAAACAAAAAACCCTATAGTGATTTTCCTATGGTGACGCGTCCCCTCCAGCACCACCCCATAGCCAGAGCTGACCGCGGAGAGCCTACCTGTGCGTCAGAGTTGGGGTACAGCATCCCCGCCCTGTCCTGCTAGGGCTGTGTACCACCCAGAGCTCAAAGGCAGAGTGAAGGGGAGAGGGACCCCAGGCCCTTCACCAGTTACCCCTCAAAGCCAAGTGCTCAGGGGCGGGAATGTGGACACAGCACCCCCGAACCCCTTGTCTCTGACAGACCGATCACAGACAGAGAAACTGAGGCACAGAGAAGCGATACCAAGGCCCCCCAGGCTCTCACGGGGGGTATCAGCCTACGCTGAGGCCCTGTGTGGGGGTCACCTCTGCTCCATGGTGACATATGGGCCCCAGGATCCCCCCCACCGCACCCCACCCCACCCCAGCAGCTCACCACGTGTTGCAGTCCATCTTTACCGTCTCCCCCGGTGCGTACTCTCTGCCCTGGTGGAAGCAGGGACACCTCTCCAGGGCCACACACCGATTGTCATGGCGGACCTGCAGGGAACAGACAGACAGACAGACAGACAGACGGTGAGCCTCGATGGGGACTGGCTGGGGCCTGATCACCTGGGTCTCCTCCTGCAGCGTGACCCGGAACCTTTGTGACGGTGTCTAGAAACCCCCAGGGGGGATTCAGAAAGAGTGAGCACCGGAAGTGTACGTGCCCGGTCACATTTCCCAAAGGACCGCTCCAGAGGAAACGGGAATGGGGACCATGGCCGACCGTCCCCGCTGATGGACGCGGCCGAGAGCCAGGGTGGAACAAGGATGGAGTCCTTAAGGAATCCCCAGGCGTCCTTTGAGAGACTTCCATAGAGTGAGACACACGCACACCACTGGTGCGTGTGTGTGACACCCAGACGGGAACTCAGGGCCTCAGGCCAGGCAGGTGCTCCACCACTTGGACCACGCACACGCGCACACACACGCACACACACACGTGCACGCACGCACACACTCACGCGCACGCGCGCACATGTGCACACACACGCACGCACGCACACACGCGCACACACACGCATGCACACGCGCACACACATGCACGCACGCACGCACGCACACGCACGCACGCACACGCATGCACACACACGCACGCACATGCACACGCATGCACACACACGCACGCACATGCACACGCATGCACGCAGGCGCGCGCACACACACGCACATGCACGCACGCGCACACGCACACGCATGCACGCACACACGCACACACGCACACACACGCACGCATGCACACACGCACGCACACGCACGCACACACGCACACGCACACACACACTCACACACACACACTTTCGTTGTGTCCTGGATAAGATCTCATAGACTGGCCCAGGGCTGGCCTTGGACTGTGATCCTCCTACCACCACACTCCACTTATTCACCGACTTGGAGGTCTCCCCAACCCAAGCCTGATCCTCCGAGCTCCGCTTCCCCAGGTAGCCGGGGTTACGGGTGTGACCCACCGCACTGGCTCATGCTTACACCACTCAGAAAACTGCTCAAACATGTGGTCCCAGTTTGACACAGATGCGTTTTATATGTATGTATATGTAAGCATGTAAGTATATATACTGTACCAGTGCTTTCCTCCCCTGCCTGACTCTTATAGACAGATAATAAGACAGACAGACAGACAGACAGACAGATAGATAGGCAGGCAGGCAGGCAGGCAGGCAGGCAGAGACAGACCGTCAAGACAGGCAATCAGACAGATAACACAGACAAATAAGACAGATAGATAGACAGAGACAGTCACGACAGACAATCATATAGCTAGATAGACAGCACAGACAAGTAAGACAGATAGATAGCACGACAAATAGATGATAGAGACAGACAGATAGCAGAATAGATGATAGAGACAGACAAATAGATAGCAGAGACAGACAAGACAGACAATCAGAGAGGCAGGTAGACAGACAGACAGACAGACAGACAGATGACAGACAAAAAGATGATAGAGACAGAGACAGTCAGACAAAACAATCAGATAGATAGATAGACTGAGATAGATAGATAGATAGATAGATAGATAGATAGATAGATAGATAGATAGATAGATAGCAGGCAGAGTCAGACTAACAGACAGACGCAGGCAGAGACAGACAGATAGATATATGTAGAGATACGTGTACTATATTTGTATTTTTTAAAGACGGAATGGAAAATCAAGGTAGTGGCCTAGAACAGGACTGTGTAAAGATTTCTTTTTCTTTTTCTTTTTGCTGCTTTTTGTTTTTTAAGGATTTTTCCCCTGTTCTTTGATGGATGGTCCGTCAAGTCTGTAACTAAAGAAAACAGGCATTATGTTTGGGGGGAAATTACCAAGTACTTACCACTCTGGAGGGAGGGCTAAATGCTTGGGGGAAAACCAGCCCAGGGCCTGTCCAGGCCCATGTGCCTTCCTCCCTGTCCCGGGGTACCCTGATGGACACCAATAATGGGGTTCTCTCTTCCCCTGTCCCCCGAAGTCCCTCCTGACAGTTTATGTGCTGGGGTCTGCTGGTCCAGGTGTGAGGAGGAATTCAAAGCCCTTCTGTGGGTCCTGGGGCTCGGGAAGGGCTGGCCACGCCCAGCAGGAGGGACCCCAACCAGACAGGTTGCTGGTCCCCCTACACCCACCCAGGCGTAGCTCTGCAAATCTGCCTGCAAAATGATGCGGCCTGACCTGACCCCTGATGCTGACCCCTGACCCCTGACCTGACACTGATCCTCACATTCAGCCAGGGTGTGAGCCCAACAGAGAGCTTTCCTGTCAACGATCATAGCTTAAGACTGAGCAGGAAAGTGTGAACGTGTATGCACGTTATTCGTGTTTGTGTGTGTTTGTGTGTGTGTGTATGTGTGTTGGGGTGAGGGAAAATTAACCTCAAGAGCCGCATCTCAACCGCAGCAGCTCTACCTTGCAGGTTTGGGGGAGACAGCTCAGGGACCCAGCTGGGAAGAGGGGTACAAGACAGGATCAAGGAGGGACTTCCTAAACCTTCAAAGGCTGGGTCACACAGCCCTCCAGTGGGGCCACTCGGACACAAAACCAAGGCCTGCCACCTAGTAGGGACTCTAGCGGGGCGTGACAGAGCCCCTCCCCTACAGTCGATAGCCGGCCTGGGACGAACGGAAGGGGTGTGGGGGATCAGGAGGCCTTGTGCTCACAGAGTGACCTATTGGAGAGAAACCCCCCTATACAACTACTTTAAGGCTGTGCAGAGAGATGGATCCCAGGGAAACCTGAGCCTGCTCACCTAGCCTGCCTCAGTCTGTGCTCTTCCTACCCTCCAGCCAGCTCCCGCCCTCCCAGCCTAAGGGAGTTGAATTTTTGTGTGTGTGTGTGTGTGTGTGTGTGTGTGTGTGTGTGTGTGTGTGTGTGTGTGTGGAGGTAATGGGTCTTGAACCCAAGGCCTCATGTCTGCTAGGCAAACTCCCTTACCCTGTGGACTACACTCCAGCCCCGCTCCCCCACCCCAAACTGTGAGTCTTAAGTTTGTCCAGGAACAAGCTACCTCTGGGATGGGCTGTGTTTTGCTGCCCCCCAGTGGTAGAATTGGGTAATACGTCTATTGTTATTACCATTGTTATTATTTATTATATTCTGGACCTGGGCTTGAACTCAGGGCCTGAGCACTGTCTTTGATCTTCTCTGCTCCAAGTTGGTGCTCTACCATTTGAGTTACCACTCCACTTCTGGCTTTTTTTTTTGGTTGGTTCACAGGAGATCAGAGTCTCACAGACTGGCTAGCCAGGGCTGGCTTGCAACCACAATCCTCACCTCTCAGCCTCCCCGAGGAGCCAGGATGACAGGCGTGAACCACCAATCCCTAACTGTTAGTACTGTGTTATCCTTAAGTCGCTAACAGGGGTTTCCATGCAACATGTCCATTTGTGGGTACACTGTGTCTTGATCCACCCCAACCGTCCTCCCTCCCAGCCTCCCTCCCTCTCTCCCTGCCCCACCCCTCCCTTCAGTTTAGGAATCAGGTAACCAAGTGGGTTCCCCATGTGAATCCTAAATTCTGACAAATGGCTCTCAGCATAAGATGGCAAATTACCTCTACCCCTCTGCTCATACACTGCTCACTGCTTTCCTCCGTGAACTTAATACGGCGATGTTTAGTATCAACCCATGCAGTTCATGGGCAGCTCAAGCCTGTCATCCTACCTACTCAGGAGGCTGAGATCTGAGGATCGCGGTTCAAAGCCAGCCAGAGCAATCAAGTCCCCATGAGACTCTGATCTCCAAAATGAACCACCAGAAAACCAGAAGTGGCGCTGTGGCTCAAGTGGTAGAGCACTAGCCTTGAGCAAAAGAAGCTCAGGAAAAACGCCCGCCCCACCAGAGTTCGAAGCCCCAGGACTGGCATAAAAGAAAAAAAATGTTCGATCTGCCCTGCACACACTGAACAATCCGAGCACAAATGCCTTTGTCCACCTGCAAGTGTTTTTCTGGAAACCCTCTGTCTCCTGATCCAGTCCCTCCTCCTGGCTTTGGCGGTTTCTAAGGCCCGCTCCCCTCCAGTTTTGGTGGTTTCTTGCCCCCCTCAGCTCTCCTCACCCCCCCACATCTTCCTGTCCGGCCCTCCTTGCTTCCGCCGCCGTCTGCAGGGAGAGGAGGGGAAGGGGCAGCCAGGGGAAGCTCACCATGCCCGGGGGACAGAGGCAGCCGGACACGCAGCCCGGGCTCATGCACTCCAGGTCGTAGTTTTGGCACGTCTTGGCACACTCGATTCCTTGGGCGTGTGGGTTGTCAGCAGGACACACCAGCTTGACCATCGGGGGCCGGCACGAGAGACTCCTTTTGCCTTCACAGTGGAAAACCCAAAGCGGAGGTTGGCGGCGGGCTGAGCAGGTAGAGCCCCGTCTCCGGGCCTGGAACTCACAGGAGGGTGCAGGCTGCCCGCCAGGGCCTGGCTGTGGCCTGCGGGCCCCAGGCTCAGCCTCTGCGGCTGAGCTGGCTGATCACCCCCACACCCCAACTTCTCACGCTCTCTAGTCCTGCCGATTTCACTCAATGGAGACGCAGGATGGAAGTTTCTAGACCCAGGCTTTCCAACACCTGGCATTTGTTGCAAAATAAGTGTGTGTGTGTGTGTGTGTGTGTGTGTATGTGTTGGGACTAGGATTTGAACTCAGGGCCTGAGTGCTGCCAGGACTGTGAACCCCCAAGGGCCAGACTTTGCCCGGTCTGCAGAGAATTCCAGTTTCTTGACTTTGGAGAGAGGCTACCAGGAGAGGGGAGGGGAGGGGAGGGGAGAAGGGAAGGGAGGAGAACCAAGGGAAAAGGAGGGGAGGGAAAGGGAGGAGAGGGGAGGCAAGGGGAGGAGAGGAGGGAGGGAGGAAGGGGAGGGGAGAGGAGGGGGCACTCACCACGGTGGGACAGGGCATTGCCCAGGCCAGTGTTGAGCGCAAGGGCCCCAGGGCCGGCTCTGGCGGTGCAGTGCATGCGGCCCTCGGCACAGTAGCTGCGGACAGAGTGGAGCCCAGCTTCAACGGCTGTGGACGCTGCCACCCTACTGCACGTGCACACGCGCGTGCACACACACACACCTGCTCCCCCCCAGGCCAGGGCCCAAGTACTCCTGGACTCCGGGAGGAGCCCACCTGCTGGGCATGCTCTCTCCTGGGGCCGTGGGGAGGAGGCGGGTGAGAGGGGGACTAGGAACACTCTAGAAGAGAGACACTGAGGCCCAAAGTAGAGAAATCACAGTGGGCTGGAAAGTTCAAGGACTCCTGCTGCCAAAGCCCGGTGCCATAGCGCACGCCCACCATCCCAGCCCCTCGGGAAGTGGAGATGTGAGGATCGCGGTTCACAGCCAGCCTGGGCAGGAAAGCCCGTGAGACTCTGCCCTCCGAGGAACCATCAGAACACGGGAAGTGGGGCTGCGGCTCAGGTGGTAGAGTGAAAGAGGCATGCGAGAAACCGAGTTCAAGGCCGTTCTAGAGAAAGAGACAGGGAAGGAAGAGAGGCGGGAGGCAGGGAGGAAGTAAGGAAAAAGGAAGAAAGGAAGGAGGGAGGGATGGGTGGGGGAAGGGAGGATGGTCTGGGACCCCCTCTGGCCTGTACTCCCCTCCCCAGCCCCCCCCAGCCCGCACTCCCCCCCCAGTCCCGCCTCAGGCCCTGCACCCCGCACACAGCCCCACCTCAGGCCCACACTCCCCCTCAGGCCCCCACCTCCCACAGCCCGCACTCCCCCCGCACTACCCCCTCAGGCCCGCACCCCCCCCCAGGCCCACACACCCCCTCAGGCCCGCACCCCTCCCAGGCCTGCACACCCCCTCAGGCCCGCACCCCCCCCAGGCCTGCACCCCCCCCAGGTCCGCACCCCCCCCCAGGCCCACACACCCCCTCAGGCCCGCACCCCTCCCAGGCCCGCACCCCCCTCAGGCCCGCACCGCCCCACAGGCCCGCACCCCCCCACACCCCCTCCAGGCCCGCAACCCCTCAGGCCCGCACCCCCCCCAGGCCCGCACCCCCCCACATCCCCCCCAGGCCCGCAACCCCTCAGGCCCGCACCCCCCCCCAGGCCCGCACCCCCCCACATCCCCCCCAGGCCCGCAACCCCTCAGGCCCGCACCCCCCCCCAGGCCCGCAACCCCCCCCCCCGCCCGCACCCCCCCCCGCCCACACCCCCCCCCCCCCGGCCTGCACCCCCCTCAGGCCCGCACCCCCCCACATCCCCCCCAGGCCCGCACCCCCCCCCAGGCCCGCAACCCCCTCAGGTCCGCAACCCCCCTGCACCCCCCTCAGGTCCGCAACCCCCCTGCACCCCCCCTCAGGCCCGCACCCCCCCTGCACCCCCCCTCAGGCCCGCACCCCCCGTGCACCCCCCCTCAGGCCCGCACCCCCCGTGCACCCAGCCTCAGGCCCGCACCCCCCCTGCACCCCCCCTCAGGCCCGCACCCTCCCTGCACCCCCCCTCAGGCCCGCACCCCCCCCCCCGCCCGCACCCCCCCCCCAGGCCCGCACCCCCCACATCCCCCTCAGGCCCGCACCCCCCCTGCACCCCCCCTCAGGCCCGCACCCCCCCTGCACCCCCCCTCAGGCCCGCACCCCCCCCCCCCGCCCGCACCCCCCCTCAGGCCCGCACCCCCCCCCCGCCCGCACCCCCCCTCAGGCCCGCACCCTCCCTGCACCCCCCCTCAGGCCCGCATCCTCCCCCCAGCCCGCACCCCCCTCAGGCCCGCACCCCCCCTGCACCCCCCCTCAGGCCCGCATCCTCCCCCCAGCCCGCACCCCCCCCCGCCCGCACCCCCGCCCGGGCCCGCACCCTCCCCCCCGCCCGCACCCCCCCCCGGGCCCGCACCCCCCCCCGGGCCCGCACCCCCCCCCGCCCGCACCCCCCCCCCCCCCGCACTCACCACGCGGCGCGGCCGTCGGCCAGCACGGCGCCGGGCGGCACGAGGCCCCCGCGGTGGCGGCACGGGCAGCGCGCGCGCGGCACGCATGCGCCCTGGGGGTCGCGCAGCAGCCCGGCCGCGCAGAAGCAGCCCTCGGCGCACGCGCAGTCGGCCTCGGCCTCGGCCTCGGGCCCCGCCGCCGCCGCCGCCGCCGCCGCCGCGCAGGTCAGGTTGCAGGGCGGCCCGCACGGCAGGTAGCGCTCGCCCGGGGGACAGCGCAGCTCTGCGGACGCGGGACGCGGGGGCGTGAGCGGGGACGCGGGACGCGGGGGACACGGGACACGGGGGACACGGGACACGGGGGACACGGGACGCGGGGGACACGGGACACGGGGGACACGGGACACGGGGGACATGGGGACACGGGGACACGGGACACGGGACACGGGGGACATGGGACACGGGACACGGGACACGGGGGACATGGGGACATGGGACACAGGACATGGGGGACACGGGACACAGGACACGGTGACACGGGACACGGGGGACATGGGGACATGGGACACAGGACATGGGGGACACGGGACACAGGACACGGTGACACGGGACACGGGGGACATGGGGACATGGGACACGGGACACGAGAACAGGGGACACGGGGGACATGGGGACATGGGACACGGGACACGGGACATGGGGACATGGGACACGGGACACGGGGGACATGGGGACACGGGGGACACGGGACACGGGACACGGGGGACACAGGACACGGGGGACACGGGACACGGGACACGGGGGACACGAGGACAGGGGACACGGGACACGGGGACACGGGACACGGGGACACAGGGGGACGCGAGGGGCGCAAGGGGACATGATGGGGCAGGGACCAGGCCTGAGACCCCCCAGCCTGCAGGGACCTGTGGGGACACGCCCCCCGGGGGGCACCCTGGACACGCGTTTCCTTCCCACACATCCACTGTAGACAGACAGACATAGACAGACATGTACATGCAAACACAAATACAGACAGAGCGATACACAGATACGTAAGACACACAGATGGTACATTCAGAGATTCACAGATAGAGATAGGTAATGTAAATGGACTGATCGATAATGCGTAGATACGCAGATAGATAATAGTTAATAGCTAATATATAATAATAGCTAATATAGATAATACAGACACATACATACTTATACATACATTCACAAACAGATCATAAATAGACTGATAATAGATGATACATAGTTACATAATAGATAACAAAGACTGATAGATAATAGATACATACCAACACATTAATAGATAGATAGATACACAGATAGACAGACAGACAGATCATCCTTTCTTTACTTCTTAATCCTCCAAGCCTAGGCTATAATAGAAATCCCAGTGGATCTAAGTGTTTAAAATAACTGGGAGTGCGCCAGTTCCTGGGGGCTCACGCCGGTCATCCCAGCTACTCGGGAGGCTGAGATCTGAGGATCGCAGTTCAAAGCCAGCCCAGGCAGCGAAGTCCATGAGACTCTGATCTCCCATGAACTCCCAATGAAGTCGGAAGTGGCGCTGTGGCTCACGTGGTAGAGCACCAGCCTTGAGCCAAAGAGCTCAGGGACAGCGCCCGAGGCCCTGAGTTCGAGCCCTAGGGCCGCCACCAGAGACTGAAAAGGGAAAGGGACTGCTCTGGAAAGGACGGAGGAGCGGAGCCGGCTCGGGGAGTTTGGGCGGGTTTCGAACCCACCGCAGAAGCCGGGCTGGCGCCAGGGGATGACCACTCCCCTGCGCGCGCAGGCCTGGGCGTAGCTGGCCACGGAGGCACACAGACACTCATGGCCGTCGGAGCATGCGCACACGTCATACTGGCAGTTCCTCACATAGGGCCGGGGGCTGATGGCGGGGTGGCAGGCCTCGAACACGGACGACCTCAGGACCCCGCAGGCCTCCTCCGCGAACCTGGCTGCGGCCGGAGAGAAGCAGCCTGAGACAGACCCTGCGGGGCCCGGGGGACCCGAACACCCAGAGCTCCGAGAGCTTCTCTGAACACCCCGCCCCCGTCTCCCTGGCAACCCCACAGCCCCAGTGTCCCCAGGGATTGCCCCCGAGGCTCACGCCTGTCATCCCAGCTTCTCAGGAGGCTGAGATCTGAGGATCACGGTTCAAAGCCAGCCTGGGCAGGAAGGTCTGTGAGACTCTGATCTCCCATGAACCACCAGAAAACCAGAAGTGGCGCTGTGGCTCAAGTGGTAGAGCGCCCGCCTTGAGCTGAAGAGCTGAGGGACAGCGCCCAGACCCAGAGTTCAAGCCCCACGACCAAAAGAGGTGGGGGTGGAGGTGGGGAGAGCGGGGGACTGGGAAGAATAAATAAGCCAGATGTCAGGGATCAATGTTGATGGTAGAAAATGAAATGAAGGCTCCTATGTGCATGCAACACACATGCACACGCATGCATGCACGCACACGCGCATGCAGTGGGTGCTTTAACCCACAGGCTGCTTGGATCCCCACCCAGGGGCTGGGGTCCTCACGTACCCAGGCGCGGGTTGAGGCTGCAGGGGTGTCTGTCCTGACTCTCCAGGTCCTGGCAGTCGGCCTGGAGCTTCCAGGAGTTGCCGAAGTCGGCCACTAGGGGCTCCACCAGGCCGGCGGGCGTGAGGAAATCATCGCCCTGGTTTCCGTTGTAGTTCCCGCACAAGCCGCAGGTCCTCCCCCAGTAAACCGGGGACAGCTGCGGGGAGAGACCACGTGGATGGGCTAACTCCTGCTACGTTCAGCTTACCAGCTGGGACTTGAACTCAGAGCCTGGGCGCTGTCCCTGAGTTCTGTTTTCACTCAAGGCTGGCGCTCTACCACTGAGCCCCAGCTCCACTTCTGACTTTTCGTTGGCTCACTGGAGATCAGCACCTCATGGGCTTCATACTCGACGTCAGCTTTGAACCACGACCCTCAGATCGCAGCCTCCTGAGTAGCTGGGATTGCGCGTGAGCCACCGACGCCCAGCATGAGATGGTTTTGATCCAAAAAGTGCTTTTGTCAGACACTGAAGCTCTCACACCTATCATCCTAGCTGCTTAGGAAGCTAAAACCCAGAGGATGCTGATTCCAAGCCAGCCCGGGCAATGAAGTCTATGAAAGACTCCAGCTTCAGTTAACCAGCAAAAAGCTGGGCTGGGGGCATGGCTCAAGTGGTAGAGCACCAGCCTTGCACACAAAAAAATCCCAGCGAGCCCAAGACGCTATGAACAAGAGGACATGGCTGGCAGGTTCAGGAGCCCCATGATGGGTGGGGCATGTGGGGCGCCCCCTGGCCACCTCTCTACAGGTGGAGGTGCAGGACAGTCCAGTTCTGTTCGATCACCAGTGGGTGCCAGGAGATCGCTCCACAAACCTGCAAGCCAAGGGGGTTACCAACTCCCCAGAGGGGGGGGGAACCCCCGGGGGCCCACCCCAGGGGCTCCCAGAAAACTAACAGCAGCTTCTCCATAACAAGACAGCCCCTGTTCCTTGGTCTGGGGGGGGGGGGGGGCACAGGCCCTGAGAACAAAGGAATTCTTCCTTCCACATAATGTTATTCTGGGGGAGGAGGGCAGGGGGGGATAGGGGGAGAGACCAGCTGTCAGTCAGGCTGGGGCTCCCAAGAGGAGACCTACCTTCAACAGAAGCCTGCCCCAGCCATCCCAGTCCAGCTCCATATCCTCCCCAAAGCTGAGGCGCACAGAGGTCATCACGGTGTGCTGGATTCTGAGGTCCCCTGTGAACCGGCGGGACAGGATGAAGGCCGAGGCAGGGTAGGGGCGGCCATGCTGGCCAGACTGTGTGTTGTGGGAAGAACATAGATGGCTCCAAAGACCACTTCAATAACGCTGGGGGGCCCACGGCTCACGCCTGTCATCCCAGCTCCTCGGGAGGCTGAGATCGGAGGATCGCAGTTCGAGGCCAGCCTGGCTAGACTCTTATTTCCAGCTCAGCAGCAAAAAAGAAAAGAAAAATCTGGAAGTGAAGGGTGTGGCTCAAGTTGTAGAACGCCAGCCTTGAGAATAATCAAAACAAGCCAGGTACCGGTGGCTCACGCCTGTCATCCTAACTACTCAGGAGGCTGGGTTACAGGGATCCCGGTTCCAAGCCAGCCCGGGCAGGAAAGTCTATGAGATGCTGATCTCCAATAAACCACCAGAAAACCAGAAGTGGCGCTGTGGCTCAAGTGGTAGAGCGCTTGTGGACAGCGCCCAGGCCCTGAGAATACCAGCACGGTGGGCAGCCACGGGGGTTGGGGGGAGGGGTAGGAGGGATGGGGGTGGTGATCAGGGCAGACAACTTCAAATAGGATTTAAACCAGCCTCCGACTACACACACTCCCACACACACAACACCACCGCGCCCAGCCCAGAGCCTGTCATTCCCCTCATGGCCACAAGGGTGCAGCAGAGGCTCCCACACCCTTGACTTTAAACGGCAGGTGCCTAAGGCTAAGAGACCCTTCCTTGATCTGGGCCGGAGACAGCTGTGGGAAGATGGAGACGGGCAAGGGGTCTGGTCTCCTTTGAAGATGCAGTTTGGGAATGGTACAAAGTGATACAGGATAGATGGCTAGGGACGCAGAGAAATTATGTCACGAACAAATAGCACACGGGAGCCGGTGGCTCACGCCTGTCATCCCAGCTACTCAGGAGGCTGAGAGAGATCTGAGGATTGCAGTTCAAAGCCAACCCCCTGGGTAGGAAAGTCGGTAAGACTCTTTATCTCCAATTAAGTAGCAAAAAGCCAAAAATAGAGCTGTGGCTCAAGTGGCAGAGCACCAGTCTTGAGCAAAAACAAAAAACAAAAACACCACTCAGGGACAGTGGCCAGATTCTGAGTTCAAGTCCCAGGTCTGACAGATACTCACAAATCAACCCTCAGAATAATCAGACATTTAATCCAGGAGGTAACTAAGGAAAGGCGGTTAATCTCCCATCTCCCCTCTGCCCATCACCCCTGCATTTAGATGTGAAATTACCAGAATAAAAGAAATGAATACAAATGATTATTTGAGCTAGGTGCCAGTGGCTCACGCCTATGATCTTAGCTGTTCAGGAGGCTGAGATCTGAGGACTACAGTTCAAAGCCAGTCTGGACAAGAAAGCCAGTGAGAGTCTTGTCTCCAATAAACTATTCAGAAAAGGCAGGAGAGTGGCATTGTGGCTCGAATGGTAGAGCACTAGCCTTCAGCACCCAAGCCCTAAGTTCAAGTCCTAGGGCTGGAAAAGAAAACCAACAATTATCCACTGCTGCTTGGCTTTTTCACTCCAGGCGGGTGCTCTACCACTTGAGCCACAGCTCCACTTGCAGCTTTTTGGTGATTCATTGGAAATAAGAGACTCACAGACTTTCCTGCCCGGGCTGGCTTTGAACCACGATCCTCCGATCTCAGCCTCCTGAGTAGCTGGGATGACAGGCGGGAGTCACTGGCGCCCAGCAGTATTTTTGCTTTGATTGTCATGGTATCACCGGTGAGAATCGCAGACAGGAAGGTGTGTCCCCCAAGGCAGAGGGGACACTGAACTTGCCCCTAGTGGTGTCCTTAGGTCTAACTGACCAACAGCCCCCCCCAACCCTGGTACAGGAAGACTTCCTTTAGGGCAGGAATGCACACCCCAAATGCACTGAGTCCTCCAAAGATAACCCCCTATCATGTGCCGGGGGGAGGGGAAGGGGAGCCTGGGGGGCTCCCTGGCAGGGGGGAGGCTCACCTTGCAGAAGGGGGAGCTGGATGTCTAGGTTATCCACGGTGACCTCTCCCCCGTGCTTCAGCGTCACGAGGCTGTTGTGGGGGGCAGGCAGCCGCACAGTGACCGAGCGGGTACACACGGCGTCCACATCGTCCGCACACTGCCGAGAGAGACGCGGGCTGCCCTGGTCACCGCCCTGGCCCGCCCAGGGCCCGCCTAGCCAGAGAAAGGCCGCCACCCAAGGGAGCTGGGGCTTCTTCTCAGGAGCACACAGGGGCCCAGCCTGCTCAGATGCGGCTTGTTCTCCTCAGAGCCTCCTGATTGGCTGACTGGGTCAGGCACACTGATTGGTTGGGCCAGACACAGTGATTGGCTGACCGGGTCAGACACACTGATTGGCTGGCTGGGCCAGGCACACTGATTGGCTGACTGAGTCAAGCACACTGATTGGCTGGGCCAGGCACACTAATTGTCTGGGTCAAGCACACTGACTGGCTGGCTGGATCAGGTACACTGGTTGGCTGGCTGTGCCAGACACACTGGCTGAATCAGGAACACTGATTGGCTGGATGGGCCAAGTTCGCTGGTTGGTTGACTGGGTCAAGCACACTGATTGGCTGGGCCAGGCACACTGGTTGGCTATCTGGGCCAAGCACACTGATTGGCTGAGCCAAACTCACTGATTGGCTGAGACCAGCTCCCGGATTGGCCAGCTGGGTCAGGCACACTGATTGGCTGGCTGGGCCAAGCTCACCTGCATGGTCTCTATGACAACGGAGAAAGAGTGGTCCAGGCAGTCCTTGGCCAACTGATACTGGCAGATGCCACTGAAGGTGAAGTATCTGTTATCGAAGCTCTTGAAGTGACCCTGGCCTGTGACAAGACATTCTCCTAGAGAGACCCAGGTGAAGGGGTGAGACTTCATCCTCTGGGGATGTAACTGGATGCCACCAATTCCCCCAACCCATCCTCCCCACCCACCCCCCCAGTCCCGTGCCAGTCCAAATGGGGTTCTAGAAGAAGATTCGAAACTCAGTTCCCACTGGACACAGTGGCTCCTGTCTGCCATCCTAGCGACTCAGGAGTCTGAGATTATAAGGATCGTGGTTCAAAGCCAGCCCAGGCAGTACTGTCTGTGAGACTCTTATCTCCAATGAACCACCAGAATAGGGAAGCGGAGCTATGGCTCAAAGTGGTAGAGCACTCGCTTTGAGCAAAAGGAGCTCAGGGACAGCGCCCAGGCCCCGAGTCCAAACCCCAACCATCAGGAAAAAAACAAATCAGTTCCTCTCTGTGCCTCTGATCATATGAAATAAAATAATATTTAGCAAAATGAACTCCAGAAAATGCAAACAAGAGGTTTTTTTCCTTTGTCATTGCTTTGTTTTCTCTCTGTCTCGTGGGTTGGTTTCTCTGTCTCTGGGAGGGTGAGGGGGGCACAGAAATGGGGGGACAGAGGGTGGACATGTTACTGTCACCCCTCTGCACATCCTCTTTATCATCACTATTTTTTTTTTCTGTCAGTCGTGGGGCTTGAACTCAGAGCCCGGGCACTGCCCTTTAGCTGTTTCCCTGAACGCTAGTGCTCTCCCACTTGAACCACAGCTCCGCTTCCACCTTTTTGCTGATGCCATCGGGGAGAAGAATCTCCCCAGACTTTGGGCCATACTCCTCAGATCTCAGCTTCGCGAGTTGCTGGGATTACAGGCAGAGCCACCGGTGCCCGGCAGTAAGAACTGTTTGGTTTCAGAAACCACTACCACCGAGCAAACCGTAAAATGGCCATTTGTGTCAACTACCTTTGACCCTGTATGCAGCGAGAGGAATTAATTCTTCCCCAGCACGCCCTCTCTGTCTGTCTCTGTGTCTCTCTGTCCCTCTGTCTGTCTCTGTCTCTCACGCTCATTCTGTGTGTGTGTTCAAGAATGCCCTTATCTAAATAAGACTCTGGACTTTCCTGATTTTCCACAATGCCCAGGAAGAGAGAGGTCAACGAGAAAAATGTACAAATATCCAAAAGCGAAAGCTGTGAGCCACAATCTAATCCTGCCATCTGCTTGCCCGCCCTGAGGCTCCGCCATTTCTTCCTGGGGAATCAGAAATCTAAATGTTCTACATCGCCTTATCTCCTTGGGACAATTGAGGGACAGAAGGGCAAAGACGGGAAACCCCCGGAAATGGTTGAGGGCCCTGCCAGCAGGGTTTTGTTTTAGACATCCTACAACCCCAACAGGTCACGTGCCCAGCTCACCCCCCTCTGCCCAGATCCCCACACTTCTGCTATTCAAAGACAGAATGCGAAAACAAATCTGGTCCAGGCGCTGGTGGCTCCCGCCTGTCATCCCAGCTACTCAGGAGGCTGAGATCTGAAGATGATGGTTCAAAGCCAGCCTGGGAAGGAAAATCTGTGAGACTCTGATCTCCAATCCACAGACAAGCCTTCAGACAAAATCATCTCTCTGTGTGTGTATGTGTATGTGTGTGTGAGAGAGAGAGAGAGAGAAGGAGAGAGGGAGAGAGAGAGAGAGAGAGAGAGAGAGAGAGAGAGGCCTACCTGGGCATTCTTCATTGCTACAAATCCACACGCCTTTCCTGCAAATGCTGTTGGAGAAAAACAGCCCAGGGTCACTGATGCTTCTGCAGAAATGAGGGCCCACGGGGGGGGGGGGGGGGGGAGCACAGATGGAGACCCCAGCCCCGCCCCCACCCCAGCAGGATGCACAAGGAGAAGGAGGTAGCAGCTATGCCAGACTTCAGGAGGTTAAAGTTCTACAGGACAGGAGCCGGGCGCCAAGGCAGCTCCCGCCTGGCATCCCAGCCACGCAGGAGGCTGAGATCTGAGGATCGTGGTTCAAAGCCAGCCCGGGCGGGAAAGCCTGTGAGACTCTGATCGCCAATGAACCCAGAAAACCCGAAGTGGAGTTGGGTATGGCTCAAATGGTAGAATGCCAGCCTTGAGTGAAAAAGCTCAGGGTCAGCATCCAGGACTTGAGTTCAAGCCCCAGGATACTCTGTCTGTCTGTCTGTCTGTCTCTCTCTCTCTCTCTCTCTCTCTCTCTCTCTCTCACAGATTCAGAGGACAGGCTCTGAGTGTTGATTGATGGTTGTTATATAACCTCTCCTCAGGAGGATCTTTCTTCTTCTTCTTCTTCCTCCTCCTCCTCCTCCTCCTCCTCCTCCTCCTCTCCTCCTCCTCTTCCTTCTTCTCCTCCTCCTCCTCCTTCTCTTCTTCTCTTCTTCTTTTGCCAGTCTACAGACTTGAATTCAAGGCCTGGGCACTGTCCCTTAGCTTTTTTGCTCAAAGCTGGTGCTCTACCACTTGAGCCACACCTCCATTTCCAGCTTTTTGGTAGTTCATTGGAGATAAGAGTCTCATGGACTTTCCTGCTTCAAACCTCCATCCTCAGATCTCAGCCTCTTGAGTAGCTGGGATGACAGGCAGGAGCCACTGGCACCATTTATTAAAACATAGTTTGACAGCTAGAGACTTTGTGTATAAAGGATATTTCCCTTTCCTGTGTTCTGTGCATATCTGTATTGTAATCCCAGAACTCTCTTACTCAACTTCCACAGACCAGTCCAGTCCAGTCCAGACCAGAACAGGCCCAGACCAGACCAGCCTAGAGCAGGTCCAAACCAGACCAGACCAGACCAGTCCAGACCAGACCAGGCCCAGACCAGGCCCAAGTCAGACCAAACCAGTCCAAACCAGCCCAGACCAGACCAGCCTAGAGCAGGCCCAAACCAGACCAGACCAGACCAGTCCAGACCACACCAGGCCCAGACCAGGCCCAAGTCAGACCAAACCAGTCCAAACCAGCCCAGACCAGGCCCAGACCAGATCAGTCCAGCCCAGACCAAACCAATCCAGCCCAGACCAGACCAGTCCAGCTCAGACCAAACCAAACCAGCCCAAACCAGACTAATCCAGTTCAGACCAAACCAATCCAGCCCAGACCAGATCAGCCCAGGCCAAGGAGCCCAGGCTTTCCCCAACACAAAGCCCCTAGGCGGACCCCATGGTACAATCCACACTACCAGGTGTTGCAGTCCTGGGAGACGGAGGATCCCGGTGGGTACCGCTTCCCGGCATGCACACAGGAGCACTGGGCAGGCTGCACGCAGCGGCCTTCGTCCAGGAGCTGCCCCTCTGGAGACGAGAGACAGACAGATGTCAGCATCCGCCCCCTGCACACTCCCCACGGGCCGCCCCCGCCTCAGAACCCAGAAGAACTCATCCAACGCACACTTATCCTTCACGCAAACGAGAGGGGAGGATGATTAGTGAACCGAGAGTCAGCTTGGAAAGCAGCAACTTAGAGCATCCGCCTGGCAGCTCGGTAAGCCCACAGGAAGACACTGAGTCAAGAGTTGTGTTCAGCCCGGTGTGGTAGCTCACACCTGTCATCCCAGCTACTCGGAAGGTGGAGATCAGGAGGATCACCATCCAAGGCCAGCAAAATTGGACAGATCCTCATTTCAACAAACAGGCTGGGGGTGGTGGTACCTGCCTATGGTCCCTGCTTTGCAGGAGGTCATAAACAGGAGGACCGTGGTCTGAGCTTGGCTCCTCACAAGAGCGCAAGACTCTAACTAAAAAATAATAATAATAACCAAAGAGCTGGAGGGGTGGTTCAAGTGGCAAAGCACCCCGGTGCCAGTGGCTCACCCCTAGCATCCCAGCTACTCAACGGGCTAAGATCTGAGGATCATGGTTCAAAGTCAGACCAGGCAGGAAAGTCCACGAGACTGATTTCCAATGAATTACAAAAAGGAAGTCAGAAGTGGAGCTGTGGCTCAAGAGATAGAGCGCTAGCCTTGAGCAAAAAGAAGCTCAGCACCCGGGCCCTGAGTTCAAGCCCCAGAACTGACAAAAGAAAGAAAGAAGGTGAGAGAGAGAGAGACGGGGGGGGGGGGGGGGGGGGGGGGGGAGAAAGAAGGAAGAAAAGAAGGAAGGGAAGGAGGGAGGGAGGGAGGGAGGGAGGAAGAGAGGAAGGAAGGAAGGAAAAGAAAGAAGGAAGATAAAGAAAAGAAGGAAGGAAGGAAGGAAAGGAAAAGAAGGAAGGAAGGAAAAGAAAAGAAAGAAGGAAGCAACAAGCAAGAAATCCTCACTTGATCCAGATTCTTCTACACAAAGACTTTAAGGGGGGAAAAAAACTAAATAAAGGGCCTCTGAAGCTGGGCTCCGGTGCTCACGCCTGTCATCCCAGCTACTCAGGAGGCTGCGATCTGAGGATCGAGGTTCAAAGCCAGCCCGGGCAGGAAAGTCTGTGAGACTCTGATCTCCCATGAACCACCAGAAAACCAGAAGTGGCGCTGTGGCTCAAGCGGTAGAGCGCCAGCCTCGAGCTGAAGAGCTGAGGGACAGCGCCCAGGCCCTGAGTTCAAGCCCCACGACCCACACACACACACACAGTGGCCTTCATCTCCCTCGCCCCTGCCCCGGGGCACTCTGGGGCCCAGGGTCCGGGGTCCGGGGTCTGGTGGATGCCCAGAAGCTTTACCTGGGCAGCTGCAGCCGTCCACGCATGTCTCGGGGCACGTCTCGCGCACGGGCAGGCCGTGGCAGGTGCTGGCACACGGCGACACACACTCCTTGTACTCCATGCCCGCGGGGCACGCCGGGTCTGGAAGGGAAATCAGGGACGTGCCCCCCCCCTCAGGCCCGGCATCTCTCCAGGCCGCGGGGGGTCACCACAGCCTCTTAGCCCCCCTCCCCCGACAGTCTGCTCTGTTCTCGGGGTCACCTCTGTCCACTGGCCCACGTGGCCCTGGGGGACAGCCTCCCCCCCCCCCAGGCTCTGCCCACCCTGGGGAGAACCTGACCGAGACTCTCGACACGCCACGCCACCCCTTTATCTCCATCACCCGTTCTTATGCTTCTCGGGGTGACCCCAAATTCCTCTAGACTGGAGAGAGAGGCCTCGGGGGTACCAGCCAGGAGCGGATGGGGCTCCACACCGCCCTCCTTCCCCCTGATCCCACCGCGACGCTCCCTCCCCAGCCGGGCATCATGGCTCCCGCCTGGCATCCCAGCTACTCGGGAGGCTGGGACCCGAGGGATCACGGTTCAAAGCCAGCCTGGGCGGGAGCGTCCGTGAGACTCTGATCTCCGGGGACCCACCCCCTGGGGCCAGGTGGGCAGTGTGGGGCCCGTGGGTGGCCGCGGTGATCCCGGCCAGGTGGTGACTCACGGCAGACGCTGAGCTCCGTCCAGCCGTCCAGCACCAGGCCCTGGTGGGCACAGGCGCGGGCGTACTCCAGCAGGGCGGGGCACGCGCACGCCGGGCCCCCGCGGGCACGCGCACAGCGTCTGTTCACACAGGGCCAGGAAGGGCTCGGGGTCCAGCCACGGGCGGCAGCGGGCGAAGGCCGAGGAGCTCGTGAGCAGCCGGCACTGCTCCCACGGGGCCTGGGGGGGAGGAGGGGGCTCAGCTGGGCCCAGGGCCTGCGGGGGGGGGGGGGGTGGCTAAGAGGGGCCCCAGGGCAGCCCCGGCTGGGCCCAGCACGTGCTGTCATGCTGGGGTTGGCACGGAGGAAAGCCAGGGCGGCCGTCCATCCAGAGGGAGACACATGAAGTCCTCCAGCGGCTGTGCTCACCTGAGGGAGGAGAGGGGGAGGGGGAGGGAGGAGGAGGGGAGGGGGAGCGGGAGGGGGAGCAAGGGGAGGGGGGCGCACGCCTTTCATCCCAGCCACTCCGGAGGCCGGAGGATCACAGGGCGAGGTCAGCCCTGCCGGGACAATCTGCAAAGACTCTTATCGCCAGTTAATCAGGGGAAAAGGTCAGAAATGGAGCCGTGGTTCAAGGGGTAGAGCACCAGCTCTGAGTGAAAAGACTATGGGAGAATGCCCTGGCCCCAGGTTCAAGTCTCACTCCACCCCCAAAAGAAAGCCATCGGTGGGCTGGGCGGGTGGCTCAGGGGGAGAGCGCTCACCTCGCACGCATGAAGCCCTGGGTTCGATTCCTCAGCACCACAGACACAGAAAAAGCCGGAAGTAGCGCTGTGGCTCAGGTGGTAGAGCGCCAGCCTTGAGCACAAAGAGCTCAGGGACAGCGCCCAGGCCCTGAGTTCAAGCAGGAGGACTAGGAAACACATACACACACACACACACACACACACACACACACACACGCACGCAGGCCTGTGCCCACAAAGGCATCCATTCTTCTCTTCTGTCTGCTAATCCCTCCTGCAGGGATGTCCTCTGGGCCCGCTAATGGCTAATGAGCCCCTCCCGCCTCTCCTGGCTCCGGGGCTAGACATCAACTCCTTCTGTCTCCTCTCATCTCCTGTCTGTGGTGCCAGATCTAGCTCCCTCCATCGATGACGTCACACACGCACGCACACGCCTGTGCGTGCACCCAGGGGACTGTGCCCAGAGCCAATTGTAGCCTGGATTAATCCCATTTGAGGCTCATCAGCCAAGGCCAGGCCCCCGTTCCCTGGAGATATGAGACTGGCCTAGAAGAAAAGAAGCAAAATGGAGTTCATCTCCCCAGAGCTGGGCAGACAGGGAAAAGAGAAGAGGAGGAGGAGGAGGAGGAGGAGAAGAAGAGGAGGAGGAGGAGGAGGAGGAGGAGCAGAAGGAGGGAGGAGGAGGAGGAGGAGAGTGGGGGGAGAGAAGGAAGAGGAAGAGGAAAAGAAGGGGGAGGAGGAGGGGGAGGGGGAGGAAGGAAAAGGAGAAGGAGAAGGAGAAGGTGGAGGAGAAGGAGGAGGAGGAGGAGGAGGAGAAGGAGAAGAGGAGGAGGAGGAGGAGGAGGAGGAGGAGGAGGAGAGGAGGAGGAGGAGAGGAGGAGGAAGAGGTGGAGGAGAAGGAGGTGAAGGAGGAAGAGGAGGAGGAGGAGGAGGAGGAGAAGGAGGAGGAGGAGGAGGAGGAGAAGGAGGAGGAGGAGGAGGAGGAGGAGGAGGAGGAGGAGAAGGAGGAGGAGGAGGAGGAGAAGAAGAAGAAGAAGAAGAAGACAGCAGCCAGAGTCCCCAATGTCAGCGATAGTACTTGTTGCCAAACAGCTGACAAAGGAGAAAAGTCTGGGGGGGCGGAGGGGGCCGAGGGACATTCCAAGGGTAGACATTGAATAAACAAAGAGAGAGTCTAACATATAAAGATGGAGATTGTTCGTCCGGGCCTGGTCTTTGCAGCTCCGGGGTAGGCGCCCGAGCTGGGTTTAAAAAAGTGGGTTCAAGAATTCCTTGCTGGACAATAGGGGCTAGTTTCTCGCTGGTCAGAATGCAGAGTGAGGAGGTTGTTGGTTCTATTTATAAATTGCTCACCCACATTCCAAGATTCTGAATCACGATTCCTTTTTTTTTTTGGTCGGTCGTGGGACTTGAACTCAGAGCCTGGGCGCTGTCCCTCAGCTCTTCAGCTCAAGGCTGGCGCTCTACCACTTGAGCCACAGCACCACTCCCAGTTTTCTGGTGGTTCACTGGAGATCAGACTTTCCTGTCCAGGTTGGCTTTGAACCACAATTCTCAGATCTCAGCCTCCTGAGTAGCTGGGATGACAGACGGGAGCCACCAGTACCCGGCTCACAGTTAAAGATTTTTGACCATGAAACCCAAGGGATATTGTTGGGTTTCTGGGTGGAATGGTGTTTCTTGTTTGATTCTGGTTTGGTTTTGTTGGTTGTTTGAGCAGAAGGTATTAAGATTCTACCCCATCTGTGTTAATTCGAGACCCGATCACCCAACAATACAAATCAAACCGAGAAGCAATTCTCCAAAGCGCTGAATCGGATGAGGTTCCCTGGTGGAAATGATCTCCCTCTCTGCCTGAAAGTTCTTCTTCTAGCTCACACTGAGCAGAAACTATCACAAGTGTTGACTACACCTCTGTGAACAAACAGCACCAAATGAGGGCCCCGAGGGGTGAATTGCTTTGTCTCCTACACAGTACCTCCTACAAGTACCTCTCCAAGCCATCCAGGGAAACACTTCCCAGTTATTCCAAGACAACACTGGTGCTGCAAATATTAGCTTTGCAGACAGGTGATTTCCTGAGAGAAAAAGCAGGTGTCTGGCTCCAAAGAGAGGTAGAACAATCCACGGGGGAGGGGAAGGCTGGTGAACACACAGGTTGTCTACAGCAAGCGACAGAAAGAATGGGCTGTGTTTGGCCACTCGACACCGAAATTCAGAGATGAGAAGGGAAAAACAGGAAATGGGGGCTCTTGTGGGGAGGAATAACTTCCAAATCAAACCCAAGAAATCCAGGGTGAACCGATTGTGTGGCCCCAGTATTCAAGATGATGGGGACTGGCCCTGAGCTTTCCAATGGATGCAAAAGGGAAGAGGGAGGGGGTGTCTAGCAGGGAATTGGGGGGCTGGTGTAAGACTGGGGTCCCCAAGACACTTAGATTCCCAACAAGGGTGTTCCAAGGATTTGACTCTTCCAAGTAAAGGCCAGCAGGGCAGCGATGCTCACGCCTGTAAGCCCAGCTATTTTAGGAGGCTGAGGTCTGAGGATTGTGATTCAAGACCGGGCAGGGGAGGAAAGTCCATGAGACTTTTCTCTCCAATGAGCCACCAGCAGGCCAGGAAGCAGAGCTGTGGCTTAAATGGTCGAGCAGCAGCCTTGAATGGGAAAAAGCTCAGGAGTCTGGTGCCCCCAGGCCCTGGGTTCAAATCCGAGTACTGACACACTTACACACACACACACACACACACACACACACACACACACTACTTGAGGATTTTCCTTTTTCCTAAAACGTTCATGATCTAAGGTGAGTTCTCTGAAAATTAACATCAGTTATGTATTTCCTGAGGCTTGGGGCTCTCGACTCCCGCAGAAGTTCGAAGGCCCAAGGTTGGAAAAGCTGACGGTGAGCTTGGAAGTCGACACCCGTGAGTTCAGTCCGAGCATACCCCAGCCCATTGGGGCTTGTTTGCAAAGCCAGGCAGCAACTCCATCCCCGAGGGAAGTGAGGTGACCTGCCACTCAACCCTGGAAAGACAGCCAGCCCCGGAGACGCGGGGGAATCCTTCACCAAGGACAACTCAGTCCAGGCAGGCTCCCAAAGTCCCCAAATCACCGAGGCCAGCACCAGCGAAGGCAGACTGTAACAACTCACCCAGGCCGCCTTAACCACCTCCCCGGAGAGGCCGCCAAGTGGCTCCCAGCCAATGAAGGAGCCTCAGCCCTGGACCACCACAATCTGATTGGCTAAGCCCTGGACCACCACAATGTGATTGGCTAAGCCCTGGACAGCCACAATGTTGATTAGTGGAGACCTGGACGGACGGCCACAATCTGATTGGCAGGGGCCTGGACAGCTACAATGTGATTGGTGGACCCAATGTGATTGGCAGGGACCTGGACAGCCATAATGTGATCGGCGTGGACATGGACAGCCACAGTCTGATTGGCTGAGACCTAGACTGTCACAGTCTGATTGGTGAGGACCTGGACAGCCACAGTCTGATTGGTGGTACCTAGATGGCCACAGTCTGATTGGTAGAGACCTGGACAGCCACAGTCTGATTGGCTGAGCACAGAGCAGGCCTCTCTTCTTCTACCTGACCGCAGGGACGCTCTCTGGGAGACCGAGCAAGTGCACTTGGAGCCTCATCTGAACTCTAAGAACTGGACATTCATTTCCTTAAGCTACTCCCTGGACAGTGCTCGGTAAGGGCGTCAACGCACCCAGGAGACAGAGGAGTAAAGTGGGGGGGGGGGCACCTCCAGAAGCCAGCAAGGCCTCGCTGCTTCTCTCTCCCTCCCTCCCTCCCTCTCCCTCCTCTGCCCTCCCTGGGGACCAGGCCTCCCCCCCTCCAGAGCCCTGTCCACCCCTCCCCTCACACACGGTGAGACCCCTCCTTCCTGCTCTCAACAAAGAGCACATTTGTCAAACACTCATGCTGCGGGCCGGGCTGCGCTGGCAAAAATTAAATAAGAGAGATAAAACAGACGGGCCTTCAAGGACGCCATTGCTTCCCCTACACACACACACACACACACACACACACACACACACACACACCCCGCCTTGGAGGGAGGAGGCAGACTTCCATCCACAACAGAACTGCATGTTTGGAAATAGAGGAAGGAAGGAAGGAAGGAAGGAAGGAAGGAAGGAAGGAAGGAAGGAAGGAAGGAAGGCTGGTTCTTAAATCCCTCTTGCTGTGCACAATAGTTCAAGGGCGAAAGACACTGGGGCCTCCATCAGCGGGCCTCCATCAGCGGGCCTCCGTCACCGGGCCTCCGTCACCAAACCTCCTGACAGGGAGCTGTCAGACACCTCCCTCTCCCGCCAACCCTAGGCCGTGCTTTGCTTCACAGATGACATGCATTATCACCAGGAAGGGGAGGCGACCAAGAAGACATCTTGGAACTTATACCCAAAGTGTACGTGCACTAAGGCTGACACACCATACACCTCACTCCACTCTCCAAGCTGGGGCTCCAGTGGGGGGGGGAGGGGACTGGGAGAGCGCAACTGGAAAAGGACCAGGGCACACACATCCTCCTCACGTTACCAACATCATCCTCATCATCATCATCATCGCCGCCGCCACCAGCATGTCCATTACCATCTTAGTTGTTCAAACGCTGCAGCTTCGTGGGTTTAAGAACAGCGTACACACACACACACACACACACACACACACATGTCTTTGTAATTTCTTCCAAGGCCCCTGGCTGTCACTACTCCTGGCTCACAGAACACATGCGTCTTGCCCACACTTCCAAAGCCATTGTAAATGGCCTGAGCCAGCCCTGAGCACCAGGCCAAAGCCAGGGCTGAGAGGAACGGGAGGGACAAGCCTTCCAAACTGAAAAAAAAAAAAACAAGAAAAGAAAGGAAGAAAAAAGACAAGAGGCAGCTTCCCCTGCCTCACAAACCACCTCCTCTGGGTGCTGGAGCTCAGTCTCTCGCTAAGCGCGCTGGGCTATGAACCAGGTAACCCTTGGTCGACCAGATGGAGAAACAAGCAGCGTGGAATCAGGGTTAGAACGTCTAGAGGGGGAAGGCTTTGGGGACGGGTTTGTTTATGAGCTGGGAATTCTCTGCACAAACAAGATAAGCACCTGGGTTTGGCCCCAGCCCGAGACCTTTTCCTGAGCCCTGAGCCCAGCCCAAACACTGCGTGCTCCGAGGTTCAGAAGTTCAAGGTGTTCCGTGAACATAAAGACATACCAGACGAGTCACCAGCTAATCAAGAAGCCTTCCTGTGTTGAAGTGCTGTGTGTGTGTGTGTGTGTGTGTGTGTGTGTGTGTGTGTGTAAGAGATTGTAATTCCAAAAAAGGAGAAGGCCAGGCACCGGTGGCTCCCGCCTGTCATCCCATCTACTCAGGAGGCTGAGATCTGAGGATCGTAGTTCAAGGCCAGCCCGGGCAGGAAAGTCCGTGAGACTCTGATCTCCGGTGAACCAGCAAAAAGCTAGAAGTGGCGCTGTGTGGCTCAAGGGGTAGAGCGCTAGCCTTGAACACAAAAGCTCAGGGATGGTGCCCGGGCCCTGAGTTCAAATCCCACCAAAAAGAAAAAAGAAAGAAAGGAAAAGATCAGCCAGAGTGGCCCACAAGTGGACCCATTCCTTGTCCCCCAGAAAGAGAGCATGAACCCAGAGAGAGAGAGAGAGAGAGAGCGCCCATGACTGGCTTCCTCTTAGCACAAGCCACACACTATCAAGATAGCGCCCAGCCCCGCTGCACCCACCTGCGGCATCTCCACAGAAGAGCTGTTGCAAAGCATGCTGGGAGGAGATGCGCGTGGACACTGCTGCTCTTCGCTGCTCAGGGCCCAGGAGTTGGCAAAGTCATAGGGGTCAGAGGTCAAGATGCCTGACCAGAGAAGTTTCCAGAAGAAATGACACATTAGTCCAACTAGAACTCCGGCATCACTAGTAAATACCCAAACAGGGCAAGGCTCTGAGTTCAAACCCCAGAACCACACACACACACACACACACACACACACACAGGGATTTCACCCATTTGCTTGGCAGAAGATGCAGGAGAATCTTCTCAAACCATCTAGAATCTACCAGCCATCTACCATGCAGAATTCCCCGTGACTATGGGAAATTCCATGTTGAACATCAAGTCAAGTGTGAGGAGATCCAAAAAATGTATGCACCATGATGGTGCTGGAAGAGGTAAACTGAGGAAGCAAGCCCCACCCGGGGAGGAGTACTGGTGATATCGGTGTTGGTTTAAGAGGAGATTTGGGGGGGCTGGGCTGGGTTTTTGTGTTTCTGAGATCAGGACTCGAACTCAGTACCGGACCCTTCTGCTCGTTGGCTGGCGCTCTACCAGCTGAGCCACGCCTCCTGCCCTCATGAGGAGGTTTTCAGGATTATGGAGGGCCACAGCAGAATCCTACCCTCTTGGGTCCTGAAGTCGTCTTCAGCGAAGACGTTGAAGTCACCGCACAGCCCGCACGTCTTGTTGAAGAGTCGGTCTGAAAACTGCACCTGGAAATTGCCACTCGTGTCCACCCGGGCCACGAAGCCGTAGGTCTCGCTGGATAGCCTGTAGTACCCCGCCTCCGTTTCCAGATACAGCCCGTGGGAGGCGTAGGGCACCGAGACACTGTGGGCGAGAGGACCAAGGACACACTGAGAACCACGCTTCTCAGCCGGGCGCCCTGCGGCGCACGCCTGCAATCCCGGCTAACAGCCGAGGATCGTTGATCGAAGCCGTGAGGAAGTTCCTGAGACTCCTGTCTCCAGGAAACCGCCGAAAAAGAAGAGCCGGATGTTGGGAGCTGTGCATGGCTCAAGTGGTAGGGAGCCAACCTTAAGAGGAAAAGGCTCAGGTCAAGTCCTAGGTGTGGCGCGCACCCCCCCCCCCCCTCCCAGCTTTGGACGTACTTTTGATCTCCTTCCTTCATGGTTCCATTGGCAAACAAATGAAGGTCAAAATACTCCCCGAGATACACAGACAGACCCACTCGCCGGCCATTTTCGAAGTCCCCTGAAAGAGAGAAAAAAAAAAAAGAGTCAGTACGTCCCCCCCAAAAAGTTAATGTCTTTATTCATAGGACCGTAATCCCAGCGACTCAGGAGGCTGAGATCTAGAGGATCGTAGTTCAAAGCCAGCCTGGGCAGGAAAGTCCGTGAGACTCTGATCTCCAATGAACCACCAGAAAACCGGAAGTGGCGCTGTGGCTCAAGGGGTAGAGCGCCAGCCTTGAGCTGAGGGACAGCACCCAGGCCCAGAGTTCAAGCCCCAGGAGCGACCAAAACAATAAATAAATAAATGGAGGAAACAGGATGCTCTTGGGAGAACAATGGAGCCCAAGGTTCCTCTCCCTGACCCCAGGACCTTGACACGTGCACACACACACACACACACACACACACACACACACACACGTGTGTGTGCATTCAGTGTCAACCTTCATCTACACGTTATCTTCTCTTGTCGTGCCGAGCGGTAGGAATGCGTCCCCAACCCCAATTCACCCCCAAAAAGTGTTTGGTCTCTAGGCCAGTTCCACCCAGAAGGCCTGAGTTCCCAGGAAAGCATGGCTGAACCGAGAGCAAATCATCGCAGGAGAGCAATGGCGGTGCTCGGCTCGGCTCCCCCTGGGCTCCGCCCCGAAGCCAGGAAATCCATGCCAACCTCTGGGGGTTGGCAAAGGAGGGTGGGGGGTACCCCCCCGGGGAACCCAAGCGAGGTGAACGCTGAGTCTGTCTGTCTCTCTCCTCTGTCTCTGTCTCTGTCTCTCTATCTCTGGCTCTCTATCTCTGTCTCTTTCTCTCTCTGTCTCTTTGTCTCTCTGTCTCTATCTCTATCTTTCAGTCTGTCTGTCTCCCTTTCCCTTTCCCTTTTTCCCTCTCTCCCTCTCCTCCTCTCCCTCTCTCTCTCTCCCTCTCTCTCTCTCTCCCTCTCCCTCTCTCCTTCTCCCCCCCCTCACACTTTTTGTGTAAGTCCGTCTAGATCATAGTCTAGTCACGAGGCCGGGACGGCAGGCATCCCCACCACGCCCGGCTTTCTTCTGTTCTCTTAGCATGGGCTCGTGACCTCTCGTCCAGGTTGGCCTAGAACCCCAATCCCGTCTCTCGGGAAGCCAGAATTGCCCGGGGGGAGGGGGGGGGCAGTGGGGACGGGGAGTCTCTCCATGTCCCAAAGCTCCTTCTCGATCACATCCTTCCCGGTGCTCTGATTCAGGAGCTGGTGCGTTGCCTCTCCCCAAAGCAACCATTCAACCCCCAGAGTGGCATCCGGAGAAGCTTCTAGAAGCCAGAGGCCACCGAGGGACCATGCTCCTCTGGGTCTCCAGCAGCCATCTCAGAACTCAGGCATGATGGGAGACACGTAGTCTGCCCTTCACGCTGTGGGGGTGGTGGGGCTAGATGGAGGCCCTGCCGGCCTCACATCTGCGGCCTCCTCTGAGGATAAAGGAAGAGAGGCCCAGCAGAGATGGCAGCGGAGGGGACTCACCCAAGATGGAGAAGGCGCGCTGCTGGCAATCGCCGGCCAGGAGGTAACTGCACCGCCCTGCGAAGCTGAACATGGCTCCATCAAAAGTGTTGATCAGGCTGTCTCCGAAGAGGCTGCAGCGGGCTGTGGACGGCCGGTCTGGAGTCTCCTCCCTGCACACGGCCCCTGAGGACGAGGCCGGGGGTCAGCCCAGCCTGGCCACGAGCCCTCCCCTCTCCGGCCTCCGAAATGAGGCCGCAGCTGGAGGAATCTGGGCTGCAGGATGGAGCTCTGACTCCAAAGGAGGGAGAGAACTCTGATGCCAGCCGGGGGCCTGGTGGCTCCCACCTGTCGTCCCTGCTACTCCAGAGGCTGAGATCTGAGGATCGAGGTTCAAAGCCAGCCTGGGCAGGAAAGTCTGTGAGACTCTGATCTCCCATAAACCACCAGAAAACCGCAAGTGGCGCTGTGGCTCAAGTGGTAGAGCGCCAGCCTTGAGGGAAAGAGCTCAGGGAGAGCGCCCAGGCCCTGAGTTCATGTGTTGGTGTTTGGTTTTAGGGAGTTTGTTTTGGTACTTCTTTGGTGCCAGGACTGGCACCAAAAGGAAAAAAAAAAGATCTAATGTCATCCCTGAAATAGGACCCAGGAGTTATGGGAGTAATGGGGTAGAAGGTGTGTGTGTGTGTGTGTGTGTGTGTGTGTGTGTGTGTGTGTGTGTGTGTGTGTGTGTGTGTGTGTGCCAGTCTTTTTTTTTTTTTTTTGTCGGTCGTGGGGCTTGAACTCTGGGCCTGGGCGCTGTCCCTCAGCTCTTCAGCTCAAGGCGAGCGCTCTACCACTTGAGCCACAGCGCCACTTCCGGTTTTCTGGTGGTTTATTGGAGATAGGAGTCTCACGGACTCTCCTGCCCGGGCTGGCTTTGAACCGCGATCCTCAGATCTCAGCCTCCTGAGTAGCTAGGATTACAGGCGTGAGCCACCAGCGCCCGGCTTTGTGTGCCAGTCTTGAAGCTTGAACTTAAGGCCTGGGCATTGTTCCTCACAGACATTTCTGTAGTTAGGGTTACAGGCATGAGCCACCAGCGCCCAGCTCTGGAGGCAGAGATTTTTCAGGAAGTCTGTTCAATCTAATGACTCTGCTTACTGACTGGAAATACAATAATGGCCGGGTGCTGGTGGTTCATGCCTGTAATCCTAGTCACTCAGGAGGCTGAGATCTGAGGATCATGGTTCGAAGCCAGCTAGAGCAGGAAAGTCCATGAGACTCTTATCTCCAATTAACTACATAAAAACTGGAAGTGGTGCTGTGGCTCAACATGGTAGAGCACTAGCCTTGAGCACAAGGGCTCAGAGACAGTACCCAGGCCCTGAGTTCAAGCCCCATAACCTACAAAAAAATTATGTATATATGTATATATATACATATATGTGTGTGTATATGTATATATATATGTCTATACATATATATATATAATGGCCATCACAGAAGACATGAAATATGCAGAAAAACATGAAAAAATAACCAGAAGAGTTCATCTTTTCATTAGCTGGAAGGATGGATGGGTGGATGGGTAGATGGGTGGATCAGTGGATAGGTGGATGGATAGATGGATGGGTGGATGGATAGATGGATGGGTGGATGGATGGGTGGATGGATGGATGGGTGGATGGGTGGATGGATGGGTGGGTGGGTGGGTGGGTGGGTGGGTGGAAAGGTAGATGGACGGATGGATGGATAGGTGGGTGGGTGGGTGGTGGACAGATGGATCTTTGGGTGGGTGGGTAGGCAGATAGGTGGATGGATGGGTGGGTGGATGGATGATGGATGAATGGATGGATGGATGGGTGGATAAATGGATGGATGGATGAGTAGATGGATGAATGGGTGAGTGAATTGATGGATGGGTGGATGAGTGGGTGGACGGAGGAATGGATGGATGGGTGGATGGATGAGTGGGTGGATGGATGAATGGGTAGATGAATGGATGGATGGATGGATGGATGAGTAGATGGATGAATGGATGACTGAATTGATGGATGGGTGGATGAGTGGGTGGACGGAGGAATGGATGGATGGGTGGATGGATGAGTGGGTGGATGGATGAATGGGTAGATGAATGGATGGATGGATGGATGGATGAGTAGATGGATGAATGGGTGAGTGAATTGATGGATGGGTGGATGAGTGGGTGAATGGACGAATGGATGGATGGGTGATGGGTGGATAGGCGGATGGGTGGGTGGGTGGGTGGATGAATGACAGATGTACAAATAGATGGATGCATGCGTGGGTGGATGGATAGATGGATGGGTGGGCGGAGAGGTGGCTGGGTGGGTAGATGGATAAAGCAAGTACACATGGGAGGAGAACCTCAGATCAAATCTCTTCAGTGCCCTGGGCCTTCCGGCACAGCTCACCTGGTGGAACAGAGTCTGGGCGTCTGACACACATGCATTTGTCCTCAGTGTGGGGGGGAGGGGGGCTGAGGATGTAACTGCAACAGGCCCAAGGCCTGAGGGCCGTCCCGCATGCGCACATCTCAGCATCTCGGCAGAGGCTGAGCGGAACCCTGGGGGACTTCCAGGCTGTCACGGACCCCCTGTGACCCTCAGCCTCTCCTTCTGGGAGGGCTCGTGGGAACCCCCCAGTCTCCTCCCTCCTTCACAGATGAATAATCCACGCCTTGGATTCCTTCCTTCCCATCCAGGAAGCCAGCTGCGCGCCGCCATGGGTCACTTCTTACTCAGTAAGAGCGGGCAAGTTGCAGGGCACACCTGGGTTCTGGGGAAACTGAGTCAAAGGCTTGGGAGAGCTGCAGGAATGTCCCAGAAGGCAGCCAAGTGACTCTGAAAGTCACAAGCTGAGCATAGGGCTGGGCGCGCACGTACACACACACACACACACACACACACACCCCTGCTGGGCGGTTCTGGAGGGGGGGGAAGGGATGAGAACATGGGGGTACCCACCCGACATGGTGAAGGCCAGCACCAGCAGCGCCCCGGTGAGCCTGGACGGGACCATCTGCAAAAAACACTGAAGCTAAGCCGGGCATCGTGGCTCACGCCTGCCATCCCAGCTACTCAGGAGGCTCAGATCTGAGGATCACGGTTCAAAGCCAGCCTGGGCAGGGAAGTCCATGAGACTCTGATCTCCAAAGAATCGGCAAAAAAAAAGCCAGAAGCAGAGGTATGGCTCAAGTGGTTGAGCACCGGCCTTGACCACAAAAGCTCAGAGACAGCGCCCAGGCTTTGAATTTAAGTTTGGGGACCAGCACCAGAAACAAATAAATACACACATCGCCTCCAGAGTCAGGAGGCCCCGACCTGACTTTCACCCACCCAAACAAAACCCTTCTCATGCAAGAACAGAGAACCCCAGCCTACGCTCCCCCAAAATAGGAATCGCCCCCCCCCCCACCAACAATCTTCTCCCCTGCTATGCCAACCTTTCTTCCAAAGAGCACATACCCTGTCCTGTAGACTGGGGGTATCTCCAAGGTCCCACGGAAACTCGGCCACTCATCAGTGGGGAGACCACCCTTAGGCCATTTGCCCGGTGCTGTTGAGATCTGCTATAGCTCCAGACTGTCCTGCTCTTAAGCAGCTCAAGGGGGACTGTGGGGTTCCCACAGCAGGGGAGATAAGCCTAACGGATTCCTGCCCCCCCCGCCACCAAAGCCACGAGCTGCCCCACAGGGCACCGGCCTGGTCTTAATTACCCGCAGGGAAACAATGGCAGGAAATGATATTAGAAACACCATCGGGTTTGCTGAAGCCGGGAGCAGTTTGGAGGGAGACCTTTGGACGGCTGCCTTCCTGAGCCTGCTCCCCAATGCTAACATCCCCACACCCCCAGACTCCTGGGGCCCTGGATCCCCCCTCTAGCCTACACAGGCAGCCCTGAGCAAGGATAACTGCTTTCCCCATCCGGGGTACAGTCAGGGGAACTGGGGAAATACCTTCACACCAGCCAACCTGGCAGCCCACGAAGAACGCATGCTTCACTTCCGGCTCCTGCCAGGGCTCATAGACTAACGAGTGGAGCCCGGCTAGGTTCTGGTTAAGGATGAAGATTGCCGATCGGCAGTCCAGGCCCTTCTCTACAGGGGGAGGGGGATGTGTGTGTGTGTGTGTGTGTGCGTGTGTGTGCACGTGTGTACACACACACTGGTCCTGGAGCTTGCACTCAAGGCCTGGGCGCTGTCCCTGAGCATGTTGGCTCAAGGCTGGCGCTCTACCACGTGAGCCACAGCGCCACTTCCTATTTTCTGGTGGTTCATGGGAGATGAGAGTCTCACAGACTTTCCTGCCCGGGCTGGCTTTGAACCACGATCCTCAGATCTCAGCCTCCTGAGGAGCTGGGATGACAGGTGTGAGCCACTGGTGCCTAGCTATTGCTTGATTCTAATAGGCCTCCCTAAGTCTGTCTGTCTGTCTGTCTGTCTGTCTGTCTGTCTCTCTCTCTCTCTCTCCCTCTCTCCCCTCCCATCCCTCCCCCAGGAGTACCACCAAGCTCTCATGACTGCTTCTCACCTGGTACCACTCACCCTTGCCATTCACCCTGTGCACCCAGCATGCCAGAAAACCAGAAGTGGTGCTGTGGCCCAAGTAGCAGAGCGCCAGCCTTGAGCTGAGGAGCTGAGGGACAGCGCCCAGGCCCTGAGTTCAGGCCCCAGAACTGGGGGGAGAAGGAGGGGGTATGGGAGGGAGACCCTGGAATCCTACAGGCCCTGTGTTGTCTGCAGGCTCTGGCATGGAGCTCAAGTGCCCAGGGCAGTTGATTACATGGTTCTAGAAGGCAGGAAATCACAGTGGGGAAATGGAAATGTGATAGAAGGAATGGAAATCTGCCAAGAACTATATTTATTAATTCAACCACAAGTGAGTGGCAGAAGCTGAGAGCAATGAGGAGCCTGGTCTCAGGCTGGCCCTGCTCCAGGGTGTGGAGAAGAGGGGGTATCAAGGGCTGTACCCCCAGAGCACTAGCCCCCAACATTTGAGGACTCTAGGGGGGAAAAAAACCAGAAAGTTGAAGTCTGAGGAGGGAGGGAGAGATGGCAGCTAAATCTCCACTCCAAGTTAGGGAATGGAGTGCCTTAGAAAACCTGGTTCCACAGCTCATGCCTGTAATCCCAACTGGGATTTGAAAGATGGAGGTTCAAAGCCAACCCAGGCAGAAACTAGAGACAAAAGACTCTTACCTCCACTGAACCCACAAAAACGTTGGACTTGGAGGTGTGGCTCAAGTGGTAAAGCACCGGCTGAATGCAAGAGAACCAAATGAGGGCACAAGGCCCTGAGTTCACACACACACACACACACACACACCCCAAAATGTTGGCGCGCCATCTTGGGAAGGTCGCGTTGGAGTGGCCGCCATCTTGGGAAGGTCAAGACCAAGCTTGGTCGTTGAGCTCACTTTTCCTTTAAGATTGGCCACTGAAGGGCCAGGGACTGGGCCTCAGAAAACCATAGGCTGAGACCTGTCCTCCCTTCCCTTTCCTCCTCCTCCCTCCCTTCCCCTCCCCCTCCCTCTTCACTTAGGGATGGAGTGAGATCCACACCTGGTGGTACGTCCATCTAATCTGCCCCAAGGAAACTCCAGCCCAAAGACCTTTTGGTTCCATGCCACCTAGCAAGCAGGGAGCAGAACTTTTCCAACCAGCTCTAACCTCCACCTCTAATCTCACTGACTGACTAGTAAGGATTATTATTATTATTTGTTGGTGTTGTTGGTCGTGGGTCTTGAACACTGGGCCTGGGCGTTGTCCCTGAGCTCTTCAGCTCAAGGCTGGTGCTCTACCACTTGAGCCACAGCACCACTTCCAGTTTCCTGGTGGTTTACTGGATATAAGAGTCTTACGGATGTTCCTGCCCAGGCTGGCTTTGAACCATGATCCTCACATCTCAGCCTCCTGAGTTAGCTGGGATGACAGGCGTGAGCCACCAGCTAGCAAGGATTATTTTTTAAAGGGGGAATTGCTGAGTGCCAGTGGCTCATGCCTGTTATCTTCAAGACTCACACACACACATACACACACACACACACACACACACACACAGGTGGGAAGGGGTAAAAAATATCCCCTAGGCTTTGCTCTGTTCAAGTGTTGCCTATCCTCAGGAATTTGCAAAAAGAAATACAGTTCGCAGAGAGAGAGGCAATATTGTGTTTTCTGTGGAGTAGCTGGGATTACAGGCGTGAGCTACTGGCACCTGCCTACCACTTCATTTGTAAAGAGTGCAAACGTGTGCTGTAGGGGTGAAGAGAGGTGTCCCTTTGGGCTGGAGACTAGAGAGAGCATGGGGGGAGGGGGAATTCAGAGCCTTCACCTGACACTGGACGGAAGTTGGGGGGTGTGTCTTGAGAAAATGTTTTCAATGATGTGCTTATAATCTGAGTGCTTTTCCTTTGAATATTTATATCAATATCAAAGTTTTTGAAATGGATAAAGAAAAAAACCATAATGGTGACTAAAAGCTTAAAAGCACACTTGGAATTTATTTTCCTTTCATTAGGTTATGGATCCCTAAAGGCCCCGTGGGCTTGCTGGCATGGGAATTAATAATTCACGTCTCCCAATCTGAGCTCCAGACAAATATATGTCCTGTCTTTCTCCGGAAATCCTGTGCTCCCTCTGTACCCAGAGATGTTCGCCTCTCCCCGTGGGCTCCTAGAGACCCCCTATTTAATCAGGAGATGCAATTCAAACACTGGTGGCTCCCGCCTGCCATCCCAGCTACTCAGGAGGCTGAGATCTGAGGATTGAGGTTCAAAGCCAGCCTGGGCAAGGAAAGTCTGTGAGACTCTGATCTCCCAGGAACCACCAGGAAACTGGAAGTGGCGCTGTGTGGCTCAAGAGGTAGAGCGCCAGCTTTGAGCTGAAGAGCTGAGGGACAGCGCCCAGGCCCTGAGTTCCAGATCCATGACTGGATTTGCTGTGAACCGCCAGCCGGGGGCTGGTGACAGAGCCGCTACCTCTCCCTAATACCACGCAGCCAGGGAGGGTAATTCAGGGGTGGTCTGGTGATGGGGGAGGACGTGAGGAGCCATGGGTGGCCAGGCCAGCCCTGGGACAGATCCCAGTCCTGACCAGAGTCAGAGTCTCAGCAGAGACAAGGAGGAAAACCAGGGCCAGGCAGAGAGACCACAGCCGGGTAGAGCTGCTGCTGTCATTAGTCCCTGACTTCTGGAGATGAAGGAGGCCAAGACCGGCTGCAGAAAGGAGGGAGGGATGGCGGGGGGGGGCTCAGCTTGGTTGGGAAGGGAGTCATACAGGTAATAGCCCAGCGCCTCAGGGGTCTCCTATAACCCCACCCTGCCCCAGCCAAGAATCTAAGGTTGCTGGGATTTATCCTCCCTCCACCTGGGGGAGGTAAAGGCCTTGGGCACCAAGAACTTCCATTTCTTTGCTTCCTCTCTTTCTTTAATTTTTGTTGGTCCTGGGGCTTGAACTCAGGGCCTGGGCGCTGTCCCTCAGCTCTTCAGCTCGCTCAAGGCTGGTGCTCTACCACTTGAGCCACAGCGCCACTTCTGGTTTTCTAATGGTTCATGGGAGATCAGTCTCACGGACTTTCCTGCTCGGGCTGGCTTTGAACCGTGATCCTCAGATCTCAGCCTCCTGAGTGGCTGGGGTGACAGGCGGGAGCCACTGGTACTCAGCTTAAAGGTAGCTTTTGATAGGAAGGAAATTAATTCCTTGTTGCAGGAATATATATTATATAGATAATATATATTAGCTATATATTGAACTCAGCGCCCAGGCCCTGAGTTCAAGCCCCACGACTGACACAAAAAATAAAAAATAAAAAATAAATAGCCAGGCCTTGGAAGACCGACATGGAACCACATCCGATACGTTTTGATGTCAAAACAACTCCGTGCCAAATCCGAGCACTGTGACTTTATTTTAGCTCCCAAATGGCAGTAAAATACATGTTGTGCAGAGGGTAGAGAAAGAGATAAACACCGGTTGTCTCCAGGGCTGCGCCTCTGTCATTCCGCTGTGTAATCTCCGGGAGTTGCTCAACAATGGTGTTTAGATTGCCCAAAAGCTAGCCAGGCACCCGGGGCTCCCGCCGGCCATCCCAGCTGCTCAGGAGGCTGAGATCTGAGGATCACGGTTTGAGGCCAGCCAGCCCAAGCAGGAAAGTCCCTGAGACTCTTGTCTTCAGTGAACAGCTACAAGTGGAGCTGTGGCTCAAGGTGGTAGAGCGCTAGCCTTGAACAAAAAGAGACTTAGGCCCTGAGTTCACAATCCACGAGCGACCAAAACTAAATATAATAGTAACAATAATAATAATAGGATTACAGAATTCAGGGGTCAAAAATGCACAGATCCAACCTCAAGGCTACGACACACCTAATGAACACTAGCTCAGAAACCAGCTTTAGTTGTGTGGACTCACCAATAGTGATTCATCCTGCAAGAGTATGCAACGCGGCTCGGACACACGCACACAGGAGAGATGAGGGCCCTGGGACCAGAACACAGTCACCACCATCTCATGCCAGGATCCCTCCCAGGGCCTGCGCTGCCCCGT